TCCAACCTCTGTGTCTCCAGCAGCAGCACCCCCAGAACCAGCACCTCCAGTCCCAGGGTCTCCAACCTCAGGGTCTCCAGCAGTAGCACCCCCAGAACCAGCACCTCCAGCCCCAGGGTCTCCAACCTCAGTGTCTCCAGCAGCAGCACCCCCAGAGCCAGCACCTCCAGTCCCAGGGTCTCCAGCCTCAGTGTCTCCAGCACGAGCACCTCCAGAACCAGCAACTCCAGCACCTCCAGTAGACAAAGGACCAGCACGACTCCGAGCTCCAGCAGCGCGACGCTGACGGCGACCGTACCAGTCCTGCAGCTGCTGCGGGGTGAGAGGCACACGTGGACGAAGGCGGCCACTCCAAGGAGACCGCGCAACAGCAGACTCAGAACCCTCAGCGCCCGCACCCCCAACGGCTCCAGAACCTCCGGTGTCAGTACCCTCAGCACCAGTACCTCCAGCGGCTCCAGAACCTCCAGCGCGAGCACCCTCAGCAGCTCCAGAACCTCCAGCTCCAGCGCCACCAGTACTAGGCCCTCCAGCAGCTCCCGAACCTCCAGCGCCAGCACCCTCAGTAGCTCCAGAACCTCCAGCGTCAGTACCGCCAAGCTCAGCACCCCCAGACCCCTCACACTCAGGCTCAGCACCACCAGGCTCCACACCCTCAAGCTCCGCACCCTCAGGCTCAGTACCCCCAGGCTCAGCACCTCCAGGCTCCGCACCCCCAGGCTCAGCACCCCCAGAAGTAGCACCCCGAGCAGGACCACTCTCAGTAGGACCTGAGTCACCAGTGACCTCAACCGGCGCAGTCAAGGGAGGAGGGTCTACCTGAGAAACACCTGAAGGAGCAGGACCGGGAGCGGGGAGGGGGTCTACCTGGGGAGCACCTGGAGCGAGGAAGAGCGGCGGGGGGGGGAGCGAGGCAGTGCGGTAGGGGAAGAGACGGTAAAAGGGAACCGACTCGTCAAACGTGACGTCCTGAGACGCAAAGACACGGCGCGAGGTGGGGTGGTAAAACTGCCAGCCAGGCGCGTCAGGGACAAAGCCAAGGAAGACACAGGGAACAGCGCGGGCGGAGAGCTTGTCCGCGGTGGTATCGCGGACAAAGGCACGAGCACCCCAGACCCGGAAACGCGACGCATCGCCAACCTTCCCCGTCCACAGCAGTGTGGGCGAGGTCTTCGGCAAGGAGACACGGGGCCAGAGGTTGAGCTGATGCGCGGCGTACCGGACCGCAAACGGCCACAGAAAATGGGGGGCAGCCGCATGGATCATGGAGGTACGAGCGACCTCCATGACTAAGCCAATGCGGCGCTCAGCAACCCCATTCTGCTGCGGAGAGGCCGGAAGCGTGAACGACTGGGTGATGCCGTGCTCCGCACAGTAGGCTGCCAAGAGGTCGGAGGAGAACTCACCACCTCTGTCAGAGTGCAGACGCAGGACAGGAAAGTCCGACCGGAACCGCTCGCGGAGCTGGAGACGAACAGCGCGGATCCAGGGGATCAAAACAGCAGGGACATCCGCCTTGCTCCGCAAGGGGAAGACCGTGGTGTAACGCGTGTAGTCGTCGACAACCAGCAGGAAGTACCGCTCGTGGCCCTGTCCCTGGACGCGGGCTGGGCCCCACACGTCCAGGTGGAGCGTCTGCAGTGGAGCCTCTGTGGGAGGAAACGAGGAGGAGTGAGGAGTGGCGCGCTGCCGCCCCTCGACGCAAGGAATGCAGGGCGGCGCAGGCGAGGGAGGGAGGGCAGGCAGAGACCTGGGGAGACCAGAGACCAGGGAGCGAGAGTGCATGCTACGCAGGCGAGGCAAGGAGGGGTGACCAAGGCGGTGGTGCCACAGGAGAGTGTCGTGCGACAAAGCGCGACACTCGCAGGGGGCCGCCAGCTGACCAGACGTAGACGCAGACGCAGACGCAGCTACCTGAGGGGACTCAGTGGTCAGTATGTACAGACTCGAGCCAGGTGCACGGGTGAACGTGGCCAAGTGCCGGCCCGTCCTAGCACACGTACAGTGAGTCACTCGCTGACTCGCAGGAGTGAACTGGTGAACCCCCCTATCCTGGAGGTCAGCTCCACTCACCAAGTTCGTAGAGAACGAGGGGAGGTAAAGACCTGACAGCGAGCCGGACGGGACGGCCGGACACGGCAGAACCGTGGAATAGTGGGCAAGGACTGGACCCCCAGAGGGGTCCGCCAGGGAGACCGGGACTGGCCGACGGAGCGGCGTGAGTGCGGTGCAGTCGCGAAAGAAGGAGCGGGAAGCTCCTGAGTCAAGGGTGAAGGTGTGCGAGACCGCAGTGGGCGCAGTACCAGAGAGAGCAGACACAGCAGCACCTGAAGCCACGGCCTCACCAGCACCTAGAGCAGTAGACGGACTAGCACCGAGAGCAGCAGCCTCACCAGCACCTAGAGCAGGAGACGCACTAGCACCTAGGGCAGCAGCCTCACCAGGGTCAGGCGGTACGCACAGGCAACAGGCACGGTCAACACTAGTAGACAATGCATACATGGCAGTGAGAATAGCATCATAGTCAGGCGCAAAGATATCTACCCCCTGTCCATGCAGCTCCAGCCAGGTGGGGAGCTCAGCCTCGTCGCCAAACACTGTGCGCCAGTCGTCGCTCAGACGGGCGAAGCAGCGGGACTGTGTGTGACCAAGCGTCCCACAAGGCTGACCAGTCCTAGCACCTGTGCGAATGACGTACGGGCAGCGAACTGTACGTGTAGACCTGCTACACTGAGCGTACCACTCCTGGAGCTGCCGAGGCGTAAGTGTCTCGCGTGGACGCCCCTGCAGCTGCAGCTGGCCACTGCTAGACGCTCCCAACTGACCAGCCCCAGGGCGACAGCTACTACGGCTACCGCGACAACCCCAGCTAGTATACCACTCACTAAGCTGCTGGGGCGTGAGAGGCTCGCGTGAACGTCGCTGGAGCTGCATCTGACCACCTGCCAGTAGCAGTAGCGCGGGCAGGGCAGGCGTGGCAGGCAGGCAGGCAAGCAGGCAGGCAGGCAGGAACGCAGGCAGGCAGGCAGGCCGGCAGGCAGGCAGGCAGCCAGGCAGGCAGGCAGGCAGGCAGGCAAGCAGACAGGCAGGCAGGCAGGCAGGCAGGCAGGCAGACAGACAGGCAGGCCGGCAGGCAGGCAGGCAGGCGCGCAGGCAGGCAGGCAGGCCGGCAGGCAGGCAGGCAGGCAGGCAGGCAGGCAGGCAGGCCGTCAGGCAGGCAGGCAGTCGCTCACCAAAGGCTGGAAGGGCAGGTGCTCGCCGGGCGAGCAGGGCCGAGTAGGCGCACGACTGCAGCGGCGATGGGGCCGTAACAGCGACGGTAGAGTAGGGCCGCACCAACTGCAGGGTGGGGGCCGCTTCAGCGGCAGTCGCAGAGTGGGGGCCGCATCAGCGGCAGGTCGGGGCCTCGGCAGCAGCAGCGAGGGGCCGCAGCAGCGGAAGGTCGGGGCCGATGCAGCTGCAGGCTATGCAGGGCAGCGCGCGGGGCTGCTGTGGGCCGAGCGCGGGCTGCGGGAGGCAAAAAAACAGGCCGCGCGCAGCAGCAGCTGGCCGCGCGCGGCTCGGCAGGGACTGCGCGCAGCAGCAGGCCGCGCGCGGCTCGGCAGGGGCTGCGCGCGGCTCGGGGGGGGTCGCGCGCGGCAGCAGCGGGCTGCGCGCGGCTCGGCGGGGCCGCGCGCAGCAGAAAACGGGCTGCGCGCGGCTCGACGGGGCTGCGCGCAGCAGAAAACGGGCTGCGCGCGGCTCAACGGGGCTGCGCGCGGCTCGACGGGGCTGCGCGCGGCTCGGCGGGGGCTGCGCGCGGTAGATCCGGGCTGCGCGCGGCTCGACGGGGCTGCACGCGGTTCGACGGGGCTGCACGCGGCTCGCTGGGGGCTGTGCGCTGCGCTGACGGCGTGTGAGGGGCAGCAGAGCGGCGCGAGCAGCGAGGGCGACGCTTGAGGCAGCAGCGGGCAGCGTGCGTGACTTAGGTCTGCGCGATAGCAGTAGCAGACAACACAGTAGGCAGCAGGCAGTAGGCTACAGGCAGACGGCGCGCGCAGCGCAGCACGTCACAGGCACAGGCGCAGACATAGGCACAGGCGTGGGGTAGCGGTAGGTGGGCCCGAAAAAAAAAAAACGGTCCTACGGACCTACTGCTCTGAAACCATGTTAGAATCTAGAGACAAGAATGAATGCATTGATCAAGAGTTGGGTACATAAGCTAACCCTAACATTGGGTTGTACCCCATATGGGCTACCCCACTACAGCCTATACAATATGCAGCACATATAGTTTGACACGGGCCGCTACAGGGGAAAGGGCGGGCCGCTACAGGGGAAAGGGGAAGGGGCGGGCCGTGACGGAGGTAAAGGACGGGCGGGACGCGACGGGGGGGAAGGGACCACGACGAGGGGAAAGGACGGGCAGGACGCGACGGGGGGAAAAGGGCGCGACACGACGTGGGGGGGGAACGTGACGCGACGGGGGGTAAGGGCGGGCGCTACGGAACGAGGGGAACGGGTGGCGCGGACGGGCGCTAGGAGTGGCGCTAGGGTCGGCACTACGCGCGGTAACAACGGAACCGGGACGAATGAGAGCTAGGATCAGGCTCGAACGGAGAACGGAGGAACGGGATCCCACAGGATCCTAACCTAACTGATACCATGTCAGAATGAAGAATGGATGATGCATTGATGTTGGTTGGGGTACATATAGCTAACCCTAAGTTTTGTACCCCCTAAGACAAACCTCACTATAGGCTACAACATTTGACAATAACCAGCAATAGCCTTGCCCCAGCAATGGTCTTCCCCTACTCTTGTCTCACCCCAAAATCTGCCTTGTCCCAGCAACTGCCTTGATCGTTCCATCCCAGCACCAACAACAACAACAACAAGAACACAGCCCAGCCTCTCCCACCAACCCCAAACTGCCTACAGTGCCCCCCCTTATCTTCATCCCTTTTCACCCTGAAATTTGCTTCGCCCCCTAACCGCTTCACCCTTCAAGCCCCACTTGGTCACCGTGCAGCATTGGCAAACCACAGGCGGCTGCCTCTCCCCGCCCCTTCCACCCCCGGCCCCACAACCTCGCGCCTCAACACCCCCTCATCGCCACCTGCTGCACCCCCACTGCCCGCACCACCCGCAGCTTTAGCAGGGGTAGTACTCGCACCAGAACCGGTTACAACAGCAGCACCGGTTACAGCACCGGAAGGAATAGAAGCATCAGGAGGGGGTGAGCGCGGAGCAAGGGGGCGAGGGGCGGCGGGGGTGAGGGCGAGTGGAAGGGAGGTGGCAGGGGAGGGGATGGAGGAGGAGGGATGGGGGAGAGGCATGGTGGGGTGGAGGGGGAGTGTGGCGATGATGGCATGCGCGTTGCTTCTCAGGAACACATGGTCCGGTCCCTCCATGCCAAACAACTGCTCACATGAAAGAGGGGGGAGACGGGAAGGAATGGTGTAAGAACAAACGGGAATGCATGGTGTAAGAACAAATGTGCATCGCAGCGGGCAACTTTGAGGACAGCTCAATGCCAAACAGTTTGCTCCATGCCTCCACTTGCACTCAGGCACACATGGTCCGATCCCTCCATGACAAACAACTGCTCACGAAAAGGAGCCCGGGTGAGTGGGGCGGGAAGGCGGGGCAGTGGGGGGCGACAATGGTGGTATGTACCTCAGGCTTGGACGCGATAAGCTGATGCAGCGACCCGTATAGCGGCTCGTAGTGCGCCCAGGTTAGCGGGGCAAGCAGTCGGGCAAGGCGGGGGGCGACGGTGGAGGAGATGAGGGCCTTGGCGCCCCTGTCCGCTGAGAGCGTTCGCACGATGCACGTCAGCAGCGCCCTCTCGTCCTTCAACTGCGCTCCCGGGGGCAGCGGGGGCATCATGGGCATGGGTGGGGTTGGTGCTGCTGCTGGTGCCGGTGCTGGTGCTGCTGCTGCTGGCATGGTTGTGCGGTTGTTAGCTGTTGCAGCACCCTCCGTTCCCTCTCCTCCACTGCTCTCTACCCCAGTGCTCCCTGCAACCAGCACAGCTGACGCAGGTAGAGGTTCAATCCCCACTTTACCTTCAATCGCTGACTTCCCATCCACACCTGCACCTGACTCTGCTGCACCTGAGGCCTCCCCACTAGGGCGTTCAGGCACGTAAGCCACGCCTCCCAACCCTACATCCACCCCTCGGGGTGGTGACCGCTGCGTGATGGGACTGGCAGCGAGCTTCCGAGGGGCAGCAGCAGCAGCTGTAGTGGCAGGAATATCAGCAGCAGGGGTATCAGAAGCAGGGGTGTGAGTGGCTGAGGAGGCAGCGGCAGCACTGGTTGGGAGACTGTGGCCCGCATTGCTGTTGCTGTTGCTCGTGCTGGTGATGGCGCCGGCATTGTCCTTGCCAGTACTGGAGGAGCCAGGAGAAGCACTGGAAGAGCCATTACTGGAAAAGCTGTTTCTCGGAGTAGCATCAGCACTGATGCTGCCCATGTGCCCATTTGCATTCTCGCCTACTGGGGCTCTATCACTTGTGCTGCTGCTGCCACCGCTCTCCCTGCCCTTCTCCCCTGTGCCACCAGTGGTGTTGCTGCTACTTGGACCATTGCTAGTCCCAGAACCAAAGGTAAGGCTGCTCGCATGCTGCTGCTGCTGGGGTGTGGGGTTCAGGGGGAGTGGCTGGTTGCTCATGGGGTGAGTGATGTGATGCATCACCACCGCTTGCTGCTGCTGCTGCTGCTGCTGCTGGCTTTGCTGTTGCCCCTGCGGTTTTGGCACCTGCGCATGTGTTTGCCCCTGTCCCTGCCCCTGCGTCTGCCCCTGCCCGTGCCCCTGCCCCTGTCCCTGGTTCTGCATGTGTTGCTGACTCTGCCCTGGTAGCCCTGTAACCGCATGTCCTGCCTGCACCCCTGCAGCCTGTGCTGCTCCCTGCCCTTGCATGGCAGCAGGGGGGTAGGTGGCAGGCGGGAGGGCGGAGGGGTGATGATGCAAAGGGTGCAGGGCTGGGGGAGAGGCGGAGTGAGGAACAAGCATAGGCACGGGTTGCATGGGTGTGGGGCCTGGTTGTATGGGCGTGGGCACGGTTTGCATGGGTGCAGCGTAGAAGGGGTGGGACATGTGTGGGCGGATGAGATAGGCGTGTGGCGCCATGGGCGGGTGGGCCTGTCCTGCATGTGCTGCTGCTGCTTCGCTCTGTGGGGAAAGCATGGGAGAAGAGGGGAGAGGGAGACAGAGAGAGACAGAGAGAGAGACAGGAATGGGTCAGGAAAGGAGAAGGAAAAGCAAGAGCAACATGCACAAGGGAGAGGATAATGCAGAGGGATGGACGAGTGGAGGGAGAGAGGGAGACAAACGAGGAACACGAACATAGGAGCAAAGAAGCTCACCTTCCCGTCCTTGCTGCCACCAGCACCAGCACCAGCACCAGCACCAGCACCAGCGCCACCCATCGCTGTCCCAGTTCCCTGCACAACCCCTCCTGTTTCCCTTCCTGCACCCGTGGCCCCCCCACTGCCCCCTCCAGATGCCCCCAGTGTGCCTGCTCCTCCTGCTGCTGCCTGCCCTCCTGCAATCCCTGTGCCCCCAGCATTCACTGCGCCTCCTGCTGTACCAACACCAGCTGCTCCTGCTCCTGCGCCTGCTGCCGCGCCTGCCACTGCCGAGCCACCGGCGCCCGGAGCAGCGGCAGGGAGGGCGCCGAGCCTGCAGCGCAGGTCCGTGTTCTCCATGTGCAGGCGCTGCATCAGCTGCATGTGGTACCGCTCACTCTCCGCCAACTGGTGCGGGGGGCAGGGGGCGAGAGGGCCGGGAGGAGGGCAGAAGGGGGATGGAGTAGGAAAAGCGTGAGCCTGGAGCGCAGGTCCGTGTTCTCCATGTGCAGTCGCTGCATCAGCTGCATGTGGTACCGCTCACTCTCCGCCAACTGGTGCGGGTTTGGGAGGGGTAGGGGTGCGAGGAAAGAGACGTGTAACCTGGCTCGCAAGGACAATGCGCTGCATGTGGTACCGCTCACTCTCTGCCAACTGGTGTGGGGGCGGGGGGGGAAATGGCAGGGGGGAGGTGGGGAACGTTGGCATTGCAGCATGTCACGTGAGCATTACCACATACATGCTGCATCAGCTGCATGTGATACTGCTCACTATTCGCCAGCAGGTGGGCGGGCGGGTGGACGAAAGGGTAGATGCATGGAAAGAACAGTTTGCAAGTAACAACAACAGCATGAGTTGGAAACATGCATGAGCTACCACATGAGCACGCTGCACCAGCTGCACTGCACTGCACGTGGTATTACTCACACTCTGCCGACTAGTGTTTTGAGTGCGAGGGGAGGGGATGCGACGAGAGGGCGGGGCGGAGAGATTAAAGAGAACTGTTTTGCATGGCAAGCTTACAGAATAATGAAGATACACCCACGCACCTGCTGTCTGAGCTGGTGCGTGACGGCAAACAGGTGGTAGCACTGGTCCATGCGTTCCCTGAGTTACTGAGGCGCCTCACAGCCAGCCAATCAACCCAGTGTCCTCCCCACCCACCCACCCACCCACCAACCAACCCACCTGCTGCCTGAGCTGGTGCGTGACGGCAAACAGATGGTGGCACTGGTCCGTGCGTTCCCTGAGTTCCCCATGCAGGCTCTGATTGGCTGCTGTGATGGCTGCCACGTGGGCCTCCATGTCCTGCCCGTGTGCCGCCCACCCCTGCGCCTCCTTCACCGCGTCCTCCTTCTGCCACAGCTCCTCCTGTACCAGCCGCAGCTGTGTTGGGAGGGAGAGAGAGACGGAGAGACGGGACAAGAATAGCTCACGCTGTGGCCACAAACACACCCCTGCGCCTCCTTCACCGCGTCCTCCTTCTGCCACAGCTCCTCCTGTACCAGCCGCAGCTGTGTTGGGAGGGAGAGAGAGACGGAGAGACGGGACAAGAATAGCTCACGCTGTGGCCACAAACACACCCCTGCGCCTCCTTCACTGCGTCCTCCTTCTGCCACAGCTCCTCTTGTACCAGCCGCAGCTGAGGGGCGAGAGGGGGGGGGGGGGGGGGATAGCAGTGAGGCGCTCATGCTGTATAGGGCGCGCACACACCCCTGCGCCTCCTTCACCGCGTCCTCCTTCTGCCACAAATCCTCTTGTACCAGCCGCAGCTGAGAAAATGGAGGAGGGAGGGAGAAGGAACAGCCCTATATGAGTAGACCTACCCATGGGTCTAGGCTTATTGACAACGACACTCCATACCCCCTTCGCTGCCCTGCAGTCTTCCCCTCACCTGGTTCTGTGTGTCTCGCAGGCGTTGCTCCGCGTCAGCCACCTGGCTCTGAAGCCTCTCCATCTGCGCGCCCATCTCCGCCCTCTCATGCCCTCCCCCGTATCCCACCCCCCGGCACCTCTTCCCCCCCCCCACCTGGTTCTGTGTGTCTCGCAGGCGCTGCTCCGCGTCAGCCACCTGGCTCTGAAGCCTCTCCATCTGTGCGCCCATCTCCGCCCTCTCCGCCTCCCTCTGACTCGCCTGCGCCTTGCTCTCCGCCACTGCCCCGTCTCGCTCCCGCCTGCCGTGAGGGGTGGAGGTTGGGAGGAAGAAGGAAGAAAAAGGCCAGTGAACCACCCATTTCCGCGTCCCTCTCTAGCCTGCCCGTGCCTGTGCCTGTACCTTCAAGGTGACACCAACATTTTCCCCCCTGCACCACCTTACCCCCATATTGTGAGAATGTGCACACCGTGTCTCATTCTAAGGAAGACACATCCTGGCTACCTTGCCAACTGCGGGGTTGCACCCGCGCTGCTGCCACTCTCACCTCAACGCTGCCACTTCGGAGTTCTTTTCTCGAATAAGGCCTTCCTTTTGCCACACCTGCCAGGGGCCACACACGCACCAACCCAACCAACAAAGAAGGCGAAGCATCTCCTTCAGAAACAAACATAGGGCTGTTACTCAAAGGATCGGCAGGGCGTGAATTAGAGTAGGAGGTTTATGGCATGTAGGAGTCGCGATTCGTCAACCCATACATGCCGTCATCCTCCTTCCAGTAAGCCTACTTCTGCTGCTGATAGGCTATCTCACCCCGTGGATCCATGCTGTTCTGTCCATCTCACCCGTTCCTTCATCTCGTTCTGGTGTGCTGCCACCTGCTGCTCTGCCTCCTCCGCCCTCTCCTTCGTGTTTTGAGACGTCTCGAAACACTCAAAGTCAGTCTCACAAGAGCCCCACCCTCACCCGTTCCTTCATCTCGTTCTGGTGAGCTGCCACCTGCTGCTCTGCCTCCTCCGCCCTCTCCTTCGTGTTTTGAGACGCCTCGAAACACTCAAAGTCAGTCTCACAAGAGCCCCTCTCTCACCCGTTCCTTCATCTCGTTCTGGTGTGCTGCCACCTGCTGTGAAGTGACTTCCAAGTCAACTTCTGAACCACCTCAAAGCTCAAAGCCTTCTCACAAGAGCCCCTCTCTCACCCGTTCCTTCATCTCGTTTTGATGTGCTGCCACCTGCTGCTCCGCCTCCTCCGCCCGCTCCTTGACGCGCTGCATCTCCTCCTCCTTGCCCCGCACTGCCTCCAACGCGCCCGCCAGTTGACTCTGCGAGAAGTGGGGCAACGGGGAGGAGAGGGTGGGGGAAAGTAATTGAGGCGCCTCAAGATTCGCCTACTCCGCCCGCCCGCTCCTTCACGCGCTGCATCTCCTCCTCCTTGCCCCGCACTGCCTCCAGCGCGCCCGCCAATTGACTCTGCGCGGAGTGGGGCGACGGGGGAAGTAGGGGGGAATGTGGGGGGGGGGGGGGGGAGAGGTACATAGCAGGGCGCCTCAACGATCGCCTCCTCCGCCCTCTCCTTCACTCGCTGCATCTCCTCAGGCGCAAGAAGAGGGGGGGGGGGGGGGGGGGGGGGGGGGGGAGGAAGAACGAGAATTGAACAGGCGCAACCAGGCCAGCAAGCCCCTCCCCCTTCCGCCCACCTTGAGCGCCGCTTCCGCCGCCAGCAGCTGCTGCCTTTCCGCGTCAAAGTCCGCGCGCGCCCTCCCCACCTCCACGCGCGCCACAAGCGCCGCTGCGCGCGCCACCTCCGCGCGGATCGCTGCCTCGCGCGCGGCTTCCGCTTCCGCCAGCAGCGCGCGCAGCTCCGCCTCCCCCAGCGCCAGCAGCGCGCGCCCCTCGTCTTCCAACTGCAGCACGTCCTTGTGATCGGCTCCTCTGGCTGGTGAGACTCCTCCCGTGCTGGGCGTGGCGATGCTGGCGATATCCACCTGCCTGTCTGCCTCCCCTCCGTCTACCTGCACCTCTTTCTCTTCCTCTGACTGCTCCGATTGCTCCTGCTGCTCCTGCTGCGACTGCTGCGACTGGTGCGACTGGTGCGACTGGTGTGACTGCTGCTCTTGCTCCTGCTGCTGTTCAAACTGCTGCTGCGGCTGCTGGCTGTTGAAATTGTCGTTCTCTTGGCGATCCACTGCGGAAGAACAATCTTCGCCCTGTCCGTTGCTCGAAGGGTAGGGTTGCTGCTCGTGCTGCGTGTGCTGCTGACTTGCAACCTCCGCTTCTTGCTGCTGCTGCTGCTGCTGCTGCTGCTGCTGCTGTTGCTCCTGCTGCTGCGCCTGCAGTTGGTCGTTATAATCGTGTGATTGCTCCTGCAGCTGTTGCTGCTGCTGCCTTCGTGCTTGGTTGTCTTCCTGCTCACACGAAAGGGCAGCAGCGACACAAATCGTGAGAGTGTTACCATATTTCGTATGCATCGTCCTTCCCCCATCATGTCCTGCAGGTTCGTACAGGACAAAAACAGCCTGTGCTATTGCTGGTGGAGACAGGATGCGGCAATCAGAAAGCCGTGTGAAATAGAAAACGATCCTGCGGGACGCTACACGTCCCACGACGGAGGGAACGCGCTTCCTGCGACAGAATCGACGACGTGCTGCTGCCGCTCGCGTGCATGCTTGTGCGTGGAATTCTCAAAAGTGTCGCACGTTCTAAGTCCGACGGAACGCACCTCCTGCGACGAACTCGGCGACGTGCTGCTGCCGCTCGCGTGCGACTGCCTCACGCCCGTCGCTTCGCCGTTCTCTAAACCCCCGGACGACCCGGACCCTAACCCTTGCCCTGAGGCCGACCCATCCAGGTTTTGCGTCGCCTGCCCATACGGTCGGCTGTTCCGCCCCCGCCCTCTGTACTGCGGAAGCTGATACACCTGACGCGGAGGACCCGCTCCGCCGCTTCCCCCTCCGCCTGCTCCTCCCCCTCCCCCTCCGCTGGTGCTCCCTTTCCCTCCCCCGTCCCCGCGGCCGTAGGCACTGTTCATCCGCCCATATGCTCCTCCTCCTCCCCCTCCCCCTCCGCCTCCTCCGCCGCCGCCGCCAGGTCGGTAATATCCAGGCGGGATCTGCTCCTGAGAGGGACCTCCTAATCCGCGCATCGCCATACCGGGAATCCCGGAGCCGCCGCCTGAACCCATGGGTCCTCCGGAATAATTTTGCATGCCGTCCGGAATTCCCTTGGGTTGCGAGTATACGTCGGAATTTGTGACTCTACCGAGGTGAATGTTCGGATCGCTGACAATTCGCCAGACTTCTCTTCGCCTTCCGCCGGGCATGTTACCCAGCGGGTTACCACCACCAGGACCACCGGCCGGGCCGCCTCCTGGAGGCATGCCATAAGAATTCATTCCTGCCTGCGAAGAATATAACAGACGGGATGTGATGTATACGATGACCTCTCCTTGCGTAGAATTGCTCTCTCTCCTAGCGTACAGTTGTTCTGTATTTTCGTGTGAAGTGGTAGTCCCTCTCGCGTCAGACGATCTGCGTCTAGAGTGACGCGAGCCTCGCGTCTGCTCCGATCCGAATCTCGTGAACTCGGACGATTGTTACCGAGTAAAGTGAAAAGCGACGAAGCTAGATCACGCGCTTTGCAATTGAAACGCCCTAACTAGTTTAGTTCTTACGAACTATCGGGACGCCTAACATCTAGCCACTATGGCTTGAGCAGCCAGACTTCGGTATGGCTAGACCTTCTGGCCGTGCCAGGAAGGCAAATGATTCCTAGCCTATCCGTGTTTGGTCCTTCAAAAGAATGGATCAGATCAGAGTTGAGCAAAGCAGAACCAAAAACACCAGTGGGAAAGGGAACGTTTGAGCATGCGAAATCGAGCGACAAATATTCGACTATCGTCGACCGGGTATCCACGTCGTTTGGCCAAGCGAGGGCATTTCGATAACTTCGAGGGGACTTTATTGCTGGGCTTGAGGTGGGGGTTTTTCTGTCACGTTCACCCAGCAAACCGCCAGCCACCAGCCATGTGCGCCACGTGCCAGTGCTTGTGCTTTTGTTGAAGGTGCCGTTATTAGATTTTCGAACTTCGCGAGTTGATTTTCGAACCAGCTCATTATACAACTGTACATTATTCCAGTGTATTTATGCAGATTTTCCTGAACTGTCAGCAGTTCCCAGTGCCGCGCTCTGCACTCCTTGGGGCAAGCCGAACCGAGCTCAATTGCCGCCACTTTCATCCCCCCTCGAAGTTCCCGAATTTCCGCTCCATTTCGAGGCTCCACTGGCGTCTTTATTCAATATCCCACTTCGCTGCGCTAGACCGTGCTATTATTGCTTGGCTACCATCGCCCTGGATACCGTCGTTCAGTCTAGCGTCGCTCGAGCTGCCGTCGTCGCTCACCAGGTAGCATCACTCGCCACTAGCCTGAGTCTGTACCAGACGCAAACAGTCATTCAGGAACGCGCGATGGCGCTTCGTCCGTTACGAAGCGCGTCGGGACGTCGACGTGTTTTCGTCGGCAAGCCGATCGTACCTGACTGCCAGCATCGTAGAAAAGAAAGCTTTTCTCGTAGTACCCAGCTGATAAGCATCACCCCACTTCCCTTGCTTCAACGCAAGCCGTGCGGTGCTTATTCTCAAACTAACACCCGTAGTTTACATTTTCCAAAAACAGAGCGTATCGTTTTCACCGATACTCGCTACAGCGTCACCTAGCGGAACAAAACTGGCAAGCTTGGATCACTACGTGACGAGATCGAGCATTCTGAGGCCAAGGCAGCGATGGTTCCCCCACGGATCCCCCGCGTCCTGCCGTGGCTGACCATGCTCCTTTCCGTGCTGCTAGCCCGCTCGGCATGGAGCCTCCCGCCTCCTCTCCGAACCGCAATCCGAGGTCCGGGACAGGCTCGGTACACGGCGTGCAACACAGGCAAGGGCCGCGCGGTGCTGTACAACTGCGGGCTGCAAGTGGGCAACGCGACGGCCGGCATAGCGTCGCTGCATGACGTACCGTCCGCGCAGAAGTGAGTTCCAGTTCATCTGTGGTTGTCGAGACTAGTCCCTCCATGGATGCAGAAAAGGATGCCATCATACGTGAGTGACGATTTCTAAAGCGCCCAAAAATACAATGCAATCATACGTGACCGTGACAGTACACTGTGCACAGTTCTTTCCCGTTGGTCGACCTTCCGAGGATGTGGGAGAAGCAGCGGAAAGGCGAAAATCTCCCTGACACGGCACAACTCACAGATTACTCCTGCTGATGCCCGTGCCCATCACCAGTGTCACTGGAAACAGCTGCCATCTTGCTGTCGCCCAATGTTTTTGCCTCCTCCCAAGTTTCCGCGTGATTTATCTCGACCACAGCCATGCATTGCACTGATTCCATTCCCAAGGCCTGTGTGCCATGCGTTCTCCTCTCCCCGTACTTGCCACCCCTCCCTCCCAGGTACCTGGTGAAGCTGCGCCCGGACGTGCCAGCAAGCCGGGTGGACGAGATATGCGACCTGGCAGAGAGTAACAACAGCACGCTCTATACAGGCACATGCCTCAAACGGTGCGTGCCAGACACATACCTCATACGGTGCATTCCAGTGCCCTTTTTTACTGGAAAAATGTGGCACTACTCCTTCGTTTATGTTTGCAATGCTCGTTCACGGGATGCCAGGGATGTCGTTGCTTTGTGCTCAAATGTCATCTCTTCCATTCCCTCCTCCCGCCACCCCTCTCTTCATCAGCTTCAAGGCGTTGTTCAACGGCATGCTGATGAGCCTATCAGGCCAGTCACTGCTGGCTCTGCTGGACTCCAAGTCCGCCCATCACTGACCCTATGCACCTTCTTCTCTACCCCCTCTCCGCCCTCGCCTCTCCCCCCTCCTCCACCAGCTTCAAGGCGTTGTTCAACGGCATGCTGATGGCCATATCAGGCCAGTCGTTGCTGGCTCTGCTGGACGCCGAGTCCGCTCTCGTGCAGTTCGTAGAGGTTGAGGGGCAGGTCCTCATCGCCTCCGCTCCCCCTACTCGTGCTGCTGCTGCTGCTGCTGCTGCTGCCACCGCTGCTTCCGCCGCCACTGCTGCTGCTGGTGGTGCTGCTGGTGGTGCTGCAGGAGATGCGTCTGGTGGGGATCTTGATGGGTCACCTTCTATCAGTTCGGCTGTGCTGGCGTCTGCATCTCTGGTCACGCGCACGCAGGTTTGAATATAAAGGGGAACGAGCAAGAGTACAACAACTGTTGTCACCTGCATTAACCACTCGCACTAGTCAAAGCTTATCACATTCGTTTTATGTATAGATACAGTCTCTCTTCTCTTCTTTCACAGTTTCTCGCCCTTCCTGTTTTCTTCTCGTTACCTCCATGCTCCCCTGTCTCCCATCCATCCAGCGCAAGCCCCTCTCATGGGGGCTGGACCGCATAGACCAGCGCCCAGCACGCCTCCCCTGGATGGCGCCTATTCTTGTCTCGACTCAAAGGCAGGAACCTTACATTTACATCCCTTCTCCCCACCCACCCGCCCATCCATCCAGCGCAAGCCCCTCTCATGGGGGCTGGACCGCATAGACCAGCGCCCAGGCGGGCCTCCCCTGGATGGCGCCTACTCGTACCCGGCCTCTGCTGGCGCAGGCGTGCATGTCTATGTGGTGGACACGGTGGGTTCACAGCCAGGCAAAACCCGTCCTTGGTCCGGTGTTGTGGGGTTTGGTGCGGTGGGATCTGGGATATTGGGCTCTGGACTGGAGTAGCAATTGTGTGTCTTTACTCTTCAGATATACAGCTATCTCTCTTCATTTCTGCCCTCACTTTTCTTCTCCCCTGTCACCCCTCCGCTCTCAAGGGCATGCGCGCTGCTCCCCTCCCACAGCGACTTTTACTTCTCAGACAGCCGACTCAACCTTCTCTGGTACCCAATTTCCCCGCTGTCTCTCCCCCTTTCCCCGCTGTCGCCCCTTCCTGCAGGGCGTGCGGTGCTCCCACAGCGACTTTTACTTCTCAGACAGCCGACTCAACCTTCTCTGGTACCCAATTTCCCCGCTGTCTCTCCCCCTTTCCCCGCTGTCGCCCCTTCCTGCAGGGCGTGCGGTGCTCCCACAGCGACTTTTACTTCTTAGACGGCCGGCTCAACCTTCTCTGGTACCCAATTTCCCCGCTGTCTCTCCCCCTTTCCCCGCTGTCGCCCCTTCCTGCAGGGCGTGCGGTGCTCCCACAGCGACTTTTACTTCTTAGACGGCCGGCTCAACCTTCTCTGGTACCCAATTTCCCCGCTGTCTCTCCCCCTTTCCCCGCTGTCGCCCCTTCCTGCAGGGCGTGCGGTGCTCCCACAGCGACTTTTACTTCTCAGACGGCCGGCTCAACCTTCTCTGGTACCCAATTTCCCCGCTGTCTCTCCCCCTTTCCCCGCTGTCGCCCCTTCCTGCAGGGCGTGCGGTGCTCCCACAGCGACTTTTACTTCTCAGACAGCCGACTCAACCTTCTCTGGTACCCAATTTCCCCGCTGTCTCTCCCCCTTTCCCCGCTGTCGCCCCTTCCTGCAGGGCGTGCGGTGCTCCCACAGCGACTTTTACTTCTCAGACGGCCGGCTCAACCTTCTCTGGTACCCAATTTCCCCGCTGTCTCTCCCCCTTTCCCCGCTGTCGCCCCTTCCTGCAGGGCGTGCGGTGCTCCCACAGCGACTTTTACTTCTCAGACGGCCGGCTCAACCTTCTCTGGTACCCAATTTCCCCGCTGTCTCTCCCCCTTTCCCCGCTGTCGCCCCTTCCTGCAGGGCGTGCGGTGCTCCCACAGCGACTTTTACTTCTCAGACGGCCGACTCAACCTTCTCTGGTACCCAATTTCCCCGCTGTCTCTCCCCCTTTCCCCGCTGTCGCCCCTTCCTGCAGGGCGTGCGGTGCTCCCACAGCGACTTTTACTTCTCAGACGGCCGGCTCAACCTTCTCTGGTACCCAATTTCCCCGCTGTCTCTCCCCCTTTCCCCGCTGTCGCCCCTTCCTGCAGGGCGTGCGGTGCTCCCACAGCGACTTTTACTTCTCAGACGGCCGGCTCAACCTTCTCTGGTACCCAATTTCCCCGCTGTCTCTCCCCCTTTCCCCGCTGTCGCCCCTTCCTGCAGGGCGTGCGGTGCTCCCACAGCGACTTTTACTTCTCAGACGGCCGGCTCAACCTTCTCTGGTACCCAATTTCCCCGCTGTCTCTCCCCCTTTCCCCGCTGTCGCCCCTTCCTGCAGGGCGTGCGGTGCTCCCACAGCGACTTTTACTTCTCAGACGGCCGGCTCAACCTTCTCTGGTACCCAATTTCCCCGCTGTCTCTCCCCCTTTCCCCGCTGTCGCCCCTTCCTGCAGGGCGTGCGGTGCTCCCACAGCGACTTTTACTTCTCAGACAGCCGACTCAACCTTCTCTGGTACCCAATTTCCCCGCTGTCTCTCCCCCTTTCCCCGCTGTCGCCCCTTCCTGCAGGGCGTGCGGTGCTCCCACAGCGACTTTTACTTCTCAGACAGCCGACTTAACCCTGCCACGCGCCGCCCCGCCTCGCGCTGCCTGCCGGGGGTGGACACGGTGGGGGATGGGCGTGGGGACGGCATGTCAGACTGCAACGGCCACGGCACCCACTGCGCTGGTATGACATTGGGGGGGGGGCGTCTTGTCGTGCTGCTGCTGTGGGAGTCTAGCGTTGAGACATCTTCTCATGCCGTGCTTGCTTGCCAGGAACCCACACTCGCCATTCCACTTGCTGTGCAACGTCCCGTCCCCTCTGTGCTGGCATGTCGTCGACCCTCTCCCTCTCTCGCAGGCACAGTGGCTGGACTAGTGAGCGGAGTAGCCAAGAGCACCTTCATTCTCCCGCCCGGTGCGCACCATGGACTCTGCCGGCAACGGGGCTTATTGAGGCACCCCACTCCCCTCTCTCTTCGTCCTTTCCCTCTCCCAGGCACCGTGGCTGGACTGATAAGCGGCGTGGCAAAGAGTGCGTTCATCCATCCAGTGCGCACCATGGACTGTGGCGGCAACGGCGCCTTTGGGGACATCCTGGAGGGGCTGGACTGGATTGCCCGCCACTACCAGGCGCCCGCTGTGGTGTCCATGAGCATCACCATGGCCACCAGTGCCAGCCTTGACGCTGCTCTCAAGGAACTTGTGGAGAAGACCGGAATCACTGTGGTGGGTAGAGTGCCGGGTGGGGGGTTACTGTGGATGGGGGCCCGTTGGTGGTTATGGTGAGTGCTACAGGCGCCCGCTGTGGTGTTCATGAGCATCACCATGGCCGCCTCTGCTAGCCTAGACGCTGCTCTCAAGGAACTGGTGGAGGAGACAGGGATTACTGTGGTATGTGTGGGAAGTGGGGTTCGCGGTGGTGGGTGCAGGCGCCCGCTGTGGTGTCCATGTCTTTATCACCATGGCCACGAGTGCCAGACAGGGATCACTGTGGTGCGTTGAGGAGATCAGTATGGCTGAGAGTGGCTGCTGAGTGAAGCCTGACTACAGTAACAGCAGCCCTGTGCTTTTGCATTCAGCACCTTCCTCCTTCCTGATCAACACTTCTCGTTCTCTCCCTCTCTCCCTCGCCTCCCAGGTGGCAGCAGCAGGCAACTTCTTCTCACTGGCGTGCAACTACTCACCAGCGGACAGTGATGATGTGATAGCAGTGGCATCTAGTACCAGCTCTGATACCATGAGCTGGTTCTCCAACTATGGCTCCTGCACCGACATCTTCGCTCCGGTGAGCATTTGCCTTTCAACTCCTTGAGCCAGTGTCTGCCCCGCACCCTAGTGAGTCCTCCCATGTTCGCTCTGATACCATGAGCTGGTTCCCCAACTACGGCTCCTGCACGGATCTCTTCGCTCTGGTGAGCCTTTTCTTTTTCCCGCCTTTATTTTTGTCCGTGGCTGCATTAACCCACGTAATCTCTCGCTGAGCTGCCATAAGCTGGCCTTCCAACTACAGCTCATGCATCAACACCTTTGCCCTGGTCAGATGCCGGATGAGTTTGTGTCAGATGCCGGATGAGTTTGTGTCAGATGCCGGATGAGTTTGTGTCAGATGCCGGATGAGTTTGTGTCAGATGCCGGATGAGTTTGTGTCAGATGCCGGATGAGTTTGTGTCAGATGCCGGATGAGTTTGTGTCAGATGCCGGATGAGTTTGTGTCAGATGCCGGATGAGTTTGTGTCAGATGCCGGATGAGTTTGTGTCAGATGCCGGATGAGTTTGTGTCAGATGCCGGATGAGTTTTTGTCAGATGCCGGATGAATTTGTGTTGCGTAGTGCATGCGCTTTCATCACAAGCCTCGGAATTGTGGTCGTATGTTTTTTCCATATGCTTCTGTGATACGCGTGCCTGTATGCCGATGCATGTGAGCATGCATGTGAGCATGTGCGTGTGAACCCATACGTGTCTACCCATGCATGTGTCTGCTCTGCCCACGTGTGTGTGCTTGCAGGGGGAGGAGATAGTGAGTGCGGGATCGGCATCAGACACTGCAATGGCAACCATGTCCGGAACATCCATGGCATGCCCACACGTGGTATGTGTACCTTCATGGCATGGCCTGGTATGTAATGCCTGCTGCCTGCATGTGGCATGGCACGACATGGCATGCCTGCATCTGGTGTGTGTGCATGTGCGTCCGCAAGGCCCTCTACGACACAACGTGGCATATCAGAGCACCGTGCAGGCAGTGAAGCCCAGCACGGTGCCGCGCCTGCTCTCTGTCAACTTCCACACCAACTTCTCTGCTCCATGTCCCTCCCCCCTCCTCTCCCCACCAGTCAGGAGCAGCAGCGCTGTACCTCTCCATGCAGCCTGCAGCGCGCCCCAGGGACGTGCGCAAGGCCCTATACGACACGGCGTATCAGAACGCCATCCAGGCTGTCAAGCCCAGCACAGTGCCACGCCTGCTGTCTGTCAACTTCCGCCCCCTGCTCGTGGACGTGGCTCCACGCTCCTTCCTCTCCCTGCTTGAAGGCGCCACTGCGCGCATCAAGGTGCTGCTGCTTAAGGCACCTGCTGCTGACGTGGTGTTTACTGCAACTGCCTCTGATGCCAGTGTTGGTGAGTGAACCGGTTCGAGAGCTGAGCCGGGGTTGCCCAATATGGATGGACCATAGACATGGACTCATAAACTGTTGGTGAAAGGACCATTTGTACGGCTTCCTGCCGTCGACCCTTCTCAGTTTTCCTCCCCCTGTTGTCCTCTCCTTGTGCGTCCCTCCATCAGCGTCCTTCTCGCCCTCGCGCCTCACCTTTCCTGCGCGCCGCACGCCAGCTGCACAGTACATCACCATTCATCTCGCCTACTCGCCCAGTAAGTTTCACTCTCTGCTATTCTTTTCTAACTCTCACATGCCTGACTCTCTCGATGCAACCATTCTTTTCTAACTCGAAATCCCGTGTCTCAATCCTTTCTCGCAGAAAAGCAGATAAGTATACTCACCTTAACCTCTCTGCTGGCCATCGCCTTCTCCCTTCTCAAACCTTCACCCTCCTTCACCACTCCCAACCCCTGCAGCGTACCTGGATCGAGCCACACTACTGGCCTTCACCTTCACCAGCAAGGACTCTGCCTTTGGGGCATCCCTGGAGGGGTATGCTGTGGCGTACGACAAAGGTAAGTGCTGGAGAGGAGGGGAGCACAGGGATCGTGTGAAGGAGGGTGGGAGGGCAGGGGGGGTGGGCGGGTGGATATTAAAACGCCTCAAAACTCGACTTTGGGGCAACTCTGGAGGGATATGCTGTGGTGTGGCGTTCTATGAAGGTGCGTGCTGGGGAGGGGAGAACGATGGTCGACGGGAAATGGGTGAGAGGGGAGACTTAAAACATTTTGAGACTTCCTCTTTGCCAATCTAACAGCCACTGAGTCGCATTAGAAGGTTACTTGTTTTCCCCCCATGCCTTCCATGTCTCCTCCTCGCAGATGTGTGCAAGGCGCCGTGTGGGCAGAGTGTGGAGCAGCCCAAAGTGGTGCCATCGCTGCCTTTCTATTACGAGGATGACAGCAGCAGCTACAGCCTGCAGGAACAGCTCATTCACACTCCCCCACACCCATTTCCCCAACCCCCAAACCCCATGCAGATGTGTGCAAGGCGCCGTGTGGGCAAAGCGTGGAGCAGCCCAAGGTGGTGCGAGGCGCTGCCCTTCTACCGCATGCCCTTTTAGTCCAAGGATGACAGCACGCACGCACTACCGCGACCTGCTCACACGCCCCCCATATTCCCACCCTCCCACACCCTGAAACGCGTGCACAGATGTGTGCAAGGCGCCGTGTGGGCAAAGCGTGGAGCAGCCCAAGGTGGTGCGAGGCGCTGCCCTTCTACCGCATGCCCTTTGAGTCCAAGGATGACAGCACGCACGCACTACCGCGACCTGCTCACACGCCCCCCATATTCCCACCCTCCCACACCCTGAAACGCGTGCACAGATGTGTGCAAGGCGCCGTGTGGGCAGAGCGTGGAACAGCCTAAAGTGGTGCCGGCACTGCCTTTCTACTACGAGGATGACAGCACACACTACCGTGACCTGTACAACGCCAAGCTGGACAGTTGCCATGACACGGGGCCCGATGTGGTCTTCCAATACACTCCGCCCCAGAACATGGTGAGAGTGTGGGGCGTGCAGTTGGCTAGTGAGGCATCTCAGGAGGTGTGTGACAGCACACGCTACCGTGACCTGTACAACGCCAAGCTGGACAGTTGCCATGACACGGGGCCCGATGTGGTCTTCCAATACACTCCGCCCCAGAACATGGTGAGTGTGTGGGGCGTGCAGTTGGCTAGTGAGGCATCTCAGGAGGTGTGTGTGACAGCACACACTACCGTGACCTGTACAACGCCAAGCTGGACAGTTGCCATGACACGGGCCCCGATGTTGTGTTTCAATACACCCCGCCCCAGAACATGGTGAGTGGGGGAGGCCTGCAAACGCCCTAGCCGATCTCTAGTCGAGTCAGGGATCACCACACAACGCCCTACCTCATGGTGGTGTTAAGGTGGTGCCAGCACTGCCCTTCTATTACGAGGATGACAGCACACATTACCGTGACCTGTACAACGCCAAGCTGGACAGTTGCCATGACACGGGGCCTGATGTGGTCTTCCAATACACTCCTCCCTATCACATGGTGGGTGGGGCGTGCACAAGCCTGAGGTGACTTCTGAGGCCACAACCAGTACACTCCTCCCTATCACATGGTGGGTGGGGCGTGCACACTGCACAAGGGGGCGAATTGACTAGGACCACTGGCACATTCCTGGCACACTCCTGGCACACTCCTGGCAAACTCCTGGCTCACATGCCATGGTTGTGCGTTTCGTTTCCCGCAATGCACCTTGTCAGCCTCACGGGCCCCACTTACCCGCCTCCTGCCTAAGAGCGCACTTAGCCAGCAACTAAGCACATTTCCCTTCCGTGGCACATGCTCTTCATCGTTCTTCCCTTTCCCCCACCTCGCTTCCCGCCCCCTCCGTGGTGCCAGTGGACCTGTGCAGCCTCACGGAGTTTGACTCCGTCCTGAGGACCTACGAACGCACCAAGCCACACGCTCTCCTTAGAACATGCTCTTCCTTTTTCTTTCTTTCTCCCGCTTACCCTCCCTCACCAGGTAGTGTCAGTGGACCTGTGCAGTCTCACGGAGTTTGACTCGGTGCTGAGTGCCTATGAGCGCACCAAGCCAGGAGCTAAGCCGGTATCCATCGGATGCAACGACGACTCCTGCGGCACCAAGTCCAAGCTCTCAGGGCTCATCCTCGCTAAGGGCACCACCTACTTCTTTGTAAGACCCTTCGTGTAGTACCTTTTGAAATTCGGCTCAAACGCCACGTGCCAAGCTTGTTGCCATGGCTTGCTCGTGCGCCACCAAGTCCAAGCTCTCAGGCCTTATTCTCGCTAAGGGCACCACCTACTTCTTTGTAATTTATTTTTGAGAATTCTCAAAAATACCCTGCATTTGAGAACCTTGATCGCGATCTTGTTCTCTCTTTCCCTTTTTAATCTTTCCATTGTGAAAATTCTTTGCACAGCGCTGCGCACTCCTTCCCTAAATTCTCTCCGCAACTCATGTCCTCATTTTGTGAGCGCGTGCGTGTCTGCGTCCCTGTGCTCCCATACCTGGCAGATGGTGGACGGGTGGGGAGGCACAGGGGGCAAGTTCGCAATCAACATGGTTGTCACCAAGCTACTCAGGGCACTCGACTTAAAATTCATCTCTCATGTCCCTCTGCTGTCCCTCTCCTGTCCCTCTGCTCTCACACCTGGCAGATGGTGGACGGGTGGGGAGGCACAGGGGGCAAGTTCGCGATCAACATGGTTGTCACCAAGCTGCTCAAAGCACTCGACTTCCAGGCACTCCGTAACAAGGCATCCCAGCTCATCCGCTCCAAGGCAGTCAGCACAAAGGCGCTCGCCTCCTTGCGCTCTGAACCCCTGGACACCCTGCGGTCCGTGCCTGTGCTGCCACCGCATCACACGCCCCACCCTCTCCTCTCGCTGCCCACCAACCCCTCCTCCTCCCACCCCTCCTCCTCCCACCCCTCCTCCTCCCACCCCTCCTCCTCCCACCCCCTCCTCCCACCCCTCCTCCTCCCACCCCTCCTCCTCCCACCCCTCCTCCTCCCACCCCTCCTCCTCCCACCCCTCCTCCTCCCACCCCTCCTCCTCCCACCCCTCCTCCTCCCACCCCTCCTCCTCCCACCCCTCCTCCTCCCACCCCTCCTCCTCCCACCCCTCCTCCTCCCACCCCTCCTCCTCCCACCCCTCCTCCTCCCACCCCTCCTCCTCCCACCCCTCCTCCTCCCACCGTGCTTCTTCCGAGTCTGGTGCTGGCAATGCCGCAACTCCCTCGTTCTCCTTCGCTTCGCCACACCACCTCACAAGCCCACCCCGATTCATCTACATGAATGGCAGCACCCCCCTGCTGCTCGCCCCGCCCAGTGGCCCTGGTGTGGGGGCGCGTGATGATGGTGCGGGTGCTGACACTAAAGGCCCGTACCATGTGCTGACGGGGCCCTGGGGAGAGTGCTCCGTGTCGTGTGGTGTGGGGCAGCAGCAGAGGTAGGCATCGGGATGGGAGGGCATGGCATGGCATGGCGTGGCATGGCGTGGCATGCCTGGGGTTGCATTTAACGACCTGTTAATTTCCGGAGAAAGCAATCACCATTCCATCTCAACCTTCCTCACCTGCCTCACTGCTCACTGCTGTCTGTCTCTTGACGTGCACACTTATCCTTTTCACCTCCTCTCATCACCTCACGCGTCTCTATCAGCACCCTTCACTTCCCCCACACCACCATGTTTTCCCTCTTCCTTACAAAGTGCCCTTCTGTTCTCTTGCAAAACCCTCTGTCTCACCTCAACCAGAATCGCATGGTGCGTGGACGCCCAGGGAATGACGGCCCAATCACCTCTCGCCAGCTGTCCGCTGCTCCCTGCTGTGCCCACCACCCAGCCATGCCAGCTGGCACCCTGCACGCGCGGTTACTGGGACGTTACACAGTGGCAGGTGTGTCCATTTCTGTTTGTCACTTTGGAAAATCTCGGAATTTGTAGGTGTGTCAACAGTTCCTCTATCCTTCTCGCTCACATGCTGTCTCTGTCAGTTAAGCTGTGTTAAGAATCGCTCGCCCATTTTACACCTCTCACCATTCTTGCCCTCACCCCCTCTTCCCCTCGCTAGGGCTGCAACGTGCCGTGTGGTGGAGGCATCAACGTGCGGTCAGTGGTGTGTCGCGACGCCGTGCAGGGCAACATGCTCGACGACTCCCGCTGCTCCTCCGCCCCTATTTTGAGACGTCTCAAAACAGGCAACATGCTCGACCACTCCCACTCCACCCCTACTCCCATCTCTCCCCACCCTCTTCCTCCTCTCGCCCTTTTCTTCCCCCTGCCCCATTCCTCCCCCCACCAGGGCTGCAATGTGCCGTGTGGTGGAGGCGTCAACGTGCGGTCAGTGGTGTGTCGAGACGCCGTGCAGGGCAACATGCTCGACGACTCCCGCTGCTCCTCCACTCCCCCGCCCACCAACCAGTCCTGCAACACGCAGGTCCGGACACAAATGCTCACACCCTCACACTCTCAGAGCTCACACCTCACACCGGCACACTCACACTCACACTCACGCACGCGCCCACACTTAAACGCCCTCGCAGCTGCTCTGCCTGCTCACACCCATTCTGCGAGGGCGTTTGGGCGTGAGCTCACACCTCACACCGGCACACTCACACACCCTCACACCCAAACGCCCTCGCAGCTGCTCTGCCTGCTCACACCCATTCTGCGAGGGCGTTTGGGCGTGAGCTCACACCTCACACCGGCACACTCACACACCCTCACACCCAAACGCCCTCGCAGCTGCTCTGCCTGCTCACACCCATTCTGCGAGGGCGTTTGGGCGTGAGCTCACACCTCACACCGGCACACTCACACACCCTCACACCCAAACGCCCTCGCAGCTGCTCTGCCTGCTCACACCCATTCTGCGAGGGCGTTTGGGCGTGAGCTCACACCTCACACCGGCACACTCACACACCCTCACACCCAAACGCCCTCGCAGCTGCTCTGCCTGCTCACACCCATTCTGCGAGGGCGTTTGGGCGTGAGCTCACACCTCACACCGGCACACTCACACACCCTCACACCCAAACGCCCTCGCAGCTGCTCTGCCTGCTCACACCCATTCTGCGAGGGCGTTTGGGCGTGAGCTCACACCTCACACCGGCACACTCACACACCCTCACACCCAAACGCCCTCGCAGCTGCTCTGCCTGCTCACACCCATTCTGCGAGGGCGTTTGGGCGTGAGCTCACACCTCACACCGGCACACTCACACACCCTCACACCCAAACGCCCTCGCAGCTGCTCTGCCTGCTCACACCCATTCTGCGAGGGCGTTTGGGCGTGAGCTCACACCTCACACCGGCACACTCACACACCCTCACACCCAAACGCCCTCGCAGCTGCTCTGCCTGCTCACACCCATTCTGCGAGGGCGTTTGGGCGTGAGCTCACACCTCACACCGGCACACTCACACACCCTCACACCCAAACGCCCTCGCAGCTGCTCTGCCTGCTCACACCCATTCTGCGAGGGCGTTTGGGCGTGAGCTCACACCTCACACCGGCACACTCACACACCCTCACACCCAAACGCCCTCGCAGCTGCTCTGCCTGCTCACACCCATTCTGCGAGGGCGTTTGGGCGTGAGCTCACACCTCACACCGGCACACTCACACACCCTCACACCCAAACGCCCTCGCAGCTGCTCTGCCTGCTCACACCCATTCTGCGAGGGCGTTTGGGCGTGAGCTCACACCTCACACCGGCACACTCACACACCCTCACACCCAAACGCCCTCGCAGCTGCTCTGCCTGCTCACACCCATTCTGCGAGGGCGTTTGGGCGTGAGCTCACACCTCACACCGGCACACTCACACACCCTCACACCCAAACGCCCTCGCAGCTGCTCTGCCTGCTCACACCCATTCTGCGAGGGCGTTTGGGCGTGAGCTCACACCTCACACCGGCACACTCACACACCCTCACACCCAAACGCCCTCGCAGCTGCTCTGCCTGCTCACACCCATTCTGCGAGGGCGTTTGGGCGTGAGCTCACACCTCACACCGGCACACTCACACACCCTCACACCCAAACGCCCTCGCAGCTGCCCTGCCTGCTCACACCCATTCTGCGAGGGCGTTTGGGCGTGAGCTCACACCTCACACCGGCACACTCACACACCCTCACACCCAAACGCCCTCGCAGCTGCTCTGCCTGCTCACACCCATTCTGCGAGGGCGTTTGGGCGTGAGCTCACACCTCACACCGGCACACTCACACACCCTCACACCCAAACGCCCTCGCAGCTGCTCTGCCTGCTTGCCAGTACGGTCTCATTCCAGACACACCTTGCCTCAAGTTCTTCTCTCGCTGTCTTCCTTACGCTCTCTCTCTGCCTTACCTCTGCTCTCTCTCCTCCTCCCCTCCGCCCCCCAGCCGTGCTCCATCTACACGAGGAGGCCTCTTGGCTGGTCTCCCTGCCAATACTCCCTGACCCTCTTGTCAAATGCACATTCTGAAATGATCCCACCTTGCCTCAAATCTCTCTCACTCTCTGCTCCTCCCCTCCTCCCCCCAGCCTTGCTCCATCTACACGTGGAGGCCTAGCGGCTGGTCTCCCTGCCAGTACTCCCTGACCCTCTTGTCAGATGCACATGCTGGGATGACACGCAACAGCAGCAGCAGCAGTGGTGGCAGCAGCCGCAGCACCAGCAGCACCAGCAGCACCAGCAATACGAGCAGAAGCAGCAGTGGTGGAACGGGGTGGAGTGTGGTGGAGGAGGAAGTGATGCGAGTGTACGGGTGGAGAAGGAGGGACATTGAGGTCTGTTGAGGTTCCTTCTGCTGTGTGCCAAGCTGCTGCTCATTGTGTTTCAATCGCAGTGCATGCATGCCCAGCTCGTTTCACACTCAAGAAAACCACCTGCAAGCTGCTTCAAGATATTGCTTCTCAATCGTCCCATTCCCTCCTTCCCCAACCAACCTTTCTGTTTCCACTTGCCACTCCTGCTTTTCTGTTTTCCGTTCTCCCTTCTCGCTCGCTCCCTCCGTTCTCACTCCCTCCTCCTTCCTCCCTTTGTTCTCCCTTGTCCTCTCTTTATCTCGCAGTGTGTGAGCATACGAGGCCAATCAGTCCAAGACTCGTTCTGCTCCAGCTCAGTCAAACCCGCAACGTTCTCCCCCTGCCTCCCGCCTCCCCCACTCCCCTCCACCACCTCCCATGCTGCCTCCTCCCCCTCCGTTTCACCCTCTTCCTCCACCAACGCTCCCAATACTACGGCTGGTGTCGCTCCCAGTAATGCAACTGCTACCGCCACCACCAAACCATCCAATCGCAGCAGCAGCAGCAGCAGCAGCAGTCACAGCAGCAGCAGCAACAGCCACAGCAGCCGAAACAGCCACAGTAGCAGCAACAGCCACAGTAGCAGCAAAAGCCACAGCAGGAACAGCAGGCATGGCAGACACAGAAAGCACAGCACGCACGGCAAGCATAGCAAGCACAGCAAGCACAGCAAGCACAGCCACAGAAGCCGCAAGAGCAACAGCAGCACCTCTTCTCTTCTCTGCTCCAGCCTCTCATGCACACACGGCACGTGTGAGGTGAGCACGGCATGTGTGAGGTGAGCACGGCATGTGTGAGGTGAGCATGGCACTTGCGAGGTGAGCACGGCACTTGCGAGGTGAGCATGGCACGGCGCTTGCAATTTCTTTTTGAGACGCCGAAAAAGCATTAGACACTTACAACGTGAGCCATGTCGTGTCTTGTGCTCTCGTACACAGGAGACTTGAGATGGGCTGCTTGTTGTCTCTGCACTGCTAGCAACCCCGTGTTTGGAACGCCTTAAATCTCATAGCACTCCACTCGTTCCCTTCCCCTCCCGCCCAACCACCCTCCTTGCATGCAGCGGAGAGCGTGTTTGGGCATGGAGGGATGGACAGGCGCTCAGTGCAGCGAGCCTCGCCCCTCATAACATAACACTCACTCCCCTGTTCTCTTTCCCTCACCCTCCAACCGCCCTCCATGCATGCAGCGGGGAGCGTGTGTGTGCAGGGAGGGTTGGACGGGCCCTCAGTGCAGCGAGCCTCGGCGCTGTGGAGGCAGGCCCGTGGGACTCATGCTCTCTCCCACGCCGCAGGTCTCACAATCCCCTCTGTTCCCTTGCCGTCTTTCCCACCCCCGCCCTCCATGCATGCAGCGGGGGGCATGTGTGTGCAGGGAGGGGTGGACCGGCCCACAGTGCAGTGAGCCTCGCCCCTGTGGAGGCAGGCCCGTGGGACTCATGCTCTCTCCCATGCCTGTCCACGCTCAAACTGCTGCTTCTGCTTCTGTTGCTGCTGATGCTGATGATGCTGATGCCGCCGCTGATGTTGCTGCTGTAGCAACAACTGTTGACCGGCCAAATGGGTTAGGATCAGGCAGCAGTGACTGCAACAGCACCAGCACCCTCAACCCCTTCAGCAGCTGCAGCAGCAGCAGCGGCAGCAGCAGCAGCACCAGCAGCACCAGCAGCACCAGCAGCAGCAGCAGCAGCAGCAGCAGCAGCAGCAGCAGCAGCAGCATTAGCAGCAGCAGCAACAGCAGCAGCAGCAGCAGCAGTGTGAATATGACTGTTTCAGTGCACGTCTCCTGCTGTCCGGCTTACCTAGTGGATCGATGGGGGTGGTGCTGCCTCTCTGCCTCTGCCCGCCTTGACCAGGTCTGCTCCTGCCTGTGTGCATGCCCCTGCCCCTTGTCCTGCCCATGCCCCTGCTCCTGGCTCACTGGAGTTGTGGCAGCACATTAAGTTGTGAGGCGTCTCAACACTGCGGCTGCCCTCTGTGTCTCTGAATTTCCTTTTGGTGCAGCCTCGGACACACTGCACACATGCACCTAATCTCATGCTACTTACTTTCCTTTCTTGCTCTCCCCGTCGTGCTTGAGTGCCCTTCCTTCTTCTGTGAATAACTGCCTTCTTCCCTCACTACCTGTCCGCCTGTGCGCCTCTGTATCATGTACCTGTCTGCCTGTCTGCCTGTGTTCCTGTGACCCTGTGTGCCTGTGTGCGGTGCGACTGGGTGCAGAACGGTGCATGCTGTGAGAGTGGCCGAGTGGACGCCTGCGGAGTATGCAATGGCAATGGCAGGTACGGGTGAGACCGAGTGGGAGAGAGGAGAGGTGACATACCCGGTAGTTTCTCTTTCTTTAGAGGCATCTTGAGACGTCTCAAAGCAGATGTATTTTCACTCTTTGATGGGGAGTGTGCTGTGCTGCACATTGGGCATGCGGGCCCCCCACCACCACTATCCCTTCTCTCTTTTCTCCCGTCCCATTTCCCTATCCATCCCCCCTCCCCATCCCACCATCCACCTCCCTCGCACCCAGCGCGGTGGACATAAGGGGAGACTGCTGCACGTCGGGTCTGAGGGACGAGATGGGGGTGTGCTGCCCCTCCGCCCGCCTCGATGCATGCGGGCAATGTGATGGGGACGGCACTTCCTGCGCGCTCCTTGCGACCGTTGCCGTGCGGGTATGTGCTCGTTCAGGTAGTGACAGGTAGCAGGAGGTCTACTCAAAAGCTGGGCAGTTGTGCTCGAATGCATGCGTCCCTGTCTCCTCTTTGCCCGCTTGAATGCATGCGGGCGATGCGATGGGGACAGCACCTCCTGTGCTCTCCTCGCCACCGTTGCCATGCGGGTACGTGTGCTTCCATCCAAGATGCAATGGGTTTTGTGATCCACTTAGAAACGATGCAATGGGGACGGCAACCCCCTGCGCTTTCCTTGCCCACATGTTTCCATGCCATGTGGGTATCGTATGTGCACACACCGAACACATGCATGCAGGATGCCATGCAACTTGATCTGATTCCCTCTAGCGTCTACAATGCATCAGCGAGCATCATATTGCATCATGAACAAATCATGCCGCATGGTATGGCATGTGTCTCCACATTCATGTGCCCTTCCCCGCCCAATCTCTCTCCCCACCTGTCTCCCTTGCTTCCTGTTTTCCTGTCCTCGCCTTCTCCGTTCGCAGGTACCATTTTCGCAGTCAGTGGCCTCGCATGCTCTCGAGCTTGCCTCCAGCACTGTGAATGTGAACTCCAGCTTGGTTGCTTCCAGCTCCCCCAGCACCAGTACAGATGGCGATACAGGCAATAATAGTTCCAATGACACTGCAGGCAACAGCAGCGACTATCACTTCAGCGCCTTCGCTTCTGCGTTCACCAGTGGGGTACGTAGGGCATGTCATGCTCTTGAGCAAAGGCCTGCCTGCCATGCTGGTTCTCACACAGCACTGCATGAATGCATCTCCACACATGAGCATACTCGTTTTGACGCACATCTCCTTCACTTCCCACCCCCCTTTTTCTCACACCTCCCTCACTCACTCGCGCATGCCATCAGATGGCTGAGATCCTGGACGTGCTTTTGAGACGTCTCAAAAGTCGTTCCTTCACACACCTCCCTCTCCATCAGATGGCTGAGATTCTGGACGTTTGAGTCGACTCAGAAGATCTTTGCGTCGACTCAAAATTCAACTCCTTCACACACCTCCCTCTCTCACTCACTCCATCAGATGGCTGAGATTCTGGACGTGCTACCACAAGCCATCTCCTTCCTCTCAATCACACCAGCGCCATGCCTGCCTGACCTCCCAGAAACTTCTGCTCCAAACCAGCTCTCGTCGGCCACCGAACCTAGCTCTCAGGCTGGGCAGGAGAGGTCTGGGGTGGAGCAATCAGGCCATGCGTGGGAGTCAGAGGGGGGGTGTGGGCAGCTGGATGACACAGACAGCCCTAGAGGCGTTTCGGTGCAGTTTGTTGCTCAGCCCCTCGCGGTACGTGCTGCTGTCGCTGTCGCTGCTGCTGTTGTTGCTGTTGCTGTCGCAGTTGCTGTTGCTGTTGATGTGGCTGTTGCTGTTGCTGTCGCTGTTGCTGTTGCTGTTGCTGTCGCTGTTGCTGTCATTGTTGCTGCTGCTGTTGCTGTCGCTGTTGCTGTTGCTGTTGCTGTCGCTGTTGCTGTCATTGTTGCTGCTGCCCTTTTGAGGCGTCTCAAAGGGCAGCTGAATGACACGGACAGCCCCAGAGACGTTTGAGTGCAATTCGTTGCTCAGCCCCTAGCGGTATGCACCGCTGTTGTTGCTGCTGCTGCTGCCGCTGCTGCTGCTGCTGTTGCTGCTGCTGCTACTGCCGCTGCTGCTGCTGCAGCCGCTGTCGCTGTCACCCTTGCAAGGGGCAGGTTCAAGCAAAAGAAATTTATGTTGCCTTCCTGTGCGCATGCGCACATCTCTCTAACCAAAACCATCTCATCCTTTGAAGTGTCTAGTTTTGAGTCGACTCAAAACAAAACCATCTCATCCTTCGGGGTGGGCGACGGACATGAATGGGTGGTGTGTGGCAGGTGGGGTCCACGACTCCACGCATGGCAGAGACCAGCTTCCGAGAGGCGCTGGTGCAGTATGCTCAGGACAGCATGCAACCCCCAACCAAGCCATTCCTGGTGATGCCCCTCCCTCCCCACCCCAGCCATTCTGCCGCAAAGTCACCTGCTGCTCTTACTCATTATTCCAACACCACACATGTTTGTCTCAGTGCTGAATGGGCATGTGCTCTTGATAAAGCGCCCTGGGCTTGCATTTCCCTGCATGGTCGAGGTCTTGTGCCACGCAGCAGCACTCATGGTGTGTGTTCATGTTGTTCCCATCAGGGCGTCCCTGGTGCTTCCTTCATGTCGCTGCTCTTATCAACCCGCCTTGGCATCTGTGGAAACAACATCTGTGAGATCGGAGAGCGGTGCTCGCAGGCCAGTGGGGCTTCTGCTTTTCCGGGCAGTTCCCAGATTGCAAATGGGATTTCCAGAGGCAGCGACGGATCTCTTTGCTGCCCAGAAGACTGCCCATTTGTTTCGCTGGTGTGTCCAGCACCTGGCGATGGCCGGGGGAGGAACATTGCATGCTCTGGCTTTGGTCGGTGCCTTGACTTCACAGGCACATGTGACTGCTTCTGGGGTACGTATGGAGATGTAAAACCCCACCTTAGAAACATAATGGTCCACGACTGTCCACCTTGGTTGATTTTCTTCTACCAACGTTGTGTCCTGTGCGTGTCACATGCTTCTGGAGGGTAAATCCGCTAAAGCAATGTGCGCCATACCATTTGTGATACCCTACCAGGTCATGTTGGTGAGGATTGCTCCGAATGCGCCACTGGCTGGGTAAGGTCGGCAGTAACAGGTTCATGCTACATTCAGCCAACAAATGCTGCGTTTTCATCGATAATGAGCGTCTACAATGGTTCCGCACCAGTTGGTGAGTTCAGTTCTGCTGCTAGTGTTTCTTATGCAAGCTACCCTTCCTAACGTGCAGTGAAACTGTTTCAGCCACGGAATCTGAAAATAGCCTCATGTACAAGTACCATGCTTGAGCAAGGATTCATATATTTATGCTTGTTGATCAAAAATTCAATTCTTTATCAAGATATACAGCTTAAGAAGCGAAGAACTTGTCCAGGCTCTGGAAGACGGTCGTGTTCCATGGGTCGGCAAGGTGGTCAACCAGGTTGGCGAAGGGACCAGCACCGGTGACGTGCGACTGGATGATGAAGCCCAAGAACGCGATCATGGCGGTACGGCCTGAAAAACATAAATGCACGAGTAATTTAGTCCGACGAACATCGTGCCTTGATCCGAAAATATTGTTACTATATCGCAATAAACTGAAGCGTAGTAGTGATGCTCACCGTTAGCGAGCTCGCTCTCCTTGCTGCGGAAGTCGGTTCCCAGGCCCATGGGGTTGAAGCCGGGGTAACCCACTTCACCAGGGGCGAGCGTATTGCCGAACGGGTCCTTGCTCACGCTGCCGGGCTTCTTGATGTCTTGCCACCTCAGAAGCTCAACAAAGTTGAACAGGATGAACTCAATGGCGAACAGGGTGGGAGTGGGGCACCAGTACTCAGCGACACCAGTGTCGTACCACACGGGCACGTTCAGGAGCCCAGCGGAGGTCAGAGCCTCGGGGATGATCATGCCGGCAACACCGAGCATGGCCCAGCGGCCGTTCTGGAGCTCGGCCTGGACGTACCACTTGAGGTTCTCGGGATCCTCAGCCAGGGCAAGGGGATCGAAGCCGTTGTCGCCGGGGAGGCTGGAATAATAAGAAAGGATAGATGCGAAGGCATTAGTCGTCTACGAAGAAACGTTCCGATATCGCACGGTAAGAATGCGCCTGAAAGGATCATTGCTGATTCACGTATCGAACGGCATTTACCTGCCATCGAGCCAGGCCGGGGAGGTGGACCCAGGGAGCCAGTTGCCCTTAGCCTCAATCTTCAGGGCGGAGATGGAGGTCGGCTGTGCGTTAGCACGGGTCGACCTGGCAAGGCGCGAGGAACCCGCGCCAAGGAAAGTGGACCTAGCCACGACGGAGGCAGCCTGCATGGTGACGGAAGCCATGGCTACGTCTTTGGTTGGCGAACTGAAGGAGGTGGCTTGGAAAGAGGTTCCTCTGCAGTCAGCAGTCTAACGATTGCTGGGATGGTACTTCAGCTCCTCCACCCCCTCCGCCAGGTTGCTCCACCTGTGTTCCCCGCGCTTGGCTGAGAGACGCAATTCCCACGGGGCAGATGGGGGGAACCAGCGACTGGCGAACGAGCGATATCCAAAACTCAAGGCGTATCTGAATCAGCCAATCGTGGATAAGACCCATCGTTCTCGCAGCATACTGGTTGGCTGTCAACTTCAGCGCAACGCCCTCATTGATTTCTGTCGCGAAGTCGGATTGTTCACTGGGTGATAGGCCCCTAAAATTCGTGAAGTCATGGTAACCAGAAAAATCAAATACCACTGGGGTGTAGACATAAAAGAATATGCTCTTACTGCTATAAGAATTTCAGCTCCACCTCAACACAACCTTTCTGGACAAACCTATAGCATATACGCCATAAGAACATAAATCTCAAGTTAATTTTGGAACTCTTATTCATTCTGAACAATAATATGTGAGGTTAATGGAATATGTAATCTGTACCATCAATTTACATACTAAGGATTGAGAGAACTTATATTGAGTGCAGTGCGGTGTATGGGAACGAGCATCTAATCCAGCTACTGGAACAGATGTTATTTAACACAATTATCGGTAAGCCAAATTCGCACAAATCACTAATGCATTAACCTCTATCTAGTGCTTCATTTACGGTAGATTCAGCCCAGCCACCTGTCCTAGTTCCACTGAGATCAGTTGTGGGGCAGATAGTAGCAGATTACTAGGCGCATTTCTCTTCTTCTTTATAATGTCCATTCAATCTAAGTTTTTGCCACTAGGGGATGCCTTGCTGCGCCCAAAATGAACTTTCTCACACACCATAGCTTGTAAGCAGAAAGTATACACCACGAGGTTTGTTGCACTGCAAGTAGAATGTGGTCCTTCCCTGGCACTCCCAGATGATCATCCTACTTTCACCTCAAGCCATCCCACTCGCAGATTGGTTTTCCACCATTGGCCTGTTCCGTATGATAACAGCCGCAACAGGCAATCCATTTGACTGCTAACTCAATTTTCACTAATTGGACTTTTAACTAAACATTATATTTGTACAAATTTGAACTTAGTGAGACGCGTAGAAAGCATCCAGGCTCTGGAAAACGGTGGTGTTCCATGGGTCAGAAATGTGGGCGACAAGGTTGGCGAAAGGACCAGCACCAGTGACGTGAGACTGGATGATGAAGCCCAAGAAAGCGATCATGGCGGTACGACCTGGAAATGGATGAGAAGATAAGAGATTAGTCTCGAATGAGGGGTACGAAAGCCAACACCCAGCAATTACGAACGCTTGATATAAAATTTCTCACCATTAGCCAGCTCGCTCTCCTTGGTGCGGAAGTCGGTTCCCATACTCAGGGGGTTGAAGCTGGGGTAGCCGACATCACCAGGGGGAAGCTTGTTGTTCTTGAAGAACGGGTCCGTGCTCACGCTGCCGGGCTTCTTGATGTCTTGCCACCTCAGAAGCTCGACAAAGTTGAACAGGATGAACTCAATGGCGAACAGGGTGGGAGTGGGGCACCAGTACTCAGCGACACCAGTGTCGTACCACACGGGCACGTTCAGGAGCCCAGCGGAGGTCAGAGCCTCGGGGATGATCATGCCTGCAACACCAAGCATAGCCCAGCGACCGTTCTGGAGCTCGGCCTGGACGTACCACTTGAGGTTCTCGGGATCCTCAGCCAGGGCAAGGGGATCGAAGCCGTTGTCGCCGGGGAGGCTGCATCAGGAAACAAGATGGAGCGCATTTAGATATCTGAGTGCTGAGTGTCGATTCTGGTTCAGCGTTATCGTTTCCTTCGGTGCCTGTCGAACACACTAAAGCATACACGCAGAACCGCTAAGTACCTGCCATCAAGCCAGGCCGGAGAGGTGGAACCTGGAAGCCAGTTACCCTTGGCTTCAATTTTAAGGGCCGACACGGAAACGGGCTGCGCAGCAGCACGGGTCGACTTAGCAAGGCGCGACTGGCCAGCGCCAAGGAAGGCGGACTTGGCCACAACGGCGGTAGACGCAGCCTGCATGGTGACGGACGCCATGGCTTTCAGTAGCCTGTGTTGGAGCAACAACGGCTCTTTTGTGAAGCTCCTTTACGAACAGCAACCAGGTTGCGTTCAATCGGGCCTATATCAGGCAGCAGTGACAAGGTTCCGCGCTTGTAGAGAATTGGGCTTCACCGACAGAAGTGTGCAGGATTTGACAATAGCCAATATCCAAAACTCGCTAACATATCTCAAGGGACCAATCGCATTGAAGAACCATCTGTGATCATGGGTATTGGTTGGCTGGCGTCGGTTCCTGCTTGGGAGTGAGCGATTCTGGCGCTTCGTGTTTGTGGGGTGCGAGATGGTTGGCGAAACATATTTCAAGCTTGGCGAACAAAAACTGCGACGAACATTGAAGCGAAGCACGCCGGGAAGCACTTCCTTCCAGCCCATTTTCTCCCCACAAGCTACAATAGGGTGGAATTGAATCAAACTACAGTTTCTGCTCAATTGAGGATAAAACCCATGAGAATATCAAGACCATACACAAAGGCGCATAAAAGCACGTTGCGCTTGAGCCTACGTCAGATACAGTTTCGCAGTCAGGAACGGAAGGCATGAAGAACTATCATTACACAAACCTGCATAGATTTTTTAGAGCTTGTGCTACGTACAAGCACCTCCAACATGCATCACACAAATCAAAATAGACGCCCTCCCTCCTCTCAAGGACTCTGAAAATCCATGGACTTGAAACATCAAACTCTGGAAGTCTAGCCATAGCTCTATGTGCGCGCCCTACATGTCGAGGTGAACTGAATATGTAAATACTCGAATCTAAAGGATCAAATACATGTTCATGGTGGCATCCGCGAGTGCTCGATCTCCCACCAGTTCTGCCCTGCTCAATCAGAATCGGAGTCATCGCTATCATCTGAGTCGTCGTCGCTATCGTCGTCGCTATCATCATCAGAGTCGGTATCATCCTTTGCTGCTGGCGGTGGCGGTTTCTTCTCTTCAACTGGCTTCACTGGCGTTGAGGTTGCAGCAGCTGGGGGGGGTGCTGAAGATGAAGCAGCAACGGGCTTTGGGGGTGGAGAATCCTCCTCTGAATCCTCCTCGTCTTTCACGACTGAACTAGAAGGAGGTTCCGAAGCAGCAGCGGCTGATTTTGCAAGAGAGGCAGTGGAGGGCTTGGATATGGACACAGATGTCACCGCAGCTGCGGCTTGTGATCCAGCATCAGCCCCGTCGCCTGTTTCACGCTGCAACTCTGTGAAATTGCCCTTCTTCAAGAACAGCTGTTGGAAATGCGCCTTGCAGTACAGCTTTCCTCCCAGTGCTTGGTACGTCGAGGTCGTGAGTTTGCATCCACTGTGGACGCATTTAAAACACTGGTTGTGGTATGTCGAGTTCTCGACACTGACCTGAAATAACATTGAAAACCCATGTGAGCGCGAGTGCGCGCGTCTCTATCAACAAAAGCAGTGTAGAAGTTGGCAACGGCAATACCTTTTCCAAGGGGTAGACTGTCTTGCTGCAAACCACGCATTTCTCCTGTGTCCCGCCGAACCTCGCTGCCAAAGGATTGACGACCCTCTGCATAATATCAAGATCAACTGATTACGATCACGAACGAAGTTGGCTTGTTTAAGAGGCAAAAACGACGAGAAACATTAACCCTGTCTTACCTTGCTGTCTCCTCCGTATCTCGATACGCCAGTGGTAGATGTCACGCCTGAGGCAAAAAAAGAACACTGAGATACTCGCACTCGAAGTGGTCATGACATTCCCGAGGAATAAAAAAAATCATACTCACTTCCAGGTGCCACCGTCTTCTCCTTCTCCGACTTGATTGCCTCCTCAAAGCTCTTGTTGTAGCACCCAGTTTTCTTAAAGAGCTGATCGAAGTGGGGCTTACAGTACAGAACACCTTCAAGCGAAGCGAAATTGTTCAGCTGTTGAGACAGAAAATAGTAATCTTTAGCCAACGTTATGAATCGTGTTTTGCGTGGAGAACAAGGTGTCTAACAGATATTTACCTTAAGAGTGCCCTTGCAATGAAAGCACCTGCTCAGTACACATAACATGGACGATCTAGGTCAGAAGTTGCTATGGACACGCGGGACAGATATGCACTCTAGAGAAACCCACCGGAAACAATGCTTGTGGTAGATGACCCCATCAGCTATCAACTGCTCCATCAAGTACACGGTCTTTCCACAAGATTTGCATTTTGTAGTCGTCCCAGTGAAGGCGGACATTTTCAAAGATACGGAAGGACCTAGCCTAATCTCAGAACGAGCTAGGCCTACTTAGGACGACGACAGATCCTGATCAGTGCTCAATCCCAGGCTACGGTTTCCTCCTTGGCAACCTGCTGGTTGGATGAATCTGGGGAGGAGGAAGGGAACTCTGAAGTGGCTGGGGTGGTTGTATGGGGGTGGTGTGAGTGTCGCATGGGTGCCTGAGCTGAAGGGTCTCGGGGTCACTCCATCGTGCCTGCGACGGAGACGCGACGCTGAGTGCTGGTGAGCGTAGATCGTGCGATTCTGCGAACAGTTTTCGTTTGAAATGGGAGTTTCGGAAAGCTTCTTCGAGATCCTCCCAACTTCGGCGAAGCGCAGCTTCTGCCAGTGTTACCAGAAAGGATGTCAGGTTTCGTTCGAGTTCTTCGCGGACGAAGCAGGACCTCTGGTTATTACACTTGATATGGGTATACGTTACGAGACATAACAGGTCCTTGCCTCGCCATGTACCATCATGGAATTTTGCTAAGGGCAATGGAATTCTGGCACTATTAATCCCCCCCATGTCATGGACTGGTTCTTAGAAATATCATGTGAAAATGCATCAATCCATCACTATTTCAAAGCACTGTAATTTAAATCGGCACATATGTCCTTTCAATACCCTACACTAGCACATCACAACACTATGCACAGCACATAGTCAGTAATGTTAGTATCGTTTGTTCCATTCCTTATTGACATGAGGCTGAGAGCCCAGTACCAAATCACTTGGTGCTCCAGCACCTACACCGGCAGGGGCTTGTTTAATAAACTGACCCCGAAATCTCGGTCTTTGCTCTGCCAGTCGCTTCCGACTCTGATAACGAACCTGAAAGCGCAAAATAACATAAAGGAGAAGCTCAATAAGAACATATGTACGGCAGAAAGGAGAACCCATGAGATATGCATGCTTCACAATGGTAGTAACCCATTCCTGAGAAGCAACTCCCTAAGAAAACCGAGTCGCATACCTTCTTTTCGAAGCACCGGTCCTTGCGCTTCTGCCTGAATTTATTCAGTGCCGCCTCTCGCACAGCCTGCCGGCTCATCACAGTAGGAACAGCAACATCAGCCACACACCCTCCTCCTGCAGCCCCCAGCGCAGCCTGGCACTGACCAGAGCCTTGCGACAGCTCACAACCAGGCCCACCACACGCACATGCAGCACACGCAGCAGCTTCCGCTGCAGGATTCTCTTGAGGCTGGGAACTCCCTGCTCCTGAGCCAAAACCGTCCATGGCTCGGCACTGCCGTGCTGCTGTTTCAACTCCTCCTCCTGCTGCTGCTCCACACGCGCCCCGTTCCCCCTCCGCCATCTCTTCATCCCTGCCTTCCTCCTCCCCATCCACCACTTCACCTGTCGTGGTGGCAGGTGTGGCCGATGCATCAGCAGTGCAGGGGGGGAACGCCACAGCATGCCCCATCAGGCTCACCATTTTCACCCCACTGCCCCGGCTCGCCTCTACAGGCACGTGCACGCTCCCAGTACCACTGCCAGCCCTACTGCACCCAGTCATACCCTCCCTGCCCCGTGCCTCCTCACTTCCTCTCCAACCATGCGCCGCTGTGCCGTTTGCGAGCTCTGGTGGCTTTTGTAAGGGTTGGCCGTTGGTGCTGCCACTCCCACCTCCTGCTGTGCCAACATTACCCGGATCGCCCTGAGCACCACCATCAGCACTGCCAATCGCCCTGGCAGCAGCTCCATCTTTGCTGTCTTGGGCGCTGCCCACACCACCACTGCCCCCGCCTCCACTGCCCTGACCGCTCTGCATCCCACTCCCATTCCCATTCCCATTCCCACTGCCACTCGCACTCGCACCCTCCCGATCCCCACGCCCATCCCCATCCCCATTCGTGGCTCCTCTTGCTGCTGCCGCCCCTGCTCCTCCAGCTGCTGCTGTCGGCCCAGCAGAAGCAGCAGCAGAGCCGTGGGCGGCAGGGGATACGACACTGAAGCTACTTTCACGCACCAGATGGCGCTGCTGAGGTTGATTCTGCTTCTGATTATGGTGGTGCTGGTGCTGCCTATTCTCGCATGCAGCAACACGAGTTCCACCCTCTCTATTCCCACTGCCATGAGTGCTTATTTCACGCTTCGGCACTAACTCACCATGCTCCTTCTCCTTCCCTTGCTCCCTCTTATGCTCCTTCCCTTGCTGCCTCCCTTGCTCCTTCCCCAAATCCCTCCCTCTCTCGTCCTGCCCATGCTGCTGCCTGCTTGCACCTCCCGCTGTCCACGGGGGCAGAGGCAGCTTGAGCACAGGGGCAGGGGGAAGCTGGCTGGCACATGCAGTGCTGCCGGTAGCCGCACCAGCACCAGCAGCAGCGGCAGCAGCGGCAGCGGCAGCGGCGGCGGCAGCGGTGGCAGCGGCAGCGGCACTGGCAGCAGCGGCTGCAGGAACAGCAGCAGCGGTGGCAGAGGGTCCAGTGGCACCAGCAGCAGCAGGGTTTGTGCCTAGGCGAATCTCTGAATGGGGCCCGCTTAGGTGCTCCAGAGGTATAGGCGTGGGACTGGGCTGGAGTGAGGGAGTTGACAGGAAGGAGAGGGACGACGGGCGCGAGAGAGGAGAGGGAAGGGAGGAGGCATGGGAGGCATGGGGGACATGTGGGTTCAGGTGGGAGAGGGTCGGGCGGGCGGGGAGGAAGGGCGAGGGTGAGAAACTGGGGGGAGCCAGGCTTGACAGGAGATTCAGCTGCTGCGCTGCTGCTGCTGCCGCTGCAGCCACCGCCACTGGTGCCGCTGCTGCTGGAGCCACTGTTGCTGGTGGTGCTGCTGCTGCTGCTGCTGCTGGCAGTGCTTGGGGAAGCTGAATCTGCCCACGCTGATGCTGCAGGTGCAGGTGCTGCTGTGCCTGCATCTGTTGCATTATGGCTTGCTGCAATGCCTGCTGCGCCAGCTGCGGCATCATATGAGGCGCGTACAGCCACGGAGGGGGCACCCCTGCTGCTGCCGTAGCAGCAGCCGAAGCAGCATAGTATGCAGGAGGCAGGTACATTCCAGAGGAAACGTCAAGGGGAAACCCAGACAGAGGGGGGGGCCCTGGAGGGGTGATAGAGGCGGGTGGTGCGGGAATAGGGTTCCCAGCAGGGTCAGCAGCAGCAGCAGCCGCAGCCGCAGCAGCAGCAGCGGCAGCAGCAGCGGCAGCGGCATTGAGATTTCCGGTAGCAGCAGCAGCAGCGGCAGCGTCAGAAGCACTGCCACCCAGTGCTGCTGTTCTTCCTTCCCTCCCCGCCTGCCCCTCCCCACTGCTCCCTGCCGCTCCGCACCCATCCAAATCCTCCCCCTGGGCAGGTGAAACTCCCCGGATTGGCGTGGACCTGCCCAGGCCTGGAAAACCGTTGGGTCCGGGCAGCAGAGTGAAAGGGTTGAAGGGATGGAACATGGCAGCAGCAGCAGCGGCAGCAGCAGGAGGAGGAGGGGGAGTGGGGTATGAGTCAGCGAAAGGGTGGGCGAAAGGGGTGGGGAGAGTGGGGAGGGTGCGGAGGGAAGAGGGCTCCCCATGCTGCCCTGCTGCTGTAGCGGGGGAGAGAGGCGTCGGTGCTGCTGGGTTGATTGTTCCCAGCCCAAGCAGGGCGGCAGCTGCTGCTTCTCGCGGTGCCGCTGCCGCTGCCGCTGCCGCTGCTGCTGCTGCTGCTGCTGGTGCCGCCTCAGCTGTTGGTGCCGCTGGTACTGCTGTTACTGCTGGTGGTGCTGCAGATGCATGGGTAGTCGGCGCCGCTTCTGCTTCCACTGCTCCTGCAACAGCAGCACCATCCCCCTGTTCAAGTATTCTCTGTGACACCGCCATTCCACTCTCCCCCTCATTCCCTCCTCTCCTCCCACCCTCCGCATTTGCACTACCCTTCTCCCCTCCACTCCCTCCGCTACCACTGTTAACACCACCATCACGCACGCTCGTCAGCCCGCTGCTGCCGTCCATCTTCCCTCCCGAGCCTCCACCCGAACCTCCAGTACCACCCGAACCTGCAACCAGTCCGCCCGAACCGACAACGGACTTGGGCGGTTGGCTCGACACTGGGTGAGCTGGGCTCTGGGGAAAGAGCTGCCGGCACTCCTGCTGCTGCTGGCGTTGCTGGTGTTGCTCGTTTTGCTGGTTGTGCTGGTTCTGCTGGTGTTGTTGGTGATGGTGGTGATGGTGGTGATGCAGATGGTGTGATTGTTGGTGCCCCCCAGCTCCTGTGATGGCTACGGATGAACCAGGAGTGATGGTACCAGAAGCGCCTGTATCGGGCGTGCTTGTAATGGGAGGCGTGAGCAAACGGCCGGGGCCTGGAGTAGAGGCAGCGAGAGGAATAACGGTTGCAGGAGCAGCAGCAGCAGCAGCAGCAGCAGCCGCAGCCGCAGCAGCCACAGCAGCAGCAGGCGCAGGAGCAGGGGCAGCACCAGGAACAAGAACAGGACTAGCAGCAGCGGCTGCAGGAGCGGGCGCAGCAGCAGCAGGAGGAAGAGGGAGTGCAGCGCCGTGGGCGGTGGTGTAGCGAGTGAAGGCAGAGAGACCCGAGTGCTGCCAGGGCGTCTGCTGCCACGCCGCTTGCTGCCATGCTGCTGCATGGTGCTGCGATGCATGGTGCTGAATGTGCATGTGCGGCTGATGCTGATGCTGGTGCTGGTTCTGATGGTGATGCTGGGTGTGATGCTGGGTGTGATGTTGATGGTAGTAGCTCTGGTCCTGCCTCCAGTTGCCCTGCTGCCGCGGACTCTCCCTCTCCTTCTCCCTCTCCTCCTCCTCTTCCATTTGCATTGCTGCATCCCCTCTCCCTCCCTCGTCTACTTCCACTCGCCTCCTCACTCTCCTACCGTCTTCCTCCCCTCCTCCCTCCGATGCTTCCTCTGCTCCCGCAGTTTTCAATGTTACTGCCGCTCCCATCGCACCCGTTGCTCCTTCTGCTCGTTCTCCCCCGTCATCCCGCCCTCTCTTCCTCACATCAGCATCAGCACCAGCGTGACCCCTCTCTCTCCGTCCATCCTCCACAGACCTCCCTTGCGCCTCTTGCTCCACCGCCCCCTCCGCACGCCCCCCTTCCACCAACATCTCTTCACCGCATTCTCTTACGGCAAAGTCCTTCTCTGCGTCGTCGCCCCTTACAGTCACATCCTCTTCAGTCTTGCTTGCCCTCCCTAGTTGCACGCCTCCCCAGTTCTTAGCTGGAGAAGAACCTTCGTCAACGCCTTCCTCAGCAGCTTCCTCCTTTGTGCCGAGGCTCCACCGCACCTTCTTCCCCTCTCTGTCCGCCTTACAAGCCATCTCGATAAGAGCAGGAACAGCCCCCTGGGAGAGTGATCCGTCGTGTAAGCAGCCGGCCACTGAGGTAACCATTTGCGTTACCACGGGTGATACCACCACTGCAGCACCCACACCACCAGCATCAGGAGAAGAAGCAGCAGCAGCACCGGTACCAGCAGCAGTTTCAGGTTCGACTGCCGGTGCGCCTGTCACTAAATCCTTCGCGGTTGCTCCGTCAACATCCATTTCGGATTCCCTTTCGGCAGCAACAGCAGCAACAGCATCAGTGTCACCAGCAGCAGCAGCAGCAGCTGCTGCGTCAAAAACACCTGCAGCACGATGCATTCTTCCTTCCACCACCTCCTCCTCCCCCTCCTGCTGCTTCCCATCCACCTCTACCTCCTCCTCTGCCTCTTCCCCGGCCATTTCCTCCACTTCATCCCCCGCTTCCCCATTCCCTCCCCCTCGCGCCGGCCCCTCACACTCCTCCTTCTTGGTCGAACCTTCCCCCGAAGCCTGCGCGCTCTCCACCACCGCCTCCGCTGCGCGCACTGCCTCCCCCGCCACAACCCCTTCCGCCCCGCCCCCATTGGCGCCACTCCACCCCCAGCCCCCCCTGCCCGCCCTGCCGCCCCTGCCGTGCTGCTGCGGCGGCGGACGGCTCTCTCTCGCTCTGCCCCTGCCCTGCCAAGATGCATCACGCCCCACGTTCATCGCAGCACCTGCGCCGTCTCCTCTCGTCCCCACCTCTTCCCCCATTTCCCCCTTCTCCCCCCGCGCCTGCTGCGCCATGGCGGCTTGCGCGTGCTGGTTGTCCACCTGGCGGGATCAGACGGGCGCGCGGGGGACGGAGAGAGGGGAGAGTGAGTGACGTTGTGGGACAGCAATGGGGAGGGGAGAGGGGGGTGAAGGGTTGGTGGGGGGAGCCACAACGGCAGGTTTGGCGGGATAGAAACAGGTAGGAAGGGACGGCGGCATGTGCTTGAAAGACGTGAGGGGTTGCGAGGAAAACAAAAAGACTCGGGCAGAGGACGGATAGGGGGAAGGGGAGACATGGAAGGTGGCCTGTTCTTTACGCGCCACGCGCCACAGAGCCTGAGGAACGATTTTTGAGGCGCCTCAAAGACGCGCCACGCGCCACAGAGCCTGAGAAACGCACGGCGGCTCACCTGGGTGGCAACCTGAGTGCCGCTGCCGTTGTCGCTCCCACCATTCGCATCCACGTTCCCATCGCCATCCCGCTCCATATACACATCATCTCCTTCCCCTTCCCCCTCTCCCTCCCCCTCCCCTTCCCCTCCGCCCCCACCGCGGCCAGCCCCCCCGCCGCCGTCAGCAGCAGCGGCGGCGGCAGTGGCGGCGTCCCCCGCGGCGTAGGCGGCGGTGGGCGCGCGCTGATTGGTGAGTCCCATTAGCACCTTGCCGTTGGTGCCGCTGCCGCTGCCGCTGCCACTGCCGCTCGACTGGGAAGCGGTGGAGAGAGGGTGAGGGCAGAAAGGGCGGAGAGAGAGAGGGCACGAAAGCCGGGGAGAAAAGGGAGAAAAAAGGGAGGGAAAAGGGAGACAGGAAAGGGAAGCGAGGGAAGGATGAGGGAAGAGAGGAGACGCGGATGAGGAAGTGGAGCCGGTATGCAGGGGAAGAGCATGCCGACAAGAGCGCAGGTACAAGGGAGTCAAACGCAGAAAGCAGCATCTCGAAATCGGACGCTCGGACAGGACTTGAAATATCAGGACGAAGAGACGAGGGGGACGGGAGGGGAGGGACGGAAGGGGCCGGGAACGAATGGGAGGGGACACTGAGGAGAAATGCACAGGGAATGCACGGCGAATAAAGAGGGGAAGAGGAGTGGCGAGGAAGAAGGGGCGAGAGGAGAACGGGCGGGGGGCGAGTGGGCGAGAGGCGAGTGAGCTAGAGGCGAGAGGGGGCGTACGGAGTGGCATCGGCGCCAGACGTGCTGCCAGAGGTTCTTGAGCTCGTTCTTGCGCACGGGCTTCACGAGGAAGTCCGCCGCACCCCTCTGAAAACATTTCAACACCATCTCCATGCTGTCGTGCGACGACATCACTGCGAGGGGGAAAACGCGGACGGAGTGGCATTGGAGGGAGTAGACAAGGACGGGAAGCACTTGAGTGCCCTGATCTCCATGCCTGTTGCAAAGTTCCGTGCAGATTTCTATGCCGCCGTGCCGTGACATGGAATCTTTGCGGAAAGCAACGCGAAAACACATCCACATGACGTGAGACTTGGGTAGCTACACAGCCCGAGGTAAAATCAAACTGTACACCGCGGGTCCCTTGCGCGCACGAGCCTTACTTATAACGGGGATGCCGCGCAGCTCCTCTTTGGCCATGATGCGCGCGAGCAGCGCGATGCCCGACAGCCCCGGCATCACCCCGTCCGTCAGCACCAGGTCGAACCTCCGACTCTCTAGATGGGACACACGAGACTCTCCTACGTTCGTGACACACAAGACTCTCCTAGGTGGGACACGAGAAGCTGCACAGCCCGCGGTCGATTCTTACACCGCGTGCAATGCGCTCACCAACCTTACTTATAACGGGAAAGCCGCGCACGTACTTATAACGGGGATGCCCCGGAGTTCTTCTTTGGCCATGATGCGCGCGAGCAGCGCGATGCCCGACAGCCCCGGCATCACCACGTCCGTCAGCACCAGGTCGAACCGCCCGCCGCTGCCGCTCGATAGAATCTCCCACGCGTGCTGCCCGCTCGACGCGGGTGTGACTGTATCGGGGAGGAGCGGTCGAGGTTAGAGCGGAGAAGCGGGAAGCGGAGAAAGGGAGACGGGGAAGAGGGAAACGGGAGGGGGTGGAGAGGGGGGGTAAGGGGTGTCCGGAGTTTGAGATATAGAAAGGCTACGACAATGGGTGCAGAGACGCAGAGAGAATGAGAGAACGGCAGTAAGACGGTAACTGAACGCATTGGCCGTTAACTCGGACGTTAACGAGTTAACAGTTGCTTCTCCCGTAAGCTGCACTCTCCGCAAGTGTCGCCGCGGCCAGCGGTTTGTAAGCGAGCCGCCAGTCTGGATCTACACCAAGCTGCACTACCAATCCGGCGAGACTTAACCATGCACTCGCAAATACACTCCACACCCGACACAGTCATCATACCTCACTAGCAGCACACCGAATAACAGCACGCTTAACTCGCCTTTACTACTTCGCCTACCGGCACAAACTGACCGCTGACCGCTCAGCAAATGTACGCCGACGGATAACTAACGCTGACCTACTTAACGCCACCTGATTCCACGCGAAAAGCGAACTTCGCCTATCATATTGTCATTGTCATTCCCTGCAGTCAGTAGGTTTGAGCGACCGCATCTGTTGAGGCGCCAGTGCCTAGAATAAGTCGGAACTGGGATACATCCATCACTTATCAGGCACCTCGAAAGGAGTTCCCAGCAGTCGTTACGCTCGCGGCCCACCTTCGTAGGAGCAGTTTCGGAGGAGCGCCGCGACGACGTGGCGCGTGGAGTCGTCGTCTTCTACGAGCAGCACGCGCAGCGAGCCCTCCATCAGCACCCCCCACCCGCCGCCGCCGCCGGCTTCGTTCGGTCCGTCGTGCAATTCGAAATCGTCGCCCGTCTCGTCTCCATCGTCCTCCTCCTCGTTATTACTAATAGCTTCGTTCTGCTGTTTGTGCAGCTCGTTTTCCGCGGTCCTATCAAGCTGGTCGCGTCCGGATCCGTTCTCGTCTCCCGCAGCGACGTCCGCTCCAAGAACAGCATCGGTATTCGGTTGTTGTTGAGTCTGAGGCTCGGGTTGTAACGGGCTCTGCTCTTCCTGGTTTTGCGGGAAGATCTGCCTGTCTACTTCGCGGTTGTTCTGATCGTACATCTGGTCAACTGCGAGAGCTATTCGGTCAAACTCCCTGTCTAGACCGTGACCGTGCCGACGTTCGTCGACATTCCCTCCGCCGCCTCTTACAGCGTCTCTTCTACCTAAATCTAAATCTTGATCCCCGAACTCTCCAGCCATCTTGGTTTCGGCTAGTCGCAATCGCCTGGTCTATAGTAGACTCGCTAAGCACGAAATATGATCCCGATTTGTTTCGTAGGGTTAAAAGGCGATATTCCTGACATCCAGCGTGAAAATTGCTGAGCATCCCGTCGTGAAGATTCAAGAAGGATAAGAGAGAAACAAGCTTATCTAAGCTAAGGAAGCAGGTATCTTGCATGAGCAGATGGGATGAGAGCTAACTTACGGCTCCAATGTGTTCCTCCTTCTATCAACACGTGTGTGGCTCTCCTTCCTCCTCCACTCACCTGGATTTTTTCCTCCGCCTTTCTGACCTGTGTGGCTGCACCACGATAGGACCAGTGCCTAGGAAAAATCTTTTCCTCCTCCTTGAAACCCTCGCTGCTCCCCGTGGCGCTGTTGGATATCACTTGCTCACCCGTGGTTGGCTGATTTGCTGAACGGATGAACTCGACCTAGGGGCTTTCGGAATGTCGGATCGAATGCTGCACCCTCGTGGCACGGTCAGGCTGCTTTTTTTGCGCACCATCTACCGAGCAATATCAGCCAAGCGAACTCGAGGCCAAAATGGCCGAACAGATGCCGCGGTGGAGAATATCTCGGGTTTGCCGTTTCGGCGGTCGAGCCTTTCGGAACTGCCCGAGTGCGGTCTTCTGCCATTTCATTTGCCTTGTCACCCCGCAAATTCGGGCCATGAAGGGCGAACCGAGACAGGAGGAGGATGGTTTATCAGGCTGATTTGTTGTTGATCCACCATACTGTAGTGGTTTAGTGACAACGAACACTCAAGGCAGGACAGCACGTGATGTGAAGCATGAGTTCATTCGGTTGCTGGTCTGGCGGGAAGAAAAATCTTGTGGCGGGAAAGGAAGGGAACTTTTGCTGGGTGACTGAAACGGCACCACCAGCCAGAGCACCCTTCCCAATCAACAGCCAAGTTCCAAAATCTAAACCAACCCCGATTGTGCAGACGTGATGTTGGTGCTGGAGAGCAGGTGACAGGTGGACCGTGCTGACTCGTTCGAGTCCAGAAAAATCCCCACAAGAATCGAGGACCAGAGGCCTGTTTACAGAAATCATTACTTGACAAGGTGGAACTGTACGGGCAGCAAAAATTGCGGAAGTACGAGAAAAGGTTGCGAGATATTAGTCAGACTGGGATGCCCTCACTCCATCTTGTGGCCAATCTTGTTCGCTGAAGTATCTCATCGTCATGCGAACGTCAAGGGGTGCAAAATCAAATTCTGCAAAATGCTTCCAGCCACAGAGTGCCATGATGTGGCTTGGAAAGGTTTTTCTGCCAGGGAGACGCTGACCTGGGATTGTTTTCAGATATTCACAAGCCCGCAACCACACAGTTCTCCGAATGCAATCAGCCATTGCGAGAGGCACTAAACATGGATAGAAATAGAAGTGGCTCATATATACACCATTTATCCTGCAAACACAGAACTACCATCTGTTTGCTGTACATAGCTTGGTTGTACATCAATACTTGCCTTCCCTAACTGCTTTTCTTTCTCTGTCAAAATGAGTCTGCCAGTGGCTCAACAATAAGGTGCATGCCGAATCCGGCCCGCAGAGTGACTGCACTGATGGGGAAGTGCTTGTAGGCCGGGGAGAGGCGCCACGAGAACCGCCTGAGGATGTGCGCCAAAACTACCTTTGCCTCGGTGAGCGCAAAGGTGTTTCCGATGCAAATACGCGGGCCCGAACCAAAGGGAAGGAACGCCTGGGGATGAGAACAGGCCTCATCTGGTCCTTCTGGAATGATTGGGGATGCACGGGAGAAGAACGGGCATTGGAGGGATATGGAGATTTGAGCACAAACCACCTGGTACTATAATGATGCGAGATTACAGCAGAATAGAGATAAGGGACATGAAAGCACATGATGATTGTTGAGAACAAAGAGGAGGGAGAAACAGAGTGATGCAGCGAAAGTGCGAAAAGAGAACGGGGAATTAGGGAAGACGATCGCAAAGAGAGGGACTGACTGGCAAAGCGGACGGGATTGAAGTCGAGTGCATCAGGGCCCCAGAAGCGAGAGTCATAGTGCAGCATGGCGACTGGTATCAGCACATCCGTGCCCCGCGGTAGGTCGTATGGCCCCAGCCTGCACGACTGGAGGGAGTAAAGGGGGAAGAGTGAGAGGGGGATAGGGTTGAGAGAGCGAAGGGAAGAGAGTGAGGGGGAGGCAGCCTGGATGGGAGAGTCTAAGGCAGCCTGAATGAACCCATTTACACCCATTTGAATGCTTGACCTCCATTCCCTTCAACCCTCCTTGCCAGTTAAACCACCCTGGCCCTTATGAATATCCTGCCCATATGAACCCCTCTTGGCATTCGAACCCTCTGAGTATGTGAGCCTCCCCAGACCATACCAGCCCATCTTTTGCACTTGAACACGCCGAACTGAACCGGCCAAACTGAACCAGCCGCCTGTGTCTATCTACCTGCTGGCACGTGCGGCTGATGAAGGAGACGGGTGGGAACATGCGCAGGCTCTCCTGCAGCACCATGCCCATGTCTTTCAGTGCTGCCACCACCTCCCATGTCACTCGACCCCCTCCTCCACGCCCCCCACCTCCCTCTCGTCCTGCTCCCTCTCGTCCTGCTCCCTCTCGTCCTGCTCCCTCTCGTCCTGCTCCCTCTCGTCCTGCTCCCTCTCGTCCTGCTCCCTCTCGTCCTGCTCCCTCTCGTCCTGCTCCCTCTCGTCCTGCTCCCTCTCGTCCTGCTCCCTCTCGTCCTGCTCCCTCTCGTCCTGCTCCCTCTCGTCCTGCTCCCTCTCGTCCTGCTCCCTCTCGTCCTGCTCCCTCTCGTCCTGCTCCCTCTCGTCCTGCTCCCTCTCGTCCTGCTCCCTCTCGTCCTGCTCCCTCTCGTCCTGCTCCCTCTCGTCCTGCTCCCTCTCGTCCTGCTCCCTCTCCTGCTCCCTCTCGTCCTGCTCCCTCCTGTCCTCCTTCCTCTCCCTCCCCTCCAGACTCCCCTTGGCCTGCTTCTCCGGATTTTCCTCCGCCTTTCTCTGACCCTGCCTCTTCTACTGCTCCTGTTTCTGTGGTGGTTGTGGCGGCTGCTGACGTGTCACGCGCCCCCTGCTGAGTCAGCGCCTGCTTGAGCTCTGCTCTTAGCCGCTCCTGCCAGTCGGGATGCTTTGCCAGAAGATAGAACGTCCATGTCAGCAGGCGTGCTGTGGTGCCGTGGCCTGGCGTTCACAGGAGAGGAAGAGAGGACGGTGAGAGAGGTGAGAGAGACGGAGGCACGAGAGAAGGGGGTGATGCGGGCATTGTTGAAATGAAAATGGCCAGTGACAAAGTGAAGAGGGGCGATGCAGAGGGATGGGCAAAAGTCAGAAAGTAACAAAGTCAGAAAGTAACAAAGGCTGGAAGTCACTTTCAAGTAAGTACCAGCAAGGAGGAAGGTGATGCATTCGTCCATGAGCTGTTGATCCGTCATCTGCTCGTTGCCTGCCTCATCATGTGCTGCCAGCATCAGCGCCAGCAGGTCGCGAGCTGCCCTCCCTGTTGGGACCCCCTGCTGCTTCTCTGACTTGCCGTGTGCTTCCTCCGCATGCACTGCTGCTGCTGCTGCCCGCCTCTTGCCTATCAGGTGCAAGGTCAGGGTGCGGATCTTCTTCTCTGCTGCCCACAGGGCAAAGTTTTCAGGAAGCGGCAGGATGCTGCGACGGGTGGGGTGAGAACGTAGAAAGAGAGGGTGGCAACGTATGCACAGGAATCCGAGGAGAGCATTGTACATGGAAACAGGACCCCGGTAAATTGCAGTAAGACATGGACAAGTAACCAGGCATTCTTGCGGTGCAGGTGCGGTGCAGGTATGACATCAGTCTTACTCATAGAAGGGCACGAGGGATCTCCAGGAGAAGACTCTCTTGGCTCCCAGCTCTGCCAGCTTGGACAATGCGTTGTACAGCTGCACTGGATCCGTTGCCGATGCCACTGCTGGTGTTGGCGCTGCTGCTGGTGCTCTAGACATGAGCCTATCACCCTCCTTCAAGCCCCCCTCCTTCACCGCTCCCCCCTCCTCCCCGCCCCCCTGGTGCATGACAGCAGAGCCGAAGGCAGCGAGGCCGATGACATCCAGAGCCATGAGGGACATGCTCTCCTGCACGTCCACCTCCATGCACGCACGCTCCTTACAAGCACCCTCCTTATAGGCACCCTCCTGCTTTTTCTCTGTACTCCTCTCCCTCTGCTGCTGCAGTTGGTGCGACCATGAGTTCGCCAAAGACTGACCCTGCCCATCCATGATTTCCACCATTTCCTGCATGGGACAAGGCAGGTCAATGCGGGTCAAGGCAGATCAACACAGATCAATCAATGTAGGTCAACGAAGGTCAGCATGTGTCTCTTACGATCGTGCACCCAGACAACCACAAGGCCACATGCTGACCTTATTATCGGCCTCAAGGCTCTAACAAAGAGCCAAGTGGTCACATATCTGCTACTAGCCCACCTTGATAGCTGCGGGGCGGAAGGTGGGGTTGACGATGCAGTGCTGCCGGGCCCACAGCAAAGCCGCAGACCGTTCCCCAGCAGGCTTAGGGCCTTAGTGCGTTGCCAGAAGTGACCTTTCGACAGACCTTGATAGCTGCGGGGCGGAAGGCGGGGTTGACGATGCGAGAGACTCCTCTGAGAGAGGCAGACCCCCCCCCCCCAGCAGCCTCGATGCCTTAGTGCATTGCATTGCCAGGAGTGACGTTTCGACCCACCTTGATCGCTGCAGGGCGGAAGGCCGGATTCACGATGCGCCGTTGCCGCGCCCACAGCGACCCCTCTGAGAGAGGCAGGCCCTTCCCCAGCAGCCTTAGCACCTTGCGCGCCCCCGCTGTCTTGGTGTAGCGCCCGCTGCTCGACAGGAGGACCTGTCGCACTAGTGCAGGATCCGTTACAAGCAGCTGCGCCGTCCCCCCTATAGTGAACCCGACCACGTCCCCGTACTGCTGGCGCCACTCATACAGCCGCGGAAGAAACACAGCCGGGCCATGCGTGGGGGGAGGAGAGTCGGGTGCGGAGGAGGCGGAGGAAGGGGATGCGGAGGCGGGGGAGGTTGGGGCGGGGGAGGTTGAGGCGGGGGAGGTTGAGGCGGGGGAGGTTGAGGCGGGGGAGGTTGAGGCGGGGGAGGTTGAGGCGGGGGAGGTTGAGGCGGGGGAGGTTGAGGCGGGGGAGGTTGAGGCGGGGGAGGTTGAGGCGGGGGAGGAGGCGGACGGTGACGCAGGAGGAGGGGTGAGACGGTAGAGGTCGAGCGCTTGACCAATGAAAGGCCTGGAGCGCATGGAAGGACGGGATGGCAGGGGGTAGGCAGGATGCGAGGAAGGACATTGGGGGGGGGGGGGGGATTTTTAGTCGTTTTCAAAAGGGGAACATCGGGAGTGACGAGAGGGGGAAGGGAAGCGAGACAAGGATACATTTGCCTCAAATTTAAGGAGTAAATTGAACGTTATTCCAGCGAACTTCTAGAGAATGCTGCGTATTCGTCAAATATGCCCCAAGTGTGAGCTTACTGAACGTAACGAACAGAAAAATAGTAGTTCTTAGAACGGCAAGAGCGGCTAGTTCTCCGGAAGTGTCTTGCTCAAGGCGGGAACGAAACGCCTTACTTGAACGGCAGGAAGGGAATTCCCTGCTTCTTGCACAGCTGCACTATGCGGTACGGCACATACACGAGGCGATACGCGAGAAACAACGTCCCGGCTGCTATTCCAGCCCACGGAACGAAGGCTAACCACCAGGGAATCTGGTGTTGCCACGTGGCACCATCTTGCCACGTTACCGTACTAGACCCTGGGGTCATCTGTAACAGCTGAAGGTTCTGAAATAGTGTTATGAGGTAGGGGGAAAGCTACTAAAAAATCCTAACGAAGAGAAACAAGCACTCCTCCAACGCAGCAAACCAAAAATTCCTTCCAGCACCGACAATTTTCTCGCGCCTAGCATTCCAGTCAGGGGCTGGAGCCTGACACGAGACGGGAATCTCCGAGGTGGAAATCCGACGGCCAGAAATGAAGTACTGTACACCTCGGGTCTTGGTGTTTCAAAGTTTCCGAACCAAAACTGCCTAGGTCGTAGGGGCATGGAACACTGTAACGAGCATATAGATGTTCAAATGTATAAACACTTTCTACTATTTGCAACCACCACCACACTTAAAACTCAGAAAGGGCTTGCCAATGGCTCAACAATTACATGCATGCCAAATGATGCCCTCAGCGTGACAGAACTGACGGGGAAATGCCTATAGGCTGGGGATAGGCGCCATGAGAATCGCCGGAGGATGTGCGCTAGGACCACCTTTGCTTCGGTGAGGGCAAAGTTGTTTCCAATACAGATACGCGGGCCGGAACCGAAGGGGAGGAACGCCTGGGGATGAGAACAGGCTTCGTCCGGCCCTTCTGGGATGGGTGGGGTTTGAAGACGGCATGAGAACAAACAAGCAACAGATGAATATGATCGTGTGTAGTGCACGCCACGTAGTATTGAAGTTATGTGGAAAACGAATGTCAAGGGGAACAACAATTAAGGGGAAACAAGAAGAGAAAAGGGTACAGGCATCCAGATCAGAATCGTAAAGCGTAAAATTGGGTGAAACAGATGTGGCAGTAGAAGTAATGCGAACGAGGGGGATGAGGCCCAGGCGATAAAGGAGACTGACTGGCGAAGCGGTTGGGGTTGAAGTCGAGGGCATGAGGGCCCCAGTAGCGCGGGTCATAGTGCAGCATGGCCACTGGTATCAGCACATCCGTGCCCCGCGGTAGGTCGTATGGCCCCAGCCTGCACGCCTGGAGAGAGGAAGAAGGAGAGAGTGAGAGGGGGAGGGGAGAGTGAGAGGGGGAGGGGAGAGTGAGAGGGGGAGGGGAGAGTGAGAGGGGGAGGGGAGAGTGAGGAGGAGAGGTAACCTGTATGAGTGGGTGGACGATGATTCTGAGAGCTTCAGAGCAATGGAACAAGAATGAGCCCCCCCCTACCCATCTGAATCCCGCTGCCATTAAGAACCCCACGGCTGTCTCTACCTGTTGGCACGTTCGGCCTATGAAAGGGACAGGGGGGAACATGCGCATGCTTTCCTGCAGCACCATGCCCATGGCCTTCAGTGCTGCCACCACCTCCCATGTCACCCGCCCCGCTCCTCCTTCTTTCTTGCCTTCCTCTTGCACTCCTCCCTCCTGTCCTCGCCCCTCTCCCTCCCCTGCAGGCCCCCCTTGGCTTCTCCCTTCTTGATTTGCTCCTCCTGTTTCTGATCCTGCCACTTCTGCTGCTCCTGTCCCTGTGGTGGTTGTGGTGACTGCTGATGTGTCTCGTGCCCCCTGCTGAGACAGCGCCTGCTTCAGCTCTGCCCTCAGCCGCTCCTGCCAGTCGGGATGCTTCGCCAGCAGATAGAACGTCCATGTCAGCAGATGCGCAGTGGTGGCATGGCCTGGCGATGTGAGTGAGGCAAGAGGAAGATAGGAGGTGAGAAAGGAGGGGGCGAGAAAAGACACAGGAAGGAGGCGATGCAGAGACGGTGGTTGAAAACACGAGGGTTGTAGAAGGGGAGGGGGAAGGGGGAGAAGTGGGGGGTATCAGGGAAGGAGAGGGGTTGATAGAGAGGAAAAGTAGGAAAGGGAAAGGGAGTTGGGGTAAGAGTGGTTGAGAGCTTGGGAGGGGGCTGGGGAGAACCAGCGGAACCAGCAAGGAGAATCGTGCTGCACTCGTAGCTTCGGGTCTGTCATCTGCAGTCAAAGGTGTGTCTCCACTCGACTGAAAACACAAAGGCAGTACAAGCATATCAGCATGGAGGAACGTGATGCATTCGTCCATTGGCTGCTGATCCGTCATCTGCTCTTTTTGCTCGTTTTGCTCTTGTTGCTTTGGGTCACATCAAAACACACATTCTGATCGACCATACACACAAAGGCAGAAAGAGCATACCAGCGAGGAGGAAGGTGATGCATTCGTCCATGAGCTGTTGATCCGTCATCTGCTCGTTGCCTGCCTCATCATGTGCTGCTAGCATCAGCGCCAGCAGGTCGCGCGCTGCCCGCCCTGCAGGGCCCCCCTGTTGCTTCTGTGATTCTCCATGTGCATGTGCCTCCTCCGCATGTACTGCTGCTGCTGCTGCTGCCCGCCTCTTGCCTATCAGGTGCAGGGTCAGGTTGCGGATGCTTTTTTCTGCTGCCCAGAGTGCAAAGTTTTCTGGAAGCGGCAAGATGCTGCGACGGGGGGGTAGAAGAAGCGTGGAAAAGGAGGTAGGTTTCAGATGCAACAGATAAGAGCGTGAGTGAAATCATGGAATCATGGAATCGTGGAATCATGGAATCATGGAATCGTGGAATCCTGGAATCATGGAATCCTGGAATCCTGGAATCCTGGAATCGGTGCTTTGAGAAATCGGAGCCTTGAGAAGGCTCGGAGCAGAATGGGATTTACTCTGTCCAAATGATATCACGGAGAAAGGCAAAGCATGGCCAAACGCACACATGGAGCCACAGGATGAAGGGACGAGGCCTCCTAGTACCTGGAGAGATCGTAGGCATGGCGTAGGCAGGCAGCGTGCTTACTCATAAAAGGGCACGAGGGAGCGCCAGGAAGTGACCCTCTTGGCGTGAACTTTTGAGTCGACTAAAAATCCATGGTGCAGGCATGTGAGCGTGCTTACTCATAGAAGGGCACGAGGTGACTTTTGAGTCGACTCAAAAGTCACCAGGCATGTGAGCGTGCTTACTCATAGAAGGGCACGAGGTGACTTTTGAGTCGACTCAAAAGTCACCAGGCATGTGAGCGTGCTTACTCATAGAAGGGCACGAGGTGACTTTTGAGTCGACTCAAAAGTCACCAGGCATGTGAGCGTGCTTACTCATAGAAGGGCACGAGGTGACTTTTGAGTCGACTCAAAAGTCACCAGGCATGTGAGCGTGCTTACTCATAGAAGGGCACGAGGTGACTTTTGAGTCGACTCAAAAGTCACCAGGCATGTGAGCGTGCTTACTCATAGAAGGGCACGAGGGAGCGCCATGAAGTGACCCTCTTGGCATCCAGCTCAGCCAGATTGGACAACGCTTTGTACAGCTGCACTGGATCCGGTGCTGCTGGCGCTGCTGCTGTTGGTACTGGTAGTAATGGTGGTAGTGACCTGTCACCCTCCTTCCCTATCCCCATTTCCTCCCCTCTCCCCTCCTCCTCCCCCTCCTCGTGCATGACAGCAGAGCCGAAGGCAGAAAGGCCGATGATATCCAGGGCCACGAGGGACATGCTCTCCTGCACGTCCACCTCCATAGAGGCACACTCCTTATAAGCACCCTCGGTATTTTGTGAATTCTTCTCCCCCACTCTTTCCCCAACCCCCTCATAGGCACCAGACTTGGATGATAGCGTGCCTAGTTCTGTTGCTGCTCCTGTTGCTACTGCTTGGCTCTGCTGCTGCTGCAGCCGATGCCACCACGAGTTTGCGAGGGAGTGAGCCTGCCCATCCATGATCCTCACCATCTCCTGTACGGGTCAACGCAGGTCAACGCGGGTCAACGCCGGTCAATGCAGGGCAATGTAGGTCAACATAGGTCAATGAAGGTCAATGCAGGTCAAACGTGGCAAAAGGAAGCATGAACCAATTCAATGAGTCATGAGCCAATGAGCCAATGAGGTTGTGAGCACATGAGCCAATGAGTCAGAAATAGCCCAACGACATTGATCATTTGCACGCATGAGCAAGGGTCAGCACGAGAAACAAAAACGCGCAGGAGCAAGTCAACAAGCCAGCGGGACTATCAGGTCAACAAAGGTCAACAACGGTCAACGCAGGCTATCAACTCGCCCTGATGGCAGCAGGGCGGAAGGCAGGGTAGATGATGCGTCGCTGCCGGGCCCACAGAGACCCCTCTGAGAAAGGCAGACCGTTGCCCAGCTCCCATGCTCCCATTTGTCTCACATAGTCTTGCACCAGATAACCACAGGGTCACAAGCCTCACCCTGATAGCGGCGGGGCGGAAGGCAGGGTTGATGATGCGCCGCTGCCGCGCCCACAGATACCCCTCTGAGAGAGCCTGACCTGTCCCAAGCAGGCGTAGGGCCTTAGTGACCTTACGACCCACCTTGATGGCAGCAGGTCGGAAGGCAGGGTTGATGATGCGGCGCTGCCGGGCCCACAGTGACCCCTCTGAGAGAGGCAGACCGTTCCCCAGCAGCCTCAGCACCTTGCGCGCCCTTGCTGTCTTGGTGAATCGCCCGCTGCTTGAGAGCAGGACCTGCCAGGGACGAGAGGTGGATGGATCATGGATGAATGTTTGGGGCAGCTCAGAGACTGCCCTGCGCCCCCCGCTGCCTTGGCAACTCGCTTGCTGCTGGACCTGCGAGAGACGAGACGGGCGGATGGAGGAAGAAAGAGAGGACGGGCGAGTGCTGTAAGGAGGCTCTGTCAGGGAGTGGAAGATAAAGGAAAGTGAAGCGGAGAGGAGGAAAGCAGGGAGCGAAGAGGGAGGGAAGAGGGAAGGGAAGAAAAGAGAGGATGTGAGTGGTGGACCCGGGAGCACTGCGTCTGAGCTTTGTTGCGCATGCATCTCATCACATCTCATGCAATCACACCTCGTACAATCACATGTCGTCACATGTCATCACATGTCATCACACCACATCACATCACATCACATCACATCACATCACATCACATCACATCACATCACATCACATTACAACATACCCATATCACTGTACCTGTCTCACTAGTGCAGGATCCGTTATAATCAGCTGCACCGTCGCCCCTATAGTGAATCCAAACACGTCCCCGTACTGCTGGCACCACGGGTACAGCCGCGGAGCTAACACAGCCGGCCCGTGTGTGGCGGGGGGAGACTCGGGGGAGGAGGAGGCGGAGGGGGGAGGGGGGGTTTGGTTGGGGGACGGTGGGGAGCGACGGTAGAGATCGAGCGCTTGACCAATGATAGGTCTGGAGTGCATGGGGGGAGGGGACAGCAGGGGGACGGCAGGATGCGGGGAGGGGGGGTTTGGTTGGGGGACGGTGGGGTAGAAGGAGGGGAGCGACGGTAGAGATCGAGCGCTTGACCAATGATAGGTCTGCAGTGCATGGGAGGGGGGGATGGAGGGAAAGAGGCGGGATGCGAGGAGGGACATGGGGGGTGGGGAGTTTTGAGACGCCCCAGAAGGGTCAGATGGGGAGTGAGGGGAAGGGAGGCGAGGCAATGTGTCTTATTGACAAGAATGCGCGTGCCTGGAGCAGCAGAAATAAACGAACACAGAATACTGCTGGAAGAATATAGAGATGCAGCGGACAGATTTTTAAGATTTCAAATATAAGCTTGCTTGAGCAGAACGAACGGAATGTATCAATGCTACAAAGGCAAGTATGAAATGATTTTCTTGAATCGGCAAACCGAAACGCCTTACTTGAACGGCAGGAAGGGAATCCCTTGCTTCTTGCACAGCCGCACTATGCGGTACGGCACATACACAAGGCGATACGCGAGAAACAGCGTTCCGACTGCTATTCCAGCCCATGGGACGAAGGGTAACCACCACGGAACTCGGTGCAGCCACGTGGCACCATTCTGCCACGTTACGGTGCCAGACTCCGATAGTGTGGTCATCTTCAACTGCGTGAATTTATGAGCTTCGTGTTACAAGATAAGGAGAACTAGGGCTAGGAAAATATATTCGGGAAAAGATAGCAAGAATCTTGGACAGCACCGACATTTACAAATGTTGGACGGTGGATGGAGTCGAATTCGAGCGAGGCTCCGCTTGTACTAAGCATGGCGAAGTCGCTGATTTCGCCAGGACAGGCTCAAAATGTGTCACAAGTACATTTCGCTATTACCGTCGCTAATACATTTTTTCCGTTCAGCTGCTCGCCAAGTCGTTATGGCCGCATTCCGTGAGTGCGGACACGACGTACGATTCGTAACAGCTGTGGCCCCCTTGCGAAGGCGAAGTTTTTGTTCAGCCATCCCAAGCAGTTACAGCTGTCTGTTTCGCACACCACTATGTGATGCTGTTTATGCACGAGATCATTTTCTCTGCACTTTTCTTAATTTGTTTACTGTACATCTCCATTAGCCAGCCACCTCGGCACCCAACACGATCTAGACATACGTTTATCGTCTCGTCTTATCTCGCGTATGCCTCGCACCGTTGCTTGCTTGCCCGGCGTGCCCCTTTTTCTCTGTTCGTTGAAATGACAGCGTGGATTCCGGATCTTGAATCCACAGATTATATCTACCGTACATGACGTCACTTGGTCGCTTGTCTTCTGCGGTCCTACCGTACTAGGCCTCCCATTCGCCTGTCTCTGTTCTGTAACCAACCACAGGTTGTGTCGCATTGCCCCTTGCTGTCGTCGTTCCTCTCCTCTTGCCTCGCCGCATCTCTCGTAATTTCCCGCGAATCCGACCGACCCTCGTCGCCTCTCCCTCCCTCTCGGTCTTGTCTAGAGAGGTGCAGCATTCATTGCAGAAGTACCAACGTACGCTCCTAGTTTTGAGGCGCCTCAAAGCTAGACTCTCTCTCGGTCTTGTCTGACGAGAAGTTCGCTCCACCAATCATTGGAGAAATACCAATTTACGCTCCTTGAGAGTTGAATCTCGGTTTGTGCTGGGAATGTGAGTCTAGATTTGCGACAGATCGCAACTTATCTCACCGTACGATGGCCGACGCTTCTGGATCTGACGGTTCCGAGCAGCCCTCATCGGCAGCCGCATCGGGCGCCGTCGGCGCGGGAGGCGACTCGAAACCGCAACCCGTAAAGGCAGGCGGCGCAAAGCAGTTGACTCCGCAGGAACGCGCGCGACTCGCGGCGGCGCGGCGGCGTGCGCGGGACAGCAATGCGAGGCCGGGAAGTGCGGGGAAAGGCACGAATGGAGGTGAGAGCTCGCTGGAAAGACTGCTTTCGAATCGCTTCAGAGGCATGATTGAGAAGACGAAAAGAACCCCCAATAGATGGCTCCAATCTTGTCCTCGAATAACTCCAAGCATTCTGGAAAGAATGCTTTCCAACTTTAAGGGGTGAGTTGTGCGCGAGTGAGTTTACCTCCCAACTCCACGCCGCGTTCGTTTCGCCCAACCCGCCGCGCCGCCGTCTCCTCGCTTCTTTCGCGGAAGCCTTTCTCCCGCCACATTGCATATTCCTCACCCAGTCGCATCTCGTCCGTCGCGTTACCCCCATTCCTCACCCACCCAGTCGCGACGCCATCTGCTATCCCATAGTGCCTCTTACAATCTCCATCAGAGCCGTCTTTATCATCCGACCATCCCATCCGTCTCTCTTTCACCCCTCACTCCCTCTTTCGCTCTCACTTTCTCACTCCTTTCTCACGCTTCGTCTCTCCGTCCCTCGCGTCCCTCCTCCCTTCCACCAGTCGCCACGTCACTCTATTTCTCCGTGGTGGCTCTTATAATCGCCATCTGGGCCGTCTTTATTTTCCGTGCCATTCAAGCCCCGCCGCCCGTCCCGCTCACCGACGCTGACGTCACCAGCCCGCGCGTCCGCCTCTCGGACGGCCGCCACGTGGCGTACCACGAGATGGGCGCGGCTGCTGACGTGGCCAAGTACCAGGTGCTGGTGGTGCACGCGTGGCAGACGTCCCGCCTGAGCATGCTGCCTAACATCACACAGGTGGGTGACGTGTCATGTTCCTTGGTCGTAACGTGCCCTCTATCTCTACAATGACGTGTCTAGGTACAACAGGGGGTAGTACGGTTACACCCCTCTCCAGCCCCCCCATCCCTCTCCACCGCTCTCCACCCAAGGAATTCCTGGAGGCAAATGGCATTCGCCTGGTGAGCAACGACCGAGCAGGGTACGGGCAGAGCGACCCCAAACGGGGTGCCCACTGCAGCCAGTCGAGCATCACTTATCCCTCCATCCGCCTCCACTCTTCCCTCCATCCGCCTCCACCCTTCCCCACCCACCCGCACCCCTCCCCACCCATCTTCACCGCAGGAGTTTCTAGAAGCCAATGGCATCCGGCTGGTGAGCTACGACCGAGCGGGGTACGGGCAGAGCGACCCCAACCCTCACCGCACGCTGCAGGCAGCCCATATCACTCACCCTCCATCCCTCCCCACCCCTTTACACCGATCGACATTGCTCCCGATCCCCGCCCAGGAATTCCTGGAAGCCAATGGCATTCGCCTGGTGAGCTACGACCGAGCAGGGTACGGGCAGAGCGACCCCAACCTGGGGCGCACGCTGCAGAGCGACGTGCAGGATGCAGGCGAGGTGGCGACTCTAGCGGGGCTGGGAGAGAAATTCTACCTCGTCGCCACCTCCATGGGGACTTACGTGGCGCTGGGGGCTCTCCGGTACATCCCGCATAGGTGAGAGAGGCGTGGGGAGAAATGCGTGTCTGTCAGGTGAGGGGTAAAGGAGAGGTGGGGGAGAAGTTCTACCTCGTCGCCACGTCCATGGGGACTTACGTGGCGCTGGGGGCTCTCCGGTACCTGCCACACCGGTGAGTGAGGGGCGAAAGTAGCTACCTGACCACAGGGGGTTAGGGGTGACATGGCGACGGCTGTGGGGCTGGGGGAGAAGTTCTACCTCGTGGCCACGTTCATGGGGACCTACGTGGCGCTGGGGGCTCTCCGATACCTGCCACACCGGTGAGTGGGGGGTGCAGAGGAGATACTTGAAGCATACACTTGGATGCTATGCGTGCAGTCATCCAAGTGTCTCACGTGGTGGGCAACCCCTGGCTGGGACGCCACGTGGCCCAAGCTCTTTTGAGGCGCCTCAAAAACCCAAGCATGAGTTCAATTCAACACACCCCGTGTTGCTTCCGTCCGCCCACCTCTTGACTTGTGCTTCCTTCCTGTCCTCTCTTCTCCGTACCACTGTCAGGTTGAAAGGGCTGACGATAATCAGCGTGGTGGGCAATCCCTGGGACCCCACGTGGCCCAAGCACGACTTCCAATTCAACACACCCCGTGTTGCTTCCGTCCTCCCACCTCTTGACTTCTGCCGTCCTCCCACCTCCCATCCTCCTGCCCGTCCTCCCCACGGTCAGGCTCAAGGGGCTGACGATAATCAGCGTGGTGGGCAACCCCTGGGACCCCACATGGGCCAAGCACGAGTTTGAACTCAGCACACCCTCTCCTTCTCTCCTCTCCTCTCCACCTTTCATCGTTCCCGTCCCCTCGCAACACTGTCAGGCTCAAGGGGCTGACGATAATCAGCGTGGTGGGCAACCCATGGGACCCCACGTGGTCCAAGCACGAGTTCACAGCCACGTGGCAGCACATGCCAGTCACAGACCGCATCACGCTGCTGCTGGCCCGCCACGTGCCCTCCCTGCTGCACGCCTGGTTCTCCCAGACGCTCGTGCCCATGGGGAATTTCCGCCATCCCTTCCATCCTCACCCCGTGGATTTATATGAGTCGGATATGGCTGCTCTGGCGAGTCAGGAGGTGTTTGGGTACTTTGCGCGGGTGAGTGTTGGTGTCTTTAAGGAAGAAGAAGCGTGCACATTATGTGTTTGTTTGTGTGTGTGTGTGTGTGTGTGTGTGTGTGTGTGTGTGTGTGTGTGTGTGTGTGTGTGTGTGTGTGTGTGTGTGTGCACGTGCGCGCGTCAAGAGTGTGCATGTGTCACCACATCTGATCTCAGAAGCCCCTCCTCTCCCCTCCTCTCCCCTCCTCTCCCCTCCTCTCCCCTAAAGCCCTCCATCATGCCTTCAATGCTGTTTTCCCCCATCAATCAGACCATGCAGGAGGGAGCAAGGCAAGGGCCAGGCGTGTCATGGTATCGGGATTTTCAGATCTGCACTGCTGACTGGGGCTGTGACCTCTCAGCACCCACCCCTCCCCACGCCCTCCCTGCTTCCCCCTTCCCCTCTCATCGTGCGTTTACCCCATTGTGCGTTTGCCCCATCGTGCGTTTGCAGAACATGCAGGAAGGGGCGAGGCAAGGGGCAGGCGTGTCCTGGTATCGGGATTTTGAGATCCTCGCTTCTGACTGGGGCTTTAACCTCTCCGAGATTGATCTCTCTCAGGCCCGAGAGGAGGAAAAGAATGGGGGAGAAGATGGAGGAGAGGAGGGGGGGTTGAAGGGGAAGGTGCACTTATGGCACGCTGAGGAGGACTGGGGAACGCCGGTGAGCTATGCACGGCATGTGGGGAGGATGGTGGATGGCAGTGTGCTGCATGTGGTGCCCAAGAGGGGCCATTTCTTCATGTACAATGATGCGCACATGCCCCCCACTGTTCTGCTCACCATGCTGGGGTTGGAAGGGAAGGTGAAGGCGGAGGATGTGGGAGTGGGTGAGGGTTCGACCGAGCGGGTAAGTGAGGGAGTGAGTGAGGAGCTGAAAAGTGAAGAGTGAGGCTGGATGGAAAGGATGGTGGAGGCCTCAGGGCAGTGTGTTGCATGTGGTGCCCAAGAGGGGCCATTTCTTCATGTATAACGATGCCCACATGCCCCCCACTGTACTGTGCTGCTCACGATGCTGGGGTTGCAGGAGAAGGTGAAGGCGGAGGATGTGGGAGGGAGTGAGGGAGTCAAGGAGGGAGCGAGTGAGGGAGCGAGTGAGGGAGTCAAGGGAGCGAGTGAGGGAGTGAGTGAGGAGTTGAAAAGTGAAGAGTGAGGGGTGGGGGATGGAGCAGTTGGAGTTTTGTAGCAGAGCTGATGGGTTAGGACGAGCATGGGTTACAGCATGGGCTGACGGGCTGCTGCTCCATCCCAGCCTGGGCTGGGCTGAGATGCCCTAGGCTTTGATCCTTTGGCACTGAAATCCTTCACCATGCGATGCTCAATGCCACAATGCTTGAAATCTGAATAATGTATCCTCCTTTTCAACAATAAGTCTCAGTTTACTCAATTTGTACCTCCTATAAGTCTCAGTTTAAAACCACCTATAAGTCTTAACTTGCAGCTGAAACCACCAGCATTATCTGGGTTGGGTGAGCAAATGTTTGGCCCCGCCTGTTGGCCTGTCAGATACCACGCAGAACAGAACCCGCTAGGAAATACTCCAATAGCTTTTGAGTCTGACTCAAAAGGCAAGGAGAGGACCCCACCCAGCCTGTCAGCCTGTCAACCTGTCTGTCAGTAACAGACGGAGCTCGCAAAGAAACTATGCGTAACACAGCCTCCCTAATATGTAACATTTGCAACTATGTAGCACTTGCAACTGTGTAACAGTATTTACTATGAAACACAGAGGTCACCCATCTTAACCCATTTGTATGCTGAGCTGTCGCACATCCTCTCTACCACTGCGTGGGCTACATCCAGAGCCCTTCGGATTGGCTGAAGCTTGCGCTCCGCTGCTGCCAACTGTGCTGGGTCCTTCACCTGATGAAAATGGAGCACGGGAGACAAGGAGGCAATGCTGGTTAGGGGAAGGACTTGGGCTAGGGACGCGGGAAAAGAGAAATCATGCGAGAATGTGGTGGTAAAGGTATTTGGAGGCGCCGCAAAATGGGAATGTGAGGCAAGTGCAGCAGCGTACCTTGGCAAGGGTGCGTGTGACTGCGAGCGAGTGGCGGAGATAGCAGAGCCGGTGGTAGAGATCTGCCTCTGATATCTGGATAACAGCAGAAACAGGGGAGGGAGAAGGGGAGAGGAGAGAGAAGGGGATAGGGAGGAGAGGAGAGGGAAGGGGATAGGGAGGAGAGGAGAGAGAAGGGGATAGGGAGGAGAGGAGGTGGACGAGAAGAAGAGATAGCAGAGCCGGTGGTAGAGCTTATGGAGAGAGGCAGGCAATAGGAGAAGCCGAACAACAATGCCTTGTGTGTGTGCATGCGTGCACATCTGCGTGTGTGTGTGGGGGGGGTTCGTCGTGTGTGTGTGAGGGGGGGGGGGAGGAGGGGGAGTGCATACCTGGCGGCGCATGGAGCCTTGGCAGCGAGGGTAGTTGGGGCACAGCGTCCCTCTGGTGCTGTCAGAATGCACCAAGCGAGTGGCCATGTTCTGAGTCACACACCCACACGTCTCCTCGTCGCACTGTGGGTGGGAGTGGGTGGGAGTAGGTGAAAGTGGGTGGGAGTGGGCGGTATAGGGGGAGTGTGACAGGCAATGAGATGCACAAGCACACATGCTTGCAGCTGTCTGACTGCACCAACCGAGTGGCCATGTTCTGCGACACACTCCCACACGTCTCCTCGTCGCACTGGTGGGTGGGAAGAGGAGGGGGGAATGGGGAAGGGAATGAGACACTCAGGCCCACACCTTGGGATATCTTACTACATCCATGCATCAGAATGCTGCGCTATAAACACCAATTTCAGAATCGATAAAAAATGAAAGAGATTGTCAATCTACCGCATAGCGTAGCATAGCATGGCCTACCTGCATCCATGCATCGTAATACTGCGATATAAACACCTCCGCCTGCCTCTTCACCTGCACCACAAACGCCAAGCCACAAAAGAAAGAAAAATACATACAACAGGTTTGGATTCCCGAGGGTTCCCGAGCGTTGAGTCGACAAGAGACAATGGCTGAGGCATGGCAGGGACAGTGGCTTGGCATCCTTGCAGTGTGGGCGCGCCAGTGGACACAAAGCACCTTGAACTCGGCATTGAGTCTGACAGCACACCAGTGCACTTGCTGTGACCGCACCGCAACCCACCTGGTGTGACAGCACCGCAACCCACCTGGTGTGACAGCACCGCAACCCACCTGGTGTGACAGCACCGCAACCCACCTGGTGTGACAGCACCGCAACCCACCTGGTGTGACAGCACCGCAACCCACCTGGTGTGACAGCACCGCAACCCACCTGGTGTGACAGCACCGCAACCCACCTGGTGTGACAGCACCGCAACCCACCTGGTGTGACAGCACCGCAACCCACCTGGTGTGACAGCACCGCAACCCACCTGGTGTGACAGCACCGCAACCCACCTGGTGTGACAGCACCGCAACCCACCTGGTGTGACAGCACCGCAACCCACCTGGTGTGACAGCACCGCAACCCACCTGGTGTGACAGCACCGCAACCCACCTGGTGTGACAGCACCGCAACCCACCTGGTGTGACAGCACCGCAACCCACCTGGTGTGACAGCACCGCAACCCACCTGGTGTGACAGCACCGCAACCCACCTGGTGTGACAGCACCGCAACCCACCTGGTGTGACAGCACCGCCACCGCACCTGGTTCGACAGCATGGCAGGTGAGAGTGGCTTGGCATCCTTGCAGCGCGGACACACCACTGAGTGGACTCAACTATCTGTCCACTCTCCCTTCCACTTTCCCTTCCACTTCCCCTTCACCACCACACCCAGTGCAACAGCGCATACCACCGCACCTGGTTGGAGAGCATGGCAGGTGAGAGTGGCTTGGCATCCTTGCAGCGCGGACACACCAGCGGCTGCACCTCCCTCTCCTCCTCGGCCCTCTCCCCCACTTCCCTCCCCTCCCCCTTGCCTCCCTTCTCCCACTCCCGTCCGCTCTCTCCTCCTGCTGCTGCTCCACCTGCTCTCTCCCCAGCCCTCTCAAGCACCTCTCGGTCTCTCCCCTGGGCGATGGCAGGCACGCCCGGGAAGGCAAAGGGGAAGCGGCACGAGGGGCACAGGAACTGCAGCGGGGGAAGGCGCGAGTAGCTGGGGAAGGGGCGGTAGGGGAAAGGGATCAGGGGAGGGGGTGGGGGGGAAAATGCAGGGGGGAAAGCGGCATGAAGATGTCCCACTCAATCCGGGGAGGGGATGTGGCAGATTGTGGGAGAGGAGGCTGGGGTGACTGGAAGGTAACAGCAATGGTTGAATGAAGGTGAGCGACAGAGAGTCATACGAGTGAAGGATTGAAATGGCTTGACAACTCGACAAGGCAATACAGGAAAGTGGAAGGCACGGGGCAGACGAACTTATCTTCCACCGTCCATTCTCATCAACCCCATCTCTCACCGTTCATCATCATCCAGAATGGACGAGGCCGCCAGCATGGCATCATCTCGCGCCGTTGATGCCGTTGCATGCACGTGCCGGTACTGCACACAGTAAGAACAATGGTATTCGTGAGAGGAGTGGGAAGGGAGGGGTGGGAAGGTGGGTCAGGTTAAACCAGTAGTGACATCAGTATCACCTTTCCCAAAGTATGCACAACATTTGCCAAGAGTCACATAATCAAAGAGGGCGTACCTTGGAGGAGTCGAGCCCAAGGCAGTCGGCCAGGCGGGCAGCGTCAGTGCCTTCGATGGGAGCACACAGGCGGGCCACCACAGGGTGCACCTGGTGTGCCAGGTAGTATTCCCTGTAAGACATCCCACTCGCTCTCCCTCTCTGTCTACCTGTCCGTCTGTCAGTCTCTCTGCCTCTGTCTCTTTCTGCCTGTCCGTTTACACAACACAAGGAGCCACAGGAGGGCGTACCTTGGAGGAGTCGAGCCCAAGGCAGTCGGCCAGGCGGGCAGCATCGGTGCCTTCGATGGGAGCACACAGCCGGGCCACCACGGGGTGCACCTGGTGTGCCAGGTAGTATTCCCTGTCCACGTCCCACTCGCTCTCTGCACTCCTCAACTCGTCCACGTGCCGTGCTCGCTCCGCTATGCCACCCGCACCGCTGCTGCTGCTGCGACCCGGAGGTGGTGCTGCTGTGTCTGCTCCCTCACTGCCTGACTGCTGCTGGCGAATGTAAGGGTGGGGGGAGCAGAGGGGAATGGAGGGGGGTGTTTAAGGCGTGCACCTGGTGTGCCAGGTAGTATTCCCTATCCACGTCCCACTCGCTCTCTGCACTCCTCAGCTCGTCCACATGCTGTGCTCGCTCCGCTATGCCACCTGCACTGCTGCTGCTGCGACCAGGAGGTGGCGCTGCTGTGTCTGCTCCCTCACTGCCTGACTGCTGCTGGCGAATGTAAGGGTGGGGGGAGGAGACGGGAATGGAGGGGGGTGTTTAAGGCGTGCAAATGGTGTGCCAGGTAGTATTCCCTATCCACGTCCCACTCGCTCTCTGCACTCCTCAACTCGTCCACATGCCTTGCCCGCTCTGCTATGCCACCTGCACTGCTGCTGCTGCGACCAGGGGCAGCTGCAGTTTCTGCTTCCACAGTGCGTGATTGCTGCAGCCACGTGGGGTTGGGGGAGCAGAGGATAAACAGGTGAAGAGAGGAGTGTTGAAAGGGGTGCACCTGGTGTGACAGGTAATATTTTCTGTCGTCCCACTTGCTCTCTATGCTCCTCAGCTCGTACACGTGCCAACGTAAGGATATCCTACTCAACCCACTCCCACCGCACTGAACCCACCATCACTGGCCCACAGCACCTACCCTTGGCACGGCAATGACGTATGGAATGGAGTCTCCCGCATTGCACCCCTCCGTCCGCCCCTCCTTCCTCCGCAGCGCCACCTGCACGTGTGGCTACGCGATAACATGAGAGTACCCTACTCAACAGCCCACCAGTGCACTCAACCTGATGTCACCCCACAGCACCTACCCGTGGCACAGCAATAACGTAGGGAATGGCGTCCCCAGCATTGCACCCCTCCGTGCGCCCCTCTTTCTTCCTCCGCAGTGCCACCTGCACGTGCGGCTGCGAGCTGGCGTCCGGGTAGTCGGCAGGCGGCTTGGTGAGTGTCTTGGTGATGACAAACGATGTTAGGTCCACCTCCCCTGCTCGTAGCCTGGCAGCCAGCTGTTGTGTGCGAAGGAATGGGAGGTGAGGGCAGAAAGGAAGAGAGGGAGAAAGGTTGTGAGTTGGCATCCGGGTAGTCTGAGGGCGGCTTGGTGAGCGTCTTGGTGATCACAAATGATGTCAGATCCACCTCCCCCGCTCGTAGCCTGGCAGCCAGCTGTTGTGTGGGGGAGCAGTGGGGAGCGCGCGGTCCAGAAAGGGGAAGTGAACAACAGATGGTAAGCTGGCGTCGGGGTAGTTGGCAGGCGGCTTGGTGAGCGTCTTGGTGATCACAAACGATGTCAGGTCTACCTCCCCCGCTCGTAGCCTGGCAGCCAGCTGTACTCTCCGAAGGGAAGGGATGAGAGCGGCAGAAGGCGGGAGAGACAGACAGGTTGTGAGCTGGCGTCAGGGTAGCCTGAGGGCGGCTTGGTCTGAGGGCGGCTCGGGGAGCGTCGTGGTGATCACGAACGATGTCAGGTCCACCTCTCCTGCGCGTAGCCTTGCTGCCAACTGGTGTGTGTGGCGGGTGGGGTTCGGGTTTAGGGTTTGGGTATAATGGAGGGACGGGGGATGTGAGCAGGCATCCGGGTAATCAGCAGCGGATTGGTGACCACGAACGGCGTCAGATCCGCCTGCCCCGGTCGCAACCTCGCTGCCAACTGTTGTGGTGTGCGTTGGAAGAGTGGAGAGAGGGGGGTGGGGAGAGAAAGAGGACATGCAGATAACTTAGTTGATGGTGTGTAAGGGTCCTGGGATGTTCTGATTGTGATTGTGGTGCAAGGGTGTGTGTGTGAGTGAGAGAGTGAGTGAGTGAGCGAGAGAGCGAGTGATTGAGTGATTGAGTGAGTGGGCGAATAAGTGATCGTAGTTGCACTCACGTTCCGCAGCTCGGCGTGAATTGCCTCCACCACCTCCTCCCGTGGCCTGCACTCACACACGCAGGAAGAGACAGGAATGGGTGAGGAGGTGAGGAGACGGGTGAGAAGCGAGCACAAATGCAAGAGCAGGGCGCCGCACAATTCGCAAGGCATTTGGCTGAACACAAATGCCTTTATCGTCTCTTTTCGTGCTATTCCGACAGCACGCTCCAGTCGCACACCTTGTGCTCAGCCACCTCTCGCAGCACCTCGAGGGGCTGCCTAATTAGGGCACAGAGAAAACACAGCACCTCCTGCGGCCCGGACGACTTTTGAGGCGCCTCAAAAGTCGTCCTCGACGGGCTGGCTAATAAGGGCACAGAGAAAACACCACCTCCTGCGGCCCGGACGTACCTGCCAGAGAGAATCTGCTTGAGGCAGTAGGCGCCGACCTCCTTGGACAGAACACTCCAGTACTTTCCGAACGATGTCCAACCCCTTGAGCTCGGGCACCTCTCGCAGCACAAGGGTTTATCGGGGATACTGAGAGTGACCCTATGTGGTGCAGGCAGGCAGGTAGGCAGGCAGGCAGGGCGTACCTGCCAGAGAGAATCTGGTTGAGGCAGAAGGCGCCGATCTCCTTGGACAGGACACTCCAGTCGCGCCGCACGATGTTCAGCCCCTTGTGCTCGGGCACCTCGCGCAGCACCTTGGGGGGCTATTGGGGTGGGGACACCTGTGAGTGACCCCATCTGGTGCAGGCTGGCAGAACGTACCTGCCGGAGAGAATCTGGTTGAGGCAGAAGGCGCCGATCTCCTTGGACAGCACGCTCCAGTCGCGCCGAACAATGTCCAGCCCCTTGTGCTCGGGCACCTCTCGCAGCACCTTAGGGGGCTCGCTGGGCCCCAGAACCAGCTTGACAGAGGCGTACTTCTTCTTGTTGAGCAGCAGCATGCTGCGGAACAGCCCGTCCATCTCTATTTCCAAGAGTTTATACCGCTTGTTGACCTGGTGTGAGAGGGGAGGAGAGATGGGAAAAGAAGAGAAGGCAGCTTGAAAGAGGCGTACTTCTTCTTGTTCAGCAGCAGCGTGCTGCGGAACAACCCGTCCATCTCAATCTCAAGAAGTTTGTAGCGTTTGTTCACCTGCCAGGGGAGGTGAGGAGGGAAGGGGAAGAAGGTGGAGGGGAGGGGAGCTGAGATGAGGGAAACCCGTCCATCTCGATTTCCAGGAGTTTATAGCACTTGTTCACCTGATGTGCAGGGGAGAAGAGGGGGGAGGGTTGGGGAGGGGAGGCGAGCGTGGCGATGAAGGATGGATGGCCATGACGCTGTGCAGAGCCGCAGCCGCATCACAACTTATCCGCGACACCCCTGGGGGGAGGGGAGGAGCGAAGCTGTCTGACGCTGTTCCATGCATACCACACCCCTTCACTCCTCCCCTCCCCCCTGGGGCCGGCCGCCTAGCCTGCTGCGCTGTGTCGTCTAGTTCGCACTACCAGTCCCCCCCCCCTTTTCCTCATCTCCTTCTTGACAATGTGTGGCCGATAGCAATAGCCTGGCTGGGGTCGAATTTTTTCGCACTAGCATTCATCCCCTTCTACTGACCTCTTGCCCCCCACCTCCCCTGACCCCTCCTCACCTCCTTCTTCACGCGGTGGGCGATGGCAATGGCGTGGCTGGGGTCGTCAAGCCCAGTGTTGATCATGATGGAGTCCGTGTCGCCGTATATCACCTCTCGTCCCTCCCCACCTCTCCTCCCTCATCACCCCTCTCCTGCCTCCGCACCTCTCCTGGACCTCATCATCCCTCTTCCTTCCCTTCTTACCTCTTTCTTCACGCGGTGGGCGATGGCAATGGCGTGGCTGGGGTCGTCAAGCCCAGTGTTGATCATGATGGAATCCGTGTCACCATAAATCACTTCTAAATTAAGGTTGTTCTGTACCAGATCCACCGTGCTCTGAAGGATGTCCCGACCCTGCATGATAGGGAGGCAGTGGAAGGGCAGACAGGAAAGGAGGGGCCGAGGGCAGGTGAGGGCGGTGTTGATCATGAGGGAGACCGTGTCGCCGTATATCACCTCTAGGTTGAGATTGTTCTGCACCAGATCCACTGTGCTCTGCAGGATGTCACGACCCTGCGAAGGAGCATCGACAGCAGCAAAGTGGGTAATACAGGTGTGTTGATCATGATTGAGTCTGTGTGTCATAAATCACCTCCAGGTTCAGGTTGTTCTGCACCAGATCCACTGTGCTCTGCAGGATGTCATGACCCTGTAGAAAAGGAATGGCAGTGAGAGGGGGGAGAGAGGCAGGAAAGCAGGGAAGGAGAGGTACAGGGGGGGTGGCGGCATCATGATGTGCAACCACATCTGAACTTAGAGTGGGTGTCACCGCATATCACCTCCAGACTCAGGTGGTTCTACCCCAGACCCACCGTGTAGGTTCCAGTCTCCAGAGTCCCTACACTTTCAACATCCCTTGCTCAGCTCACCCTCCCGTCCCCTAAAGTGCACGTACCCTGGAGGTGATGAGTTCAGCCAAGGGCTTGGCGAAGAAGCGAGAGTTGGAGAAGCCTAGACAGCCGTACATGCTGTAGGGGGGTGAGGAAAGAAGGTGAGGGAGGTGGTCAGAGGAGGGGTGCAAGGAGGGGTTAAGGGAAGCATGGGCATTTGAGAGCGTAATAAGCTGTGAGGACTTCGTGGCCGCATCTCACCTGTTGGCAGTTGGCTTGAGCGCCTGTGACAGCACCCTGCCATAGCACCCTGCCATAGCACCCTGATATTGCCACAACCAGCCACCATGTCATGCAGTATCGCACCTGTTGGCAGTGAGCTTGAGCGCTTGTTGGCGGATGTCCAGGCGCTGCCGCTCATCCGGGTCGCTCTCCCTCTTGAGCATATCCTTCACCTGCCGCCTCCTCTGCACCAACATGCCCAGCACCTGCCAGCACCACGCCAGACCATACCATACCAAATCAGAGAATCAGATGAAAGGCAAGAATTTTCATGCCGTGGCATGTCCCTAGCAGCAGCTTAGATTTACTTCAGGTTGTGGTGTGGAGTGGTGTGGTGTGGTGCGGTTAGGGACATAGAACAGAACTGGCACCTAAACGCCAAGCCACGCACATACCTCTGGCAGCACCCCAGGAGGATCAGGATCAGGCAGCTGGGGCAGCGAAGCAGGGTCATCCCGGCAGGCAACGGTGGTGAAGCAGATGTTGTACTCGCGGATGATGGACGGATACAGGCTGTTGCTTCAAGCCCAGTAGCATTAATCAGTCTCTGGCCCACTCAGAAAAACACCTGGAACAGAGCAGTGCTAATGCGTACCTCTGGCAGCACCCCAGGGGGGTCGGGGTCGGGCAGCTGGGGCAGCGAAGCAGGGTCGTCCGGGCAAGCCACAGTGGTGAAGCAGATGTTGTACTCGCGGATGATGGACGGATACAGGCTGTTGAAATCCAGCAGTGCCACTATCTTATCATACAGCCCTCGCTTTGGCTCCAGCACCAACCCCCCCGCGTACCCCGGCCCCTTCTTCTTCCCCCCCTCACCACCCCCTCCTCCGCCTCCCCCACCTCCCTTCTTTCCCCTCGCTCCTCCCGCTACTCCCTCGGTGCCCTCAGGAGCATCTTCATCTTCCCCCTCTTCTTCCTCTCCCCCTTCCAACCCCCGTATGGCCGTGGTATCCTCTCCTGCTCCTCCTCCTCCTGCTGCCTTTTCTTGCTTCTCCCCGCCGCTCCCTCCCGCTCCTTTGCGCTTCTTTTTCTTGCCCGAGGCTGTGGCAGCAGTGGCTGCGGATGAGGCTGCAGCCTCTTTTTCTTTTGAGGTCAGCTTGTCGGGCAGCATAAACTTCCGGCGGTGGAATTCGTGCAGCAGGAGGTACTCGATTCGCTGGGCCCGGGATCCCTGACAGCGACGGGCAGCAGAAGAAAAAACACAAACAAGATTTCAAGCAGGCTACCAAAGCTCATGTGGGGTCCTATAAGGAGTCGATGAGAAAAGGAACAAGCTACTCCTATCCAGCACGAGAAGCAAGGCTCCTCTGGTCATCAGGCATGCATCATCGAACAACAAAGGCATGCCTACCTGCAGGGTGCGGTTCCAGAGGTTGCCACTGAGATTGGTAAGCTGCGTGTGATGAGTCGATTTTTAAGTCGACTTAAAAATCAAAGGCATGCCCACCTGCAGGGTGCGGTTCCAGAGGTTGCTGCTGAGGTTGGTGAGCTGGCGCGAGCGCAACCATCACACCACCTCCCCTCCTCCTTCCCTCTCCCTACTCTAATCATGTAAGCGGGCCCACCTGTAGGGTGCGATTCCAGAGGTTGCCACTGAGGTTGGTGAGCTGGCGCGAGAGTGGCAGCACGGAGAGGTGGAACATGAGGGAGAGGGCCAGCCATGCGTCTGTCTCCACCAACCCCACCTGCAAAGACGGAGAGAGGGAGGGTGTAAAGGGGGGGAGAGGGGAGTGAGGGGCAAAGAGGGGAACGAGGGAGAGCAAGAGTAGCAGTGGCAGCACGGAGAGTTGAAACATGAGCGAGAGGGCCAGCCACGCGTCTGTCTATACCAACCCCACCTGCAGGGAAAGAGGGGAGGTGGGCGGAACAAAACGAATCATAGGGCAAGGACGTTAGAACAGCGCACTGACGAGATTTGGAACATGAGCGTGAGGGCCAGGGCCAGCCACACGTCTGTGCTGTGCCTACAGACTCACCAGCTTCATGAGGCTCTCGCTGCTGCCATACATGCCCGGCACCTCAGCCGCAGCCACCTCCCTCTGCGTGTGCCCCAGCTGACAAAAAGCCTCTCTTGACCCCACCAGTTCCATTCACCAAGTAAAAGCCACCTCTGTCGCCACTCACCAGCTTCATGAGAGATTCGCTGCTGCCATACATGCCCGGCACCTCAGCCGCAGCCACCTCCCTCTGCGTGTGCCCCAGCTGACAAAAAGCCTCTCTTGACCCCACCAGTTCCATTCACCAAGTAAACGCCACCTCTGTCGCCACTCACCAGCTTCATGAGAGATTCGCTGCTGCCATACATGCCCGGCACCTCAGCAGCAGCCACCTCCCTCCGCGTGTGCCCCAGCTGAGGGCTATCCTGTCTTAACGGCTACCTTGTGCTTCACAGCCCTCACACCAGTTCCATTCACAAACCACTGCACTCACCAGCTTCATGAGGGATTCGCTGCTGTCATACATGCCCGGCAACTCAGCAGCAGCCACCTCCCTCCGTGTCTGCCGCAGCTGACTCACATCGCCCTGTCTTTGAATCACCTTGCCTTTAGTTTGCTGCACTCACCAGCTTCATGAGGCTCTCGCTGCTGCTATACATGCCCGGCACCTCAGCCGCAGCCACCTCCCTCCGGGTGTGCCCCAGCTGACGAAAATACCTCTCTTGAGGGCTACCTTGTGCTCCATAGGCCCCACCAGTTCCACTCACCAAGTAAACACCACCTCTGTCCGCGGAACTTACCAGCTTCATGAGAGATTCGCTGCTGCCATACATGCCTGGCACCTCAGCCGCAGCCACCTCCCTCCTCGTCTGCCCCAGCTGACTCGCCGCCAGCGCCGACAGCGAGTGGCTCACTTCCTTCGGCAGTATCTCTCGGGACGAAACGCTCGTGTCGATCAGCAGCCGCCCGGCCACAGCTGACAGCAGGCCCGGCGCCGCCCCTCCACCGCCCCAGCTGCTACCCGGGCCGCCCCCTAGCTTTGGCATCTGGGTGCGCTTGAGCCGACCAATCGCAGACCAGTTTCCCACACGGCAAGCCTGGCGGGAAGGATGGTAACAACAGGTGAAACCAGGTTCAACAACATTATCTGGTAACCAGATATAAGAAGGCTACCTGAAGCTCCACCAGAGCCCCACCTTGAAACATCACTCTACGCCCCACCTGAAAAAACACCTGAGCGCCCACCTGCATGCGCTGCAGCAGCACAGTGAGGTCAAACGCCGCCAGCCCGTGGCCTATGATGACGTCAGCATCCAGCCGCCCCATTCGCGCTAGCAGATAGCTCAGCAGCTCCCTCTCGCTATAGTCACACATTGGAAAAAATGAAGAACAGGGGGGGGAAGAGAAGAAGTGGGGAGGAGAGGGGGAGGAGAGGGGGGGGGGGGGGGGGGGAGGGGGGGGGGGTGGCTTACCACATATTGAGATAGTTGTGTGAATATGAGCTGTATACAAGTGTATGGGATGAACACAAAAAGATTGGATCTCGAGTTGTCTTGACAGCCACGAATATTCCACTCACACTCACACCCAACCTCACTCACCTGCCCTTCTTGCTCAGCACTGGCCCGTCCCGCCCTGCCCTCTGATTGGCTGCAGCAATGGCAGAATCAAATCCCACGGGGGACATCACCCCCTCCAGGCGCCTCAGCACCGAGAAGTGTCCCAGCGATGCCGCCCCACTCCACTCACTGCGCACCATTGGTCGGTCGATCTGGTGAGGAGAGAGGGGCGGGGGGGAAAGAGAATTATGGGGGTGGAGGAGTGGAACGCGAGGAGAGAAGGCAAGAGATACAGACCACAGAGGTTCACAGAACAAACCACATGTCGAACTGCTCCCCATTGCACAGCACGGCACAGGACCGCCCTCACTACCGGCTCACCTTGGCATTGCGGCAGAAGACCATGGAGACAGCAACGAACTCGTTCGCATTCTTGCCGTAACTCACCACCGTCTTCGCGCTCAAACACATGCCACACCGCCCCCACCATTGCACCGCTTAGCACCGCACAGCACCATTCAGCACCGCATGGCACCACACAGCACCGCACAACTAACCTTGGCGTTGCGGCAGAAGACCACAGAGACAGCAGCGACCTCGTTGACGTTCTTGTTATGGTTCACCACTGTTTTCACGTTCAGAGACGCCACCACCAGGGGCGGAGGGTCGCTCTCTGCTGCTGCTGGCGCCACCAGCTTGGGTGACGCCACTGATACCTCCACCCTGCAATGGCTCCTCTGGTGGGAGAGAACAGATCAAGATAGATGGAGGGCGCAAGTAGAGAGTGAGTGTTTGGGAGGGCGGAGGGTCGCTCTCTGCTGCTGCTGGCGCCACCAGCTTGGGTGACGCCACTGATACCTCCACCCTGCAATGGCTCCTCTGGTGGGCATGAAGGGATGGGGAGGGGAACATGGGGAGGAGTTAAGGTCATCAGTGAAGCGAAGTGCCATCTGCTTTCTGCTGCTGGCGACACCAGATTGGGTGATGCCACTGATACCTCCACCCTGCAGTGGCTCCTCTGGTGGAGGGCAGAGGGGGAGGAGTGTTGGAAGATGACGAGAGACAAGCAGTGAAGGTAAAGCACTTCTTTTAACTGCTGTGTAGGAAACTCTTTTACAAAGGCAGGCAACGATGGGCTATTCCATTTTGAACATACACGTGTATTGGGATGAGGCACGGACCTGGGAGCCGGGGTGAATGCGGGTTGGGCGATCGATAGCCAGCCAGCAGGGGCACTTGAGACGCCTCTTCAGCAGCAGCAGCTCCAGCGCACTGCCAGGGTGGGGTGCGGTCGGGTGGGGTGGGTTGGGGTGGAATGAGGTTGAGCGTCTAGAGCACTGTGAGTGGAATTGGTGGGATGGGGCTGGGTTGGAGTTGAGAATCCATTGTTCTCCTCGCCTTGTCTCTGAGACAGACTTTTTAGCAAAACATTTCGCCCCTGCCCATTTCGCAGTACGTTTTGCTTTTTGAGTCGAACTCAAGGGTCGCACCTGTCCAGTGTCTACAAGTGGAGCTGGAACAACTTATGTCGCCTGGTGATGCAAGCAGTCAATACAGCCCTCTCGTCTCACCTGGTGTGAGTGCCTAGCAGAGCACTGAAGTGCGTGCCTGTGAGGTCGGAAGGCAGAGGGGAATCCTGCAGTTATCAACAGAGACGCGGTGAGACATGGTATGAGAGGCGCAATGAGAGGTGTGGTGAGAGGTGCAGCGAGATGAAATGAGAGAAACAGCAAACAGCCACAGTGAGCATCCAGGTACAGTGTCGTGGCAGAGTGAAAGGAAAACCGGAGGACAATCAATCAGTCATCATGGCACTTGCAAGCTTACCGAGTAAGGGTATGTGATCTTGAGCACATACTGCTCGCCTCGTGGAATGTCCTTCCTCTCAAACGCGTATGAACGCTGGGAGAGACAATGATACAGAAGAGAGGAAAACAGGCAGAGGGGGGCGCAGGAGCACAGGATGAGCACATGAGCACAGTATGAAGAGAATCTCAAGAGATTTTCACCTCCATGCAGTGAATTGCCGCCAGTGAGCACCCTGGGGCAGCCAGGAAGCGACTCACCTTGACAGGCATCATGCAGAAGGAGGACACGTGGCGCTCCATGAGTCGCTGGCGAATCTCCTCCTTAAGAGGCGTAGCCAGCTCCTGTGGTAACCAGGGGGTTGGGAGGTGGGGAAGTGCGGAAGTGGGAATGTGGAGATGTGGGGGGCATGGGGAAGTGATGCGATGGGGGAGACGGGGAAGTGGGGAGTGGGGCGGATGGGGAGGTGGGAAAGAGAGGGAGGACGAGCTATAAGGGCTAGCAAAGCATTCAGTATCCCCACGTGAGTAAACATCGTATCCTCAAGCCTTGAACCCCCCAAAAACCCATACCCTGAACCCCATCCCAAACCTTGTCCGTGAGCGCCCTTCCCGGATCTCAATCCCACGCACCCCTCTCACGCAACTTACATGCAGCTTGCGCATCTTCTTAAGTCGGGCAGCCTTCACTCTCTCCGACTCCTCCTCGCCCTTCCCACCACTGCTCCCGCCACCCTTGGCCCCACCGCCCTTGCCCTTCCCTTTCCCCGCGTCCTCCTCTCTAGCCTGCTGCTCCTCCGCCTCCAGCACGGCCAGCTGAGGGTCTTCAAACAGCCCCTCGCGAGGCACGGCGAACACGCACCGCTGCATGCCCTGCACGCCCACGCAGCAGCTCACGTACGCCCCGCTGCTGCTGGGGTTGCTGGTGCCGGTGGCTTGCTTTACAGGCACCTGCTTGGGGGTGAGTTAGGCGGTGGGTTTTGAGTCGACTCAAAAGATTGCTGGTGCCGGTGGCTTGCTTTACAGGGACCTGCTTGGGGGTGAGTTAGGAGGTGGGTTTTGAGTCGACTCAAAAGATTGCTGGTGCCGGTGGCTTGCTTTACAGGGACCTGCTTGGGGGTGAGTTAGGCGGTGGGTTTTGAGTCGACTCAAAAGATTGCTGGTGCCGGTGGCTTGCTTTACAGGGACCTGCTTGGGGGTCGAGTTAGGAGGTGGGTTTTGAGTCGACTCAAAAGATTGCTGGTGCCGGTGGCTTGCTTAACAGGGACCTGCATGGGGATGAGTTAGGCGGTGGAGAGCAGAAGGCCATGAAATCTTGCCATTTGGGAGGCACGGCGAACACGCACCGCTGCACGCCCTGCACGCCCACGCAGCAGCTCACGTACAGCTCGCCTACCTCTTCCCAAGCATCCCCTTACTAGTCTCCCAGACCCCCTCTCACCTTGCCAAACAGGAACACCGTGCCCTGAAGCGCGCCATAAGACTCCTCCACCGCGTCTAGGAAGAAGAACGGAAGCTTCCCATCCGCGTCCAGGGGAAGCCCCTCCACGTTCACTGGCGCATCTGACCCTGCGACAGCCGCACTTCCCGCTACAGCCGTTTGCCCTGCTACAGCCGTCCAAGCCGCAGACGCGTTCTCCTCCTGAGCCAGCGCCCCGAGCCTAGCATGCAGCTTCGGCGCCTGGCCTGCCTCGGCGGAATCCGGTTTGGCCGACTGCACTCCCTCTGCCGCACCATTCCCAGCTGCAGCTTCTTCGACTGCCGCTGCCCCTGGTACTTTCTCCCCTCCAGACTCTGCTTTAACGCCGGTATTCTTCATACCAGCTCCGCCACCGCTTGCCCGGGCGTTACTACTGGGTTCTGCGTTAGCACTAGGTGACTCGGGACCCGTACCTGCCCCTCCACCAGCAGAACCGGCATTCACACCTTGGTGCTCACGTGCCGCAGCGGCAGGGGTCATGTCGGGAAAGGGTGAATCGTCGGCAAGCGGCGGCGTCTGCGGCGACGGCGGCTGCTGTCGGCCGGTAGAAACGACCGGCTCGTTTGACGGCGTGACGACAGGTGCGTCGTGGAAATCGTCGGAGTAGACGGGGGGCTTCGCGTGCTGTGCGAGTGGACGCCACGCGGCGGGCTTAACGGTCACAGCCACGCCGCCACCTGACGAATGCGAGTGAGATAAATTACCAAACCGCGGGAGGAACGGAGAGAGGACAGAATAAGTAGGAGAGGACAAGGAACGCGGGGAGATGTTGGAGGACGAGGATCACGATTCCAACGTTAGGGGAACTCAAAGTGCTTAAGCTTAACTTTTGCGCACTCAGCGAAGCGACACACATGTCGAGGCGGACAAACCCACACAACCGGACCGCACCTCGCCGTCTTCTCTTGTCAAAACGCTCGTGCGCGTCAGGGCCGATGTCGTTAATCGTCTCCTCCAGCAGCGCCTCCACCGCTTGCGCCTCGCCGGCCGGCAGTGCCGAAGCCTGCCGGCCGCCGGCGCGCGCGCCGGCGGCGGCGAACATGTTGGAGGCGCCGCGGCGCTTCCCCATCATGGCGGCGGCCGCCGAAAGCGCCTTCCGCGCGGCGACGCCCTCTCGGCGCGGCCTGGGTCCTGACGGGGGGAGCACACAAGGGAGGCCAAGAAGGGAGACAATTACGAAGGACATTGATGGAGACTATGAAGACGGCACGAAGGGAGAAGACAGCAAGGGAGACACAACGGGACGTTTCCTTACGAGCATCAATAGTGCGGGGGGAGCCTACACTGGCACTGGCGCTCAGCATTAAGGCACTCCAGCTGAGCTAGCAACCGAGCAAAGCGATAAAAAAGAGGGAAGACTTTCGAGTCGGCTGAAGAGTCAATAACGACCAAACAGAGCGAGGCACAAAAGAACAAGAACCGACGCGCAAAACACTGAACAACGAAGGGTACGACAGAAGTACCAACCCGTAGGCTTCTTCTCCTTCTTCTTCCGTCTGCCGCCGTCCTCGTCCTCGTCCCACGAGTCGTCGTCGTCGTCGCGTCGGTCCCACACGTCCTCCAGCCCCGTGTCCGCATACCCCAGCCCGTTGTCGTCCACGACGAAGTTCTCGCCCGCTGCGCGACGCTGTGCGACGATTTTTTGGTACTCCGACTCGTCGACGACGTCGTACAGGCGATCCTCCTCCTTCAGCTCGAACGTGTCGATCCGTCGCTTGCGTCGCACAGCCTGGTCGCCCTGGTCGCCGACATCGTCGCCGACGACAGGAGGCGGAGCGGAACCGGACTGGCGGCTGGCGCGGTGCGCAGCGAGCTCCGCAAGCGCGCTCTTGCGGGAGGCGGAAGCGGAGTCTACAGCTCTACGCGACCTGGTTACCCTTTCCATGGCGACCAGCTAAACAAACTGGACTAAGACACTGAAATGGACCTTCCGCTTAGAGTCACACTATAAATCGAGACTCGTTGCAACTCAAGGAATGACAGAAAGTTCTAACTAAATTGTTGCCCAACTGCAACGGTGCCTCGTCTCCTCCAGCATCCTACACCATAGAAACCACACCAGGTTTCAGTCAGGCACTGGTATTGACCAACACTAGGAATGGGGCACAGCAGAAGAAGGCTTGTCGTTGACGAATGAGTTGAATGGGGGTGAGGAAAAATCTAGTTCACCGCGTCGCTGCTCCCCGACCCGACCAACCTTGGGAAGCGCGCGGACACACAGACTCAGTTTGAACGGCCAATTTGGAAATTCAAAAACTGAAATATATTCTTGGATAAATACGGTAACGTTATTTTTCTGATCGTAACAAGAGCATTTGGCCGAGTGGTTAAGGCGTGTGCCTGCTAAGTACATGGGCTCTGCCCGCGAGAGTTCGAATCTCTCAGTGCTCGAGAAGCTTTTCTACGCCTTAATGCAACATCAAGGTACACTGTTGATGATCATATAAAATGTTTCCACGAGAAGTGTACACCAAGTTGAGACAATGCAGCTCTTACAAACTTTTTACTATATCTAAGGCACAATGTCTAAATCTCTGAAAACAAGAGTGGCATGCCATGTTTCGCTTGTGCTGTGAGAGCAGCAGTTGGTTGATGCTGATACGAAGGAGATATGCTCCATGAGACGCTAAGGAGCAAGTGGGATAGAATAATCTTAGCCTCGGTAAGTCCAAACATGGCTCCAACACAATCTCGTGGACCACTGGAGAAAGGGATGAAGGCCTGCGGGTGTGAGCAGGCTGCTTGCTGTCCGTCTGTGAGGTGGGCGCATGAGGAAAAAGGGGGAGAACGCTACCATCAAATTTAGAGCTCAAGTGATGAAACCAGGGCGGAACAGCTTACGTGCGGGGAATGAATGGGCTGGAGAATGATTAGAAGCGGGCTCAGCCACCAACCCAGCCAAGGGTCTCCACGTGTTCCTCCACACTAAGGCAGCCTGACAAAGAAACACATTGCTCTCGGTCTCACCTTGGAACCTCTCGGGCTTGAATTCACGCGCATCGGGCCCCCAATACCGCTCGTCAGCGTGCAAGCACCCGACAGGCAGAAACAGGTCGACGCCCTTGGGAATGACGTAGGGGCCGATGCGCACGTCCTGCTTGCTCGTGCGTGTTACGACAGGCACCGGGGGGAAGAGGCGGAGTGTTTCCAGCAGCACCATGTGCATGTCCTTCAGCTGCCCCGCCTGCTCCCATGTGATCTCCGCCCTGCTTGCATCTGTTGCTCTAGTGTCTGCTTCTCGTGCCTCCGCTGCTTGCGTCTCGGCTGCCATAACCTTGCAGTCTTGATGGGAACTATGTCTCGCCCTGGCTGTGCTGTCGCTGCTACTGGCGTCACTCTCACTGTCACTGTCCGTGCCATCGTCACTGCCGCCGCCACCACTACTGCTGTCACCGCTGTCGCTGCTACTGCTGCTACTGCTGCTCTCTGCTCCATCATCCTGCACAGTCTCGTCATCCTTCTCAGCCTCCTCGTTCATCTTAACTATCCCCGCCTCCCTCGCTTCCATTCCTCCTCCAACCCCCACCACGTGCACCACCTCGGATCGGAGCCGGTGCTGCCAGTGCGGGTGGCGGGCCAGCAGGTACATGCTCCACATCACCAGCACCGCCACTGACTCGTGGCCTGGAGGGGTGGAGAGGAGGAGAGTAAGGTGCAATGCGGTGAGGTGCGATGCGGAGGTGGGGTTGGGGAAAGGGAACGGGATACGCAGCAGCAGCAGTTTCTCATTCCACGCGCTTCACTTAAACTTCAGGGAAATCAATTTAGGTAAAAGTGACTCACCAGCCATGATGAGTGTAGCACACTGGTTCACGACTCTGTTCACCAAAGCAGCAGACAACACAGCACCACCAGCACTAGCACCAGCAGTAGCACCACCACTGCCATCAGCAGCAGCAGCAGCAGCGCGGGTCTCCTCCTCGCGCCTCATCTCCGCCACCAGCAGCGCTGCCAGAATGTCCTTCCCCAGGTGCCCCTGCGCGCTCCCCATGCCCTCCCGCGCGCCCCCCTGCGCCCTGCGCGCGATCAGCTCCCCAAACAGCTGCCGGAACCGCTGCTCCACCGCCCACAGCGTGCGGTTCTCAGGCGTCGGGAGGAGTCTGAGCGGGTTTAAGGGCGGGAGAGGGACGCGCGGAAGAGAGGGGTTGAGGGGGGATAGGAGCAAGGGTTTGAAGCCTTGGAAGATCCACAACGGGTCAAACAGGACTTCAACCTTTGTGATTTGCCCGCACAAGGGCATGAACCCCTCTTATTTTGCTATGAAGCGCCTCCGAAAGAATTCTTGGGCATGGGGAGCAGGGCCAGCGAAGGGAACGGGTCAATGGGAAGACCCGTCCCGAGAAAAACCGCGCAATGGCTTTAATCAAGACGTACGTGTAGAGTGGGATGAAGACCCGTCCCGAGAAAAACCGTGCAATGGCTTTAATCACCAACGAGTGCAGCACCGTGTATATCCCCGCCACCCCCCGCTCCCCTTCCCCCCTTCCACCTTCCACAATCGCCCCTCCCCCCACCTCCTCCTCCTCCCCCTCCCAGCCCTCCTCTTCCCCCTCCGCATCCGCATCCGCATCCGCCACCGCCTCTGTCGCCGCGTTCCCCGCGTCCAGGGTGCTCACGCCAGCGGTGGCGCGGCCGCGGCCGCCGCTGACGGCGGCGCCGAGCACGGCGAGACCGATGACGTCAAGAGTGACCGCGAACAGCACTTCCTGAATCTCCACCTCGCGCCCCCCTTGCGACGTGCGCTCTTCCGCCTTCTGCCCTTCTTGTGCGATTCGCTGCAGCAGCCGCGCAACGCCCTTGCGCGCCTGGCGGTTCATCACGGAAAGTGCGTGCTGCGGAAGGGAGGGGGGGAGGGGGAGGAAGGGGAAAGAAAAATGGGATACGGGGAGAATGAAGTCGTAAAACAGGGAGAGCGCTGAAGCGTGCTCGAAAGACTTCTGAATATTGAGTCGACTCGAAAATGCGCGGGAGAGAAAACGGGAGTCGCGGAACAGGGGGGGCGGGAACGGTGAGCGCGATGGCGAGCGGGGAACGGTGAGGGGGGAGCGGGGACCGATGCGCGGCGCGTGCATTCTCCGAAATTGACGGCTGAATCGCCAGTACCTTGATGGCGCCATGGCTGAACGAAGGATTGGCGACCTTGCGCTGCCGCAGCCACTCCTCTCCGTCAACAAACGGCAAGCCGTCTCCCACGAAGCTCAGCGCGCGTTGCACGGCCGGCATCTTGTGGAAGCATCCTGACCGTCCGATGAGCACCTGCTGCACAAGATCTGGATCCGCAAGCACCAGCGCGGGTTGCGGGCCAGCAGCGAATCCGAACACCGTTCCGAACCGGGAAATCCAGTCGCATAGCAATGGAGTGACCGTTTCCGGGCCGAGCGGTGCTGACGTGGCAGGCGAAATGGGGTCCTTGACTTGCCACTGCGACTGTAACTCGGGAATCTGGCCAATGAGAGGCCGGAACGGCAGGAACGGAATGTTTTGTCGTTTGCATGCGACGACGAGGCGATACGGAAGCCAGACTACGCGATAGAGGAGCAGTGCGAGCGACGATGCGACGAGAACTGCGAGCGAACCCCGTAGATGCCGCGAGTCGGCGAATTCCATTACGGTATCCATAGGTCGGAAGAATGTACTATGGTACTAATAAATTAGCGGGAAACCTAGCGGTGATAGCAGGCCTGAACAACTAACGGTCGCAACGGCAGCGCGAAAGGAGAAGCAAGTTCAGGGAACGCGTCGTAGATTCAACCGACAACGAGGCGTTAGATTTCTACTCAAGGAATTTTCGGTGGTTGCTACTAGGGCCTACTACGTGGCTGCAGGAGAGCGAAGCAGCGGCATTTCCTGTCGAGCTCCCACACGACAAGCACGAGGATGCACGTACATACGAAAACGGTGGAGAACGAAAATGACGGAGAACGAAAATGGCGGACACAAAGAAAGATCTAGGATGACTGCGGGGGGAGGAGAGGAGAGCAAGGCAAGCGAGGTCGAAAAAACTCGAAAAACACGAAAGGACACCGACCGAACCGCCGCTATCGATGAGCAGGGGGCTAGGTGACCAATCAGAAGAATTGGCGGGATAGGGCGGTCCAGATTGCTGAATTTCACCTATGAGATGGATGAAATGCGAGGCGCACTCATTCACAGCAACCCCGGGCGGTCAGCAGTTGGGGCTGTGAAAGTGCCTGACGTTTGCGGGAAGAATCGTCAAGGCCTCGTAGACGTCACGGGTTCAGTCGGTTGAAAAATGGAAGTCTGTTGGCATTTTGGCTGAAATTGTTGGGTGTGAAGATTGGGGAACACTGGCGGTACACCCTGCCTGACCTTGGTTGCAAGGCGAATAGGGTGGCGGGGCGGATGGTACACGGTGAGCACGCCCTACGGTTCGCGAAAGACGCGCGCGTTTGGCCTTGCCCCAACTAGGGACAGGTTCGGCCGAACGCCAGGTCCGATGTTTGGTCGCTTTGGCCCCACACCTGGACCAATCAAGAAGAGCTATGTCTTGGCGACCAAGGCCCACGTCATTTACTACGCCCAAAATATCAGGGGTGCGTGACGCATCGACCTGCGTCTCAGTGGTCGATCGAGCATGTGACACAAGCAGTATCTCTCTATCGACGGTTCCCGTTGGCTCCAGAAGACGACAACAAGGTGCATAAGCAGAGTCCTACCGTACTGTACCCCACAGGCCTTTTTACTTACCATAGATTGGAATGGGGTTTCTGATTAAAGTTGTGTGACTTTCACGTAGCAGTAAGACCTGCCAAATCACTATACTTGTCACGAGCCATGTTACAGCGAGTAAAACCAAAAGCTTTCAAATTCAACGACTTTGTCAGACTTTTGGCGCCCAACTTCGGCCCAATCAGCCCACGAGCATGTCAGAAAGCCTCAACACCACAAAAGTGAGCCGCCAAGCCGAACTCCCACCATTCCGTTGGGAAGTGAGCCGCCAAGCCGAACTCCCACCATTCCCTTGGGAATATGCCATGACATTCATGCCATTCCCTGCTGGGAACTCTCACCATTCCCTGAGGAAAATGCCAAGCTGTGCCATTCCCTTGCAGCCAGACCGCTGCTGCTTTGTTTGCTTGAGCAGCGAAACCCCCAAGGCATCCCCAAGGCTTCAAGCCTATGTTCATCCATTGCTCTGTCGGACTTGAACGCATTCACTGGACCTCGTGGTTCTCCTCGGAAGATTAGTCCTCTCTCTCTTTTGCCGACTTCGGTCTCTTAGCTTCTGCAACAATACGGCTACGGCTGGAGCTAACTAGCCCCATGAGCTCTAATCATGGAGGATATATGAATGTCTTATAATCGCGTAATCGACTGCTGCTAGTCCACGGCTCAGCTTTCGCAGTAATCAGCTGCCGACCGGTGCTGCGTGCCACAACTTTAGACATTAAGCTCCTTAGAAATAAGGTCCTTTTGACTTCGTTTTTTTTTGCGAGGGGTGACATCCAGAAATAACGACCTAACTGCTGCTCGTAGTAACGTAGATTCAGCTAGGCTCGGCGTTGATTCAGTCCAATATGAAAACCGTTTTTCACTGATGCACAGTCGCACGCTGAAGTACGACAGTTGCGACACCCAGCAAGGCTTCTTAGCGACAAGCTTCGTAGCGACAAGCTTCGCCACGACAGCAAACCACAGCCCTACACCTTTTCACGTTCTTGACTGTCTCTTGCCGTTCAGCGACCTGAGAAACTCTAGAGTGGAGCCACGCGGCGACAAGACGACATGGTGCAACAGCCAACATTATTTTTATCCGGAAATGGTCTATCGAATCATGAGAATCGCGTGCAACGGAAGCGGTTGCTCCAGCGACTCCTGGAATAGTGTCGAAAGCAGCATCCTTCAGTCCGAGTGACTGAATATCAGCCGTCAAAACTGGCACGAAACACACGTTTCCCGAGATTGCCGGCCGGGAACAACGCAGCGTTTGTCGGAGTACAAATCAGCGGTGGAAAGCAGTTGTTCGCAAATGGCAGCAGTAGTGTTCGCCGACCGGCATCGCAAGCGTCAAGAAGTAGACGTTTCGATGCGTCGAAGCGCGGCCGCCAGAACCAGAGTGACGCAGCTCGCGGAAATCGCTCTGCGCCGTTCGCCATGAGGATCGCACGCGTTCGCATCGAGTTCCCCGGCGTTCCCTTGATTTTCTCTCGCGATCAATGAATGATCAACGGTACGTAAAAGCGAAGGCTGGTGGGGGGGATCATGTAGGCGCCTAGAATAGCGAACCGCCTAGAGAGTCTTGTCGCTCTCCTTCTTCGCGTCACGTTTGGATAAAGCTTCCCACTAACGCGAGTACCTTTCCTCTCTTGCTGTCCCCCCGCCGTTCTCTCCTCTGCGTGTGTGTTCGAAGCACGAGCGCGATTTGGACGATCGCCGTCGCCGCAGTCTCGGACGTTCCCAGAATCGCAGGTTGCTCCAGACATTCCCAGAATCGCCTGACGTCGCTCAAAGCTCGCAAGCGTTCTGCAGTCGCCAAGCTCTTGAAGAATCGCCAGGCGTCGTTCGTCGTTCGCAGTCGCCAAGCACTTCATTGATACCTCACGAGCGTTTGCTTGGAGATCGTTGACAATCAGGGAAAGATCAACAGTACGTACGAACGACGGCTGTTGGGGGGGAAGTGTAGTGAGTCGTAGAGCGTCGCCGCGCAGAGGCAAGAGTCGTCTTGTTTCTTGCTTTTGAATCCGCCACTCCCCTCCTGCTGTTTCTAACCCTCCCTCTTGTGTGCGTGTCTCTCTCCCCATGTTTGTGTGTGTCTCACGGCTTGCGAGCATGGGCAGCCGGAGCAAAGGAGCAACCTGGAGGAACCTTAACATCACGCAGAACGAGAGCAGGAGGCGGCAGGGAAGCAGGAGCAGCAGGAGCGCAACGGAAGGATCATGCGTGGTACGCGCCAGGGGGTGCTTGCAGGGGGGAGTGTAGTGAGTCGTAGAGCGTCGCCGCGCAGAGGCAAGAGTCGTGTCTCTTTCTTTTGCGTCCGCCACTCCCCTCCTGCTGTCTCTAACCCTCCTTGTTGGTGCCGCTTCTGTGTGCGTGTCTCTGTCCCCCCATGCGTGTGTTTGTGTGCCTCACGGCCTGCGAGCATGGGCAGCCGGAGCAACGGAGCAACCTGGAGCAACTTGGAGCAGCAGGCGTGAAGGGAAGGCGTGGTGCAGGAGTGGCAGAGCAGCGGACAGAATGTGGTACGCGCCAGGGGGTGCTTGCAGGGGGGAGTGTAGTGAGTCTTAGAGCGTCGCCGCGCAGAGGCAAGAGTCGTGTCTCTTGCTTTTGCCTCAGCCACTCCCCTCGTGCTGTTTCTAACCCTCCCTCCTTGTTGGTGCCTATTCTGTGTGTGTCTCTCTCTTTCCCCATGCGTGTGTGTGTGTGCCTCACGGCCTGCGAGCATGGGCAGCCGGAGCAACGGAGCAACCTGGAGCAACTTGGAGCAGCAGGCGTGAAGGGAAGGCGTGGTGCAGGAGTGGCAGAGCAGCGGACAGAGTGTGGTACGCGCCAGGGGGTGCTTGCAGGGGGGAGTGTAGGGAGTCTTAGAGCGTCGCCGCGCAGAGGCAAGAGTCGTGTCTCTGGCTTTTTTATTCCACCACTTCCCTCCTGCTGTTTCTAACCCTCCCTTTTTGGTGCCGCTTCTGTGTGCGTGTCTCTCTCCCCATGCGTGTGTGCGTGTGCATCACGGCCTGCGAGCATGGGCAGCCGGAGCAACGGAGCAACCTGGAGCATCTTGGAACAGCAGGCGTGAAGGGAAGGCGTGGTGCAGGAGTGGCAGAGCAGCGGACAGAGTGTGGTACGCGCCGGTTGGTGCTTGCAGGGGGGAGTGTAGTGAGTCTTAGAGCGTCGCCGCGCAGAGGCAAGAGTCGTGTCTCTTGCTTTTGACTCCGCCACTCGCCTCCTGCCGTTTTTAACCCTCCCTGTTGGTGCTGCTACTGTGTTCGTGTCTCTCTCCCCATGCATGTGTGTGTGTGCCTCACGGCCTGCGAGCATGGGCAGCCGGAGCAACGGAACAACTTGGAGCAGCACACCTGGAATGTGCCGCAGGTTGCTGTTGGGGAAGCTTCCCTCTAGTTGCGACATGCAATTTTCAACCGGGAGTGAAGAATGCGAGTTCAGAATGCGTTACTTTTTGTGTCACTCTCTTCTCCAGCTGCCATCCGCCATCTCTTCCAGTATGTCAGTGCTCGTTCACGTCCTCACCCTCTCGCCTTTTTGGGTCACCCACTTACAACTTACCATGCCTTGCTGTCTCAATCGCCTCTCCTGCTGCCATCTCCCAATTCTTCTTCCATGTCGTGCTCTTTCACATCCTCACCCTGTCATCCACTCGCCTCTCCTCTCCGTGCCATCCTCTTCCTTGCCATACTACCACCCCTCTCTACAGCACTCAAGGGGGCAGTGGCTGCAGCAACTCAGGGATCACCAGCAGCAGCGGCTGGAGGATGGCGAGCACACATTCTCGATACAGCTGTTGTGAAGTGTGAGTGAATCAGCAAGTGTATTACTTCTCCACTCAACATGCTCATGCTTCTCTTTTGCAATTCTGTATCGTCTACCTTCTTTCCACAGTGCCATGTGCCTTAGCTGCTGTGTTGCCGGATGTTAATGCCACTCTGTTCACCTCCCAAGCTCCTCCTTTCCTGTCCTACTTTCTTCTCTGCTCTCCTCTCGTTTTCTCTGCTCGCCTCTCCTTTCTCTGCTCTCCTCTCGTCGTCTCTGCTCGTCTCTCCCTTTCTCTGCTCTCCTCTCTTCCATCAACAGAAGGACAAGCCCTTCTTTCCAGCACCAGCAGCATGGGCACCAGTGATGGCAGCAGCAGCAGCTGAAGTGGTGGCAGGGATACTTGCAGCATCAACGACCACTGCAGTGGTTGCGGCTGCAGCAATCAACAGGTGATTAGAGCTTACCCTCGTGCTTTCAGCTTCCTCAAATGTTGGTATGCTATATCGTGCTTTCCTTTTTAACCAGTTCTTCGATGTCTTACTCGTCTCCTTTAATCCTTCTCATGCTGCTCGTCAAACCCCTCTTCTTTCTCATGTTGCGTGTCCTCTCCTTTTTCTGTCCTAATGTTGTGGTGCCCTGGTCCCCCCTCTCCATGTCCCATTGCTGCCCTGCCAACAATTGCGGGGGAAGCAGCGCCAGCAACAGCAGAGCTGCATATCTCTTTATGGTATGTGTGACGGGACATTTTGCAGGGGGGAGTTGCTAGCCTTACATACATTTCGCACTTGGTGCTTGCTTCACAAAGGACGTCTGGCTTGAACATAATGCACCGCTATTATTTTCCGTTCTGGTCAGCTTCACTCATGTGTCGTCATGTGCTTTTGCAGCTTGTAAGTGTCTAACTGCTCTCTTTCCTCCTTGTTCTTTCATGTCCCATTTTTGTCCCGTTGTTCTCCCGCTGGCGGGATCTTCTGTGGTGATGTGCAGGGCGAGGTACAGGACTTGTGGGGTGCTGCATGTCGGTGGGAGCTCAGAATGTGCCGCTTCTGTGCTTACAGTGCTGCTGTGCTGTGCTTATCTTTGCTTAGGTGTGCTTATCCTTGCTTAGGCGTGCTTTGTTGCTTAGTTCTGCATGTTGTAGAATAGGTGGGCGGGATGGGCAACCCAGAAGGCGCCTGAGCACACAAACAGTCACGCAGGGGAGAGGGGACACCAACACCGACAAAGGGTTGAGAGTCCTCTGCAGGTGCTGTGCTGCTGATGACACGGCTGCTACAGGCCAAGCCCTTGTTCACAGCGCTGAGAGAGTGAGGAGGAGCTAGCATGAGAGGCACACACACGGTGATGGAGAGCAAGTGGAATTGCAGGGCCCCCACCGATACTCTGCATGTGCTGTCATCCATGCACATAGAGGCAGCCACCGCGAACAGGATACCAGTCAGGCTGATGCCTCACACACGGTACAAGCCAGGATGGCAGGGACTGACAAGAAACTGCAGTTGCACACGTTTCGTGCAGAACATAAGTGGCCTTGACAAACACCCTGGATCAGAATGCATCACCTGCGACAAGAGCAGTAAGCTCAGGCCGGGTCCCCCAGCCACATAAGACAGACATGCCTTGCCCGCATGTACAGCTGCCACACCAGAGCCATCAATCACTCCGCGCCCCTACTGCTCCTGATGTGCATGCAGACAGACGCACACTAGCCCAGGCTGACTCCATACTTCCAATCTCAGCAATTACAGGTATGAAGAAGTGAATATCGTTTATCAGTATGTTGGAGTCCAGAAGTGCCGTTATGAGTTCGAAGTACTGACTTGAAACGAGGATTTGCAACACTTGTTTTGCTGGGCAGCCTCGCTGCAGCTCACGAGGGGCGCATTTCTTCTTGTAACTCCGCGGACCCTGCGACCATGTAATCGAGCTTTCCGCTGTTCCTTCTCGCAAGCACGCGGCGCTAAAGCGCACTCTGCGCTAAATTTCCTAAGCTTTTAGGACACCAATCGTTTCGTTTCTCTCGTTACAAAGTACAAGTAGTTTAGGCTCGCTTCAAAGCCGTCAATGTGACGCGGCTCGCGCCCATGGCTTGGTCGGTATGGCGGCACGGGCGCGCGCGATGAACGAGCGACCTCCGCTCTCCGCTGGTGACGCTTAAGTATTTCAAAAGCCACCTCGCGATATGCGAGCAGACGTGGCTCCGCCGTCCGCATCTGCGTCATATGGACGCCAGTGAACCACATCCCGCTCCGCGTTCCGCTGGTTCGCGAGTGAACCACATCCCGCTCCGCGTTCCGCTGGTTCGCGAGTGAGCAGGCAGCGCCGCGAGCACGGCGGCGGCGGTGGCGACGACGGGGATGGCGGCCGTGGAAAGGGATTTGCGTGTCGAGGGGTGTCTAATCGAAGCCGTCCGCGTCGCCGTTTTAGCAGGCTTCTCTGGTCAGAAGGTTTCATATCTTTCTCCCCACCGTCAGAGGTTAAAATTATCGTGTCTCTCCTAACGAAACTGCGGATTCTGGAACACTGTTTGAAGCATCGCTGACGCCCCAGGCATCTCAAGCATCGCAGGCATTGCAAGGCGTCGCGGCAGTCGCAGGATGGGGCGCTACACCGCCATAGGCGGGCGAGGGATCGGTCCGCTCGGCAGCACGTGTTTCATGCGACACCTCATGCTCGTCGCAGCTGTCTCGGCGACGCTCCTCTCTGTCGTTCAGTCCAGTGCTGAACCCTCTTCCAACCCCATGGAACATGCTTCGGACCCCACGGAACCTGCTTCCGTGCTTGCTCCCAGTCCCTTGTTCTCTACCTCTCAACCGAGCCCAACCACTCACAACTGCACTTGCCTTCCCGTCACCGCTCCTCCTCCCAAACCCACCCCCTGCGCTCCTGATACAGTGACCACGGTTTCAAGCACACCCTCGCGCCAGCACGCCTCCCACAGACGCAAAGTGAAACGCAACAACAAGGCGTCACTCAATAATGGCACCATCTCAGGCACCAATATCACTCCAACCTCTCCAAATTCCAACTGCAGCAGCAGCGCCAGTCAAAACCCTAGTAGCAGCAACAGCAGCGAGTGCAGTGGTGGTATCCCCCATGTTGCTGAAACGTCAGCCAAGGGAGACCCGCACCTGATCGGTCGGCACGGCGAGAAGTTTGAATTCCACGGTCAGGATGGCGCGAGCTACTGCCTTGTGAGCGATCGGAAGGTCCAGATCAACATGCATCTGTATGCTGGCGCCAAGAATGGAAGCACGGTGAGTGGAAAAATACCATAGATGTCTGGCAATCCCAGGTTATAAAGTACTCTAGCATTACTGCCAGGGTTCGGAGACGCCTCAAAAGTCTTCTATTTCTGTTTCCATTGCTCTTCCGGACTATGTGGTTTCTCCATCTAAGAATTACCATCATTTCGTAGCTTCCTTCCCGTCCCATGGGCTGTCACTTGCAGTACATTGATGAAATCGGGGTGGTAACCAGCTCAGGCATCAACATCGTTGTTTCTGCACAATCAGCAGCTGACGCATCACCTGACGGGGTGCAGGGTCAGCTGGAGGTGAACAGTGCATCGCTGCCAGATGACATCCTGACCATTGATCTGCTCCGGCATACGGTCAGGATCGAACGGCGCAAGGCAAGCATGCGGGTGCGCGTGCGAGGGGTGGTGGATCTGACGGTTGACATTCTTCCTGACCTCTCACGCAAGACCCATCCGAACTACGTAAGCTGTGCACTAAATGGTTGCATGAGATGTGAGACATGCGAGCATGTCTGCAATTCATATCGTTCAAACAAAACAGCAAGCCCATGTTCTGTTCTTCTTTCCACCTCCTTCCCCTATCATAATGTCTGAATTGCTCTCAACCAATCATACCAAACCTCCCTCCCTCCCCACCCCTTTCTTTCCCCCTTCTGTCCTGCAGTTGAACATTCACATTGCCAGCCTGCATGCATCCCGCAAGGTGCATGGCATTATAGGGCAGACATACCAGGACTCTGCTTCACGCCTGTCCAGGTTCAGTGGATCTCAGGGAAAGAACGGCCCAGCGAAAGAGAGGGCCATCATCGACGGCACAGAACAGGACTACAAGACGTCGGGGATTCTGGATGCTGATTGTAAGTTCCAGCAGTTTGGGAAGAAATCTGCTGGTCACCAACATTTCAAATAGCGTTACATCGCTGATTGGTAACCGCCGCTGCTCTTCTGTGTGGAGCTGCAGCACTGTTACAGGTTCACCGGTTTCCTCTAGCACGAAAATAATGGTCAGTCACGTCTAGCTAGCTAGATGGGTTTAGGCCTCATACAGCTCTGTTTAGAGCAGCGCCTAGAGAACTCTTCTATAGCGAGTCTGTCTGATAAAAGCATACCGAGCACAAAGCATAAAGATATTCCAACCCCAATATATTCCAATATGGCTGTCATAGTATACCACTTTCCAAGAACATGAAGCCATCTCTCTGTAACCGACGCTGAAGAGGCACAACACATTGCTTCCTCCTGTCTGGAAGGGGATTCTGCATCACAGGGTTAATTACCCTTGAGCAGCGCAAGCACGGCATCCGAGATCCAGGTTGAACTCGCATTGGAGGTGGCAAGTTGTAGGCCGCATTCGCCTCACCCTTCACACAGAATCTCCTCCTCCGCATGCAATGTATTCTCAGGGTTAATTACCCTTGAAAAGTGCGAGCACCGCATCAATATCCAGGGCGAACTCCCCCTGAGGTGGCAAGTTGTAGGCTGCATACGCTGCAGCTGCTGCCACAGCCGCCAGAGCAGCTGACACCACCACACAGCTCCCTCCTGCAGCCACCTTCCCTTGCAGCTTCCTGGCTGCTGCGTCGGCATTTTGAATGTCCTTTTTCCGAGCTATTTGACCCTCGTCCAACTCCTCCAGTGCCGCGATGTGCTGCACAAGGGGAGAGGGAAGCAGAGGGACAAAATCAAGAAATAAGACAGAAGATTTGCAAGTGATCGCGTGGGAGTGATAGCATGGAAGCATCATAGCAGCATGGGACCACGGGAGCACGGGGCGGGGGGGGAGAAGGTGGGGCGGGCACAGGAGCACGGGGAAGGTGGCAAGCACACACAGACGCACAGCAAGGAGCATTCACAGCAAGCAGTACACACCTTTTTGCGAATGGAGGCAAGGAACTTGCGCAGGGGGTCAAATGGAGCGAGCTGGGTTTTGACAGTGGGCCATGAGCGCAGCACGTAGGTGAGCAGGAGGGTGCTCGTGGCATGATCCTCCGCGTGATGCCGCTCCTGCCAGGACAACGCACAACACACGTAATTAGGCACAGGTAATGTGCCATTGAGTTGCAGTTGCATGGCAATTGCACGCATCTTCACTCGGGACGGATAAGGTACGGATAGAATTAGGACGGTGAGGGTAGAATGAGACTGATGAAAAGAGTGAGCAGATCAAAAAGCTATGAGGCATAAAAAGGATACTTTGGGAACTCACCCATTGCAGGTAGCAATCGGGGTTTTCTTCTAGGCACCACACAAAGAGGCTGCTGGCCTCCTGGGCGAGCGCTTCAGGCTCTGAAAGGGCAGTGCGTTAGGTGGGCAGAAAGGGCAGCAGGGAAAGAGGGTGGCCGGAAGGTCAGATGGTCAAGTGGAAGCACGCGGCACAAGTGAGAGCAAGCACAGATGGAAGATTACTCCCAGTAGCAATGCCAAAACGGTGCCTCCTGTCCAGAGTTCACATGCATGCACCCATGCACCCATGCACCCATGCACCCATGCACCCATTACTCAACACGCACCCAAAGCCCCACCCGCACCCATACCCCCACCCGCACCCATACCCCCACCCGCACCCATACCCCCACCCGCACCCATACCCCCACCCGCACCCATACCCCCACCCGCACCCATACCCCCACCCGCACCCATACCCCCACCCGCACCCATACCCCCACCCGCACCCATACCCCCACCCGCACCCATACCCCCACCCGCACCCATACCCCCACCCGCACCCATACCCCCACCCGCACCCATACCCCCACCCGCACCCATACCCCCACCCGCACCCATACCCCCACCCGCACCCATACCCCCACCCGCACCCATACCCCCACCCGCACCCATACCCCCACCCGCACCCATACCCCCACCCGCACCCATACCCCCACCCGCACCCATACCCCCACCCGCACCCATACCCCCACCCGCACCCATACCCCCACCCGCACCCATACCCCCACCCGCACCCATACCCCCACCCGCACCCATACCCCCATCCGCACCCATACCCCCACCCGCACCCATACCCCCACCCGCACCCATACCCCCACCCGCACCCATACCCCCACCCGCACCCATACCCCCACCCGCACCCATACTCCCACCCGCACCCATACCCCCACCCGCACCCATACCCCCACCCGCACCCATACCCCCACCCGCACCCATACCCCCACCCGCACCCATACCCCCACCCGCACCCATACCCCCACCCGCACCCATACCCCCACCCGCACCCATACCCCCACCCGCACCCATACCCCCACCCGCACCCATACCCCCACCCGCACCCATACCCCCACCCGCACCCATACCCCCACCCGCACCCATACCCCCACCCGCACCCATACCCCCACCCGCACCCATACCCCCACCCGCACCCATACCCCCACCCGCACCCATACCCCCACCCGCACCCATACCCCCACCCGCACCCATACCCCCACCCTACGTACCGTACCTTCCCCTGCGGCTCGGAACATCAGCGGGAGCAGCATCGTGGCGACAGCCTTGGTGGACTTGGTTCGGCCCGAGCCTGCGAGCGTGATATCCTTAAGAAGCGGGTAGAGCGCAGTAAAACGATCCGTGGCCTTGGTGCGGGCGGAGTTGGGGGGGTAGGCGAGGCGCAGGAACTGGTCGAGCGTGGAGTAGGGCACCAGGCGCTCGCCCTTGCGGAAGGCGCCGTTCAGCAGCACCGCCCTCGCCTTGCGCTCGTTGCCCCGCAGCAGCACGCTGGGGCAGGGGGAAGGGAGGAAGGGCGAGGCGGGAGGGGAGGGGGCGGGGAAGAGTGAGAGTGGGAGATTTCTAAGGCACCTCGAAAACAAGTGCCCCGTTCATAACACCGCCCTCGCCTTGCGCTCGTTGCCCCGCAGCAGCACGCTGGGGAGCGGGGGAGGGAATGGGTGAAGGGGCGATAGGGGAGCTTTTCCTCCAGGGGAAAGGCAAGCATTGTCCAGCAGAAAAGGGACCAGCGATGGCATTCTCGGCGTTGTTGTTTAAGTGAAGGTGCTTATCCATTGTTTCCGATATATGGTTGATCAAAGAAGGGGGATAGAATGGGGAAGGGGTAGAAACGACGAACCTAACAACGGACATGTACTTACGTTTGGAAGTAGGTGAGAGTGACGCCACGGCCCACAGGCGAGCCCTGCTTGCCCGATGACTTTTGGGTAAACTCAACAGGGCAAAATGAGGGATCTAACAGCGAGAATTCACTCACGTTTGGAAGTAGGTGAGCGTGACGTCACGGCCCACAGGCGAGCCCTGCTTGCCCGATGTGAAGGGCATGAGATTGCTGACCAGCAGCGCCATGCCCGATACCAGATCCACCACTGCCACCTGGCACCCACGTGGAGGTTGGTTATTGGGGGCAAAAGAGGGGGGGGGAGAGAGGGGGGGGAGAGGGAGGTGTTGTTGGAATATGGATAATAGACTAAAGGGGAGGAGTATTGATGAGTATTGGGCTGGAACGAGAGCAGCACTAATACTTGGTGGATAAAGAATTGGTGGATAAAGACGAAGGATGTACGGAACGAAGAAAGAGAGGCAGGAAGGCAGGCAGTCAGAGAGGACGGAAGGGAGAAAGGGAGGGAAAGGAGGGAGGGAGGGAGAAAAGGAGGGAAAGGAGGGAGAAACGGAGGGAGGGAGGGAGAAACGGAGGGAAAGGAGGGAGAAACGGAGGGAGGGAGGGAGAAACGGAGGGAAAGGAGGGAGAAACGGAGGGAAAGGAGGGAGAAACGGAGGGAAAGGAGGGAGAAACGGAGGGAAAGGAGGCAACCAGGGTCGATGTGGCTTTTGAGTCGACTCAAAGGTCACCTCGGTTTATTGTCACACACCTGAGACGACTTAAAGCCACCTAGGACGCACCTGGCCGTACATCCAGGCGAGCACGGGCAGCCTGTCCTGGCCGAGGCAGCCAGGGTCGGTGCGAATGGTGTCTGCAGCCTGTAGCATCACGTCAGGTCGCCGCCTCAACAGCAGCACCAGCAGCACCAGCATGCCGACCTGCAGGGGATTCAGACCGAGTGCATGAACGGTATGGTACTTTGTGACTTCTTTCTTCGACGGAATTAGAGAATTAAGGTTCTTAATAAGCAAGCCTTTACTTTCTGGCTGTTAATTTGTTGTCCCGGTTCGCTTTTTCCGGATGAGGTAGAACCCATGACTCACTTTAAGTTTCCCAGGCATAACTTGACAACAATCCTAAGAAAAGGGAGAAAAAAAGGGCCTGCCGTAAGTTTCGCACCTTGGCCTTGGGCGGCGTCAACGGCTGTGCGGCGGTTCCCTTGGCCACCTTGCCGACTGGAAGCACATCCTCCAGCGCAGATCGCACTAGGTTAACCAGAAACTTCGCCAGCGCGTCGGCAGGCCGCTCTGCCAGCCATTCAGAGGCGGTTGTGCGAACCTCCTCGGGAATGTCATTCCAAGGTAACTGCAGGGAACAGAACGTGCTTAGATCGACAGTGGAACCATTTCAACACATCCTTATGAAACTTCACACTAAAACGAAACTGGCACTGATCAGATCTGCGTATTCGTATTTGCGTGAAGATGAGGGATTGGATGGAAAGACTTACGTCAAGCGCTTTGGCCAAGCTGGAATCTCGGATGATCTTGGGGATATTGAGCTGCGATGGAAGCACCGCGCTGAAGGCTCGTGCGAAAAAATCCGCACAACGCATCAGCTGCACATCAGGCATGCCTGCGAATGATTCCTGAAAAGACGCAAGGAGACAGAGAGTTGACGGACAGGAAGAGCAACAGAGACAGACACTGAGCACCGAAACATGAGAATCCGATCCGCGAACGAGAAGATGTCGTAAATACACTTTCTAAACGGCAACGATTTCGAACATAGCCGGGCCAGTGTCCCTTAAACTTGCAAATTCGAAGCAATAACGTTAAGTCAGGCACTTCAATGAGTGAGAAATGTCGACACGCACCGAGATCTCGACAAGGAACGCGGACAATTCGTCCACTTTAATCGCCGTTGCAGCCTCCAAAACGGTAACCTTGGGCTTCTTAGGTTTCTTAGGCTTCTTAGGCTCTGCTGCTGCTGGAGCCTTGGCTTCGCGCTCCTCGTCGTCATCATCATCGTCATCGTCAGCGTCGTACTCCGCACGCTCCGCTTCCCGCTCGGCTGCTGCAGCAGCCGCTGCACGAGCCTCGATCCTCGCTCTCCTCTGCTTAGATTCATCCTCCAGCGAAGAAAACACGGATTGGCCGATCGACCCTTTTCCAGCTGCAGATTTTCCCGCAGCTGACGTCTTCTTTGAATCCTTCTGCTCCTGGCGACGCTGCTTTTTAACATTGGTCACCTTCTGCCATCCGTGGTTCTCAGATTGCACCACGCGAGGCTCGTCTACGAAATCTGCCATCTTGGATTGCACTAGCTCGGGCAAAACCGAAAGCAGACTGGTACAGCAGGGAACAAATCCACGTAGATCTATGCCAGGAGATTAAGTACACGAACAGGCTCAAGCGGCTGGATCCGTCACCTATAAAGTCCTCACGAATTATGGACACTGGAAATCAACAGAAAGCTATGAATGTCTACAAATGTCTCCCAAGACCGAATCTGGTCGGTCGAAATTCCCAAGGGAGGAAAACAGTTGGAGCGGGTTGCAGCGATGTTGTTGAACCCTTCGGCCAAGCTGACAGGAAAAGGCTGTTCCCGCCTTTTTGCCTCGCCTGCATTGCTGGCCTCGGTATTGTCAAGTGCAAGAACATAAATCGAAACTAGGGACAAACAAGGAACAAAGTGTAACTTCTGATTCCATATATTTATGTGCTGTAGAGTGTATACCAGAATCTAATTACACTGAAAATCAATGCTTATTATCAGCTTCTCACTGTAGATAGAGCATTATTTCAAAATCAGCTATTCCAAGATCCCTGTGACGCACTATAACAATGTTCTGTTCCCTATTATTCCTCAGACTTCTCCTTCCCATGACACACTACATCGGGGATCCAGGTCTTGTTTCGGTTGTAAATTACGCTCAACTGTCTCTTGGGGAAAGCGAGCTCCCACTGTCGCTGCCATTCGTGCCTACCGAGTTCCACGCAGCTACTAGGCCCTTGCTTGGTCATAGGAAGATAGGAAGATCAAGCACTGAAGAAATCGTTATTACCAAGAGAATACACAATATCCTAGGCAGGCCCCGTAATCTGGACAGGATGGCGGCTTATCTTATCTCCCTATCATCTCAACTTCGATCACTATCATGAGTTGCTATCAAGAACCATCATGCTACTCCTAGCATCTCATCAGCCTGACATCTCACACCATGCTACACCTAATCACAGACCTGTACTACCTATAATGATTCAATTAATCCGTGGAACATAACTGATCTAACCCCCTGATGTTGCAACTCGTCAGTGAGTTAATCTACAGAACAAGCTTGCTCGCTGCCGCTTACTTGATGACCTTGAACGGCCTCATCATGTCGTTATCCTCGTGATCCACCATGTGGCAATGGTACACGTATCCCGGGCCAACAGTCGGATCAAACTTCAAGGGCTTGCCGCTGTTGTCATGCCAGCCAAGCCACAGCGTGAGCACCTGACCAGGGAACGCCGGGGTGGTGTCCTTCCATCCGTCCTCGGTGGGATCGACCTTCACCCGCGGGCCCGTCCAGCAGCGCGGCAGCTTCTTGCCGCGGAACGCGCACTTGCCCGCCTGGAATGCCGCGACGTCGAAGGGGCGGCGGGAAACGGGGCGGTGGTCGATCAGGTGAATGTGCAGCGGGTGCGCGTCGGCTGACAGGTTGATGATGTGCCACAGCTCATTCGTACCCTGCAGGCAGACAAAGAATTGACAAGGGGGCCAGCGGAGTATTGAATGGAGGCGTTACAAAGCGATTTGGGAAGGATTCGCCAATTAGTGAGGTAGAAGCTTCGTTGGGTTTACAAACATTGGCACTGACCTGCTTGGGGAAGTCCGTGGGGGGATCGGAGTACCCAAGGCCGTCGATGGTGATCTCGATGGGCAGCTGCGTCTTGGGGTCCATCTTCTCGATCAGGCTGTGCCAGCGAACCTTCTGGATGTTCTTGTAGTCGATCGGCGGCATGTACTGCGATGCGGGAAGGAAAACAATTGTATATGTAAGACCCGTGACCGGGTTTCGAAAGCAAAAGCGGAGTAAGGGCCGGTTTGAGTTGGTGTACGCGCGTACCGAGATGGTGCTGGGAAGCTTTGCGGCGGGGATGCGCTTTTTGTTGGTGATCACGAAGCGCATGACAAGACCAGTGTCGCGGTCAGCGGTCACACCAGCGGGGTAAGGCGCGGGCGCGGTGTTCTGGAGAATCACGTCCTTGCACGTGGAGGGCAGGTTGGAGAAATCAACGAGCACTTCCTGGCGAGAGCCCGGAACGAGCAGGTACGACTTGGAGATCACCGGCTTATCCAAGTAGCCGCCGTCGGTCGCGATCTGCGCGTTGAAAAACAAGTGTTAGCATGTGCGTTGGATGACACCGCGTGATTGCTCGGAAAAATACATCTGCAATGAGATGAACAGAGTGTACGGGCTGCCATCACTCACGCTGACGATGTCGAGAACTTGGCCCTTGAGCGGCGGCACGAAGTTGGGGTAGTCACCGCGCTGCGCGCAAACGAACTGAAGGTTGTAGAAACGCGCGTTCGACGCGCCCAGCATCTTGAACCGATACATCGCAGGCCGGACCTTGAGGTACGGCCAAACCTGCGTAAGCAACGCAGAACGCATTAGTATGCCTTAATGTGATCGCGCATTACTCCAATGTACGGCTGCGGTCGTGTACCCAACAGTACCGCAACGTACCACGCCGTTGACCATGATGGTGTCCCCAATGTACTCGGGAATCCAGTTGGGGTGCACGCTCGGCACGATGCCCACGTTCGGGTAGTTCACCGACCCGTTGGCGAAGAACAGACGATCCGCGATGGCGAGCGGGACGGTGCGGCTGAGAGGTGGTAACCAGGTAAACTTGGACTCGACCTTGGGGTCCGTGATAATGTACAGCCCCGCGAGGCCGGCAGCGACATTAAGGCGCGTCATGCCCGCCATGTGGTCGTGGTACCACACGGTGGATGCCTCGTCGTTGATATACTTGTACGTGCTGTTATAGAAGGTGGGGCCTTTCTCGCCGTACTGCGTGAACCACGCGAAAGGGTGGCCGTCGTAGTAGCTCTGCTGGCTGCCGCCGTGCCGGTGGACAACTGCAAGGCCATTGAAGGCAAACAGAGAATGAGTCAATCCGAATGCGCGCAAAATGCACATGCTTGCGCGTGACGCGATCAGAGCACAAAGGCACCGGCGCAAGGTGTTAATTCGCACGAAAGGGTCTTTTATTCAAAGAATGCCCTTACCGATCGGAATGCCCTTCTTGGGAACCTTGTATCCCATCATGAGCGTGGGATCGACGGTGAACATGTGCGTGTTGTCGAGCAGGTGGTTCTCCCACGTGACCGTCGTGTCGATGCCCACCTTGGCCACGATGGTGGGGCCGGGGTACGACGCCGTCTTCTGACTCGTGCCGTACGCGTACTGCTTCGTCGCCGGCAGATCGCGATGGAATTTCTGCCACACGGAGTGTCGAATTGAGACATTATCGTCAGCCGCAGGGGCGCATTGTGTGTTCGTGCCATGAGAAGAGCCAAACAATGGTGAGAATTAATACCTGGTAGATCTGGTAGGCACCAATGGTAAGCGGCTTGGTGCCATCGAGGGTGGGGATGACGCGCGTGGTCAAGCTGTCGACGAACTTGCACAGGGGCCTTTGAGGGAACGCGTTCTTGCACTTGGGGCCTGCTGTGGCCGTGGGAGTGGGCGCAACGGCTGCATTGGCAATGTATGCTAAAGCAAGGACGAGGAGAAGAGGAAGCGTACAGCGTCTAGCGAGCGCCATGGCGTGCGTGACTCGATGGCAGCGGTACCGAATTGCGTTGTGGCTGCGTTATGTGAAGCCGCACGAAACGAGCGCTTTTATACTCTGGGACAACAAACAGGCGCACCGTTTTCTGGGTTGTGCAGCGGGAATTCCCCCGAAGCGCGTCAAGGTGTGACTGATGTGTTCGTTCCGAAGTTTCTTGGACAGCATCACTTCACTTGACTTATGCTTAGTGGGATTGTACGAATGCGGGTGGTTGGAGGACTAACTCTGTCGAGTGCGCTTCCGTAACCCACACCAAGGCGACGCAAGGGTTGGTTGGAACAAGGGGAGATTGAGTGGCGGAGTGACTGGCGCGGGGTTCCGGTTCGTGTCCAGGGCGTCCGTAGCCCTATGGGCACGGCTGTTGCCGAAGCGCTATTCTGGAGCCGCGTCCCACGGATGCTGTACATTAGTGATAAGCCATGCCAAGGCGTATCGGGGGATTATCGAGGCGCACATGCCTTGATCTGCTCCATGTTTCTTGTATCGACTGGCTTGAAACGGAAGGTGTAATTTTGGCTGAACGGCAAGGGCTGACATTAGTGATAGCGAATCGTAGAGGATTTGACGAAATGGTTGCGACAAAGTTTCCCTCACATTCCTCACGTTGGTCGAAAGAATCTTCTGTGAATGGGGTAACGATAAGAGCAATTTTTTTGCAGGTTTGCGCTTTCGTCACCCCGCCTGTTCGAATGCCTGTTTGATACTTAATTTAGCCATAGCTACACAGCAATGCTATTACTACAACGGTTTGACTGGTGCTCTTTGCCACCAACCAGTAGTACTTCATCAGAACATCTAAAATTTATAATTTTTAAACACATTGATGTTTTCAAAATTGTGTATTGTGAAAGCGAAGCTGCCTGTACCGAATATTTGGCAGCGTCGAAGCGCGCTAAACGCCCTTCTCCAACTACAAAAACCGTGGGTTGGAGTTCATTCCCTCCACCCACGTTTCTCGTTTTTCAACGGCTCAATCAACATCCCCACCACCCACCCCGGACCAACTACAAGACCACTGCTGCTTGGACGGACGACTCTATAGCTAGTAATATTTGTATGTACTAGCATGTGTTTAAGAACGTTGCATATGTTGTAATAAGCCAGTTGCAATGAGAACGATGCAAGGACAAGAAAGCAAGCTTTCTCAATGGGAAAATATGTCAATGGTAACTTACATGGGGCACTAAAACGCGTACGGTAACGATTTCAACGCGTTTGGTAACTCGCTTAACGCGTTTGGTAACTCGCTTAACACGTTTGGTAACTCGCTTAACACATTTGGTAACTCTACACTAGCAGCCCATCACGCGAATGGTAACTACATGAAATTCCCGCCGAAATCTTCCTGAAAATAAGGAATTTATCGAGTTTGAGAGCTTTTACGCACATCATTATCTTTCTTGAACGCGTCCCGCCACGAAAATTAAGGACCCCGTTTGTTCTATTACCACGGACCGAAAAGTTCAGAATTTATATATAATTATGTAGCTCGTACAAAAATGGATAACATCATATTTTGATAGCATGATTGCGAACTTGCAAAACGATAAGCAAAACTATTCCCGAAAGGACATATGGAATTTTTTTTTTTTTTTTTTACTGCAACGTTGGAAGATTTTTCATGTGAAAAAAAACCTTTTTAAAATTACATCTTTCATTTTTTTAAAATAAAGATCCATAAACGCCTGGTCGCAAGAAGTTTAAGGTTGTTGCTCTCAAATTTATTTGCCATCTGAAAGGGATATAGATTTGTTTACCCCGATTGCACGATAGAATAAAGTACAAACAGTTTTCGGTGGGAATTTCATGTAGTTACCATTCGCGTGATGGGCTGCTAGTGTAGAGTTACCAAATGTGTTAAACGAGTTACCAAACGTGTTAAGCAGGTTACCAAACGCGTTAAGCGAGTTACCAAACGCGTTGAAATCGTTATCGTACGCGTTATAGTGCCCCATGTAAGTTACCATTGACATATTTTCCCCATCTAAAATTTAGTTAACCTCGTTTCAGATGACTGTACTATCCGCAGTGCTTGCACACTAACATACTGTTAACAGAACTAGGCAAGAACGAGGGCATTGAAAGAAACAGTTGGGTACAAGTAGCTAACCCTAGTTGGGTTTGTACCCTGTATTGGCTACCCCACTACAGCCTACCTACATATAAATAACACATTACAACTTAACACACCCCCATAGGCAAAGTGGGGGAGAGCAAAGGGTCACAAGACCAGTCCAGCAAAGCAAAAACAAGCCCAGGGTGGATCACAACGTCACCACACTCCGAGCACAAACAAAGGCCACAAGGCCAGTTCACATGTAGTGCTAGATATAGAACAGGACAAGCAGCAAGACAAATATAAAGTACAGTACAAAGAATGTCAAGCAGTGAGCAAGTGAGGAAACGTGGACACAAGGCCTAAAGAAGTACAGTGCCGCTGATGATCACTAGGCGGGAGCGCCTTGGTGAAGATATCAGCAGTGTTGGCCTTCGAGTCCACGTACACAAGCCGAAGCTGACCGCGCTGCTGAAGCTCTCGAGCAAGAAAGTAGCGAAGAGCAATGTGCTTCGTCCTGTGCTCCAGTCTGTGCTCCTGACACAAGGCAAGAGCCGCCTTGTTGTCACCGTACAGAACTGGAGGAGAACTAGGCCGCTCTCCCAAGTCAGTCAGCAGGTAGGTGAGCCAGCGTAACTCCTGTGCAACCATGGCTGTGGCGTAGATCTCAGCCTCACAACTAGAGCCGAGAACAGAAGAAGAGCGGGTGGACCGCCACGAGACAGAACCAGAGCCAAGGCTGAAGGTGTAACCCTGTGACGACCGCTGCGTAGCCAGGTCGTCCACCCAAGAAGCGTCCGAGTGACCAGTGAGGACAACTCTGTCGCGTCCTCCAAGCACCAGCCCCATGCCTGATGTACTGCACAAGTAACGCAGCACCCTCTTAGCAGCCTCCCAGTGCTCTCGCCAGTGTCTCCCAGGCGCAACGTAGCGAGCAAGGATGCTAAGTGGGTACGCGAGGTCAGGTCGCGTGCAAGTCATCAGGTACATGAGGCAGCCTACAAGCTCTGGGTACGGGCCACTCGGCTCTACGGACTCGTCCGAAGGTGGAGCTGAGAGCGAGTGGCTGGTAGCCAGAGGTGTGGCCTGTGGTGAGGAGAACTGGAAGCCGAAGCGCTGAAGGACCTGCTGCACCATGTGTGACTGAGTCAGGGTGATGGTGCGGCGAGCTCTGTCCCGGGTGATCTGCAAGCCAAGGTAGCTACGCAGTTCACCCAGGTCAGTGCAGGTGTGTCTCTTCTGCAGCTCCGACTTCACACGAGCGAGTGCCTCAGTGTCAGCAGTAGCAAAGACCAAGTCGTCGACGTACACGAGAATGTAGAACGGCGGCAGCGACGTGTCTGTGCGCAGAAACAGCGACGGGTCAGCAGTAGACGGCGCGAACCCAAGAGCCGCAAGTGTAGTCCTCAGTGTGTCGTGCCACTCACGTGGCGCCTGGCGGAGACCGTAGACTGGCCGGCGGAGGCTCCACTGGGTACCAGGAGGAAACGACCCAGTAAAGCCAGGTGGGCGGCGCAGCCAGATCTCCTCGTGCAGGCTGCCCTGCAGGAACGCTGTGCTGAAGTCAAGAGAGTGAAGCTCGTAGTCACGCTGAGCAGCAACGTGCAGCAGAACCCGAAGAGTGGTCATCTTCGGGGTGGGGGAGAAGGTCTGGAAGAAGTCGACCCCCTGACGCTGACTGAAGCCTCTAGCAACGTAACGAGCCTTGAAGACAGGCGGAGAACCTGGCGGCCGCTTCACCCTGAAAATCCACATGCCATCGACGATGTTCGCCCCAGGAGGGGGAACCTCGTCGACGTAGGTGCCTGTGGACTTCCAGGATGCCATCTCTGCGTCCATGGCTGTCTGCCACTGAGAGGAGTAGGGACCCGAGATCGCCTCTGCGTAAGTGCGCGGAGTGGGGATGTCTAGTGCATCCGGGTCTCCCTCAGGGGCAAGCAACCAGGCCACGAGATGAGGTACAGCAGCCGCGAGAGAGTCAAAGTCCTCCTGCCTGTCCTCAAGGACGTCCGTGCCAAGAGCACACTCACCCCCGACGGACGAAGGACAGACAGACTCAGACCCAGCAACAAGACTGGCGGCGTAGTCGAGGCGACAGGCAGCAGCAAAGTCGACAAGCTCAGCGACCAGGGCAGACGCAGCAGAAGACTCAAACGACGGGTCAGTGACAACAGTGGCGAGAAGACGCGTGACAGTAGGGTGGGCAGCACGAACACTGTCAGACTCAGGGTCGGGAACGTCAGGAAGAGAAGACGCAGGAGGAGACGGTAGGGGGACACGCTGTGGACCAGTGGAAGGACGAAGTGCCATAATGTGCGTGCCAGGAACAGGAGGAGGACGCGGACGCGCGACACGACGGCTAGTGGGACCAGTGCGAGCAGTGCGAGCAGCGCGAACCGGCGAGGCAGGACGAGACGCAGGCTCACGACGCTCTGTAAGCGAGTCCGGCTGTGCAGTATAAGGCACAGGAGCAGGGAGGGGGGAGCCAGGCTGAAGGGGAAGGCCAGTGGAAGACGGGAGGGAAAGAACCTGGCGAAGCACCGTGTCAGGCGGCGGCAAAGCCGACGGCGACGGAGGAGCGAAGAACAGGCGCGACGGCGGAGCTCCGCCAGCACCTCCAGCACCCGGAGCACCAGAAGCACCTGGACCAGCACCCTCCGCCGCAGCACCCCCCGAGTCGGCGACGTCAGCACCAGAGGCCCCAGCAGCGTCAGACCTCCCCTCGCCAGCACCTCCAGAACCAGCAGGACCACCGTGTCCAGAACCGTCAGCTCCAGCGTCGTCAGCTCCAGCAGCTCCAGTACCGCCAGGAAGAGCACCCCCAGACGCAGCAACCCCAGGCTCCGTAGGCTCAGTAGCAGCACCCCCAGGCTCAGTACCCTCAGGCGCAGTACCCCCAGGCTCGGCACCCCCAGAC